TTTTCGCAGTGCATCGACCCTTGCACCGTTATATCCGGGAAGAAGGTACTCACTTTCTTATATTTATATACCTGTCAACAGAGATGAAATGCGAATTTTTCTCCGTCACAGTAAAAAAAATTAATATACACCTTGATAGTAATAGCTATTTGTGTATTTAGAGCGCAAAGTGATAGATTGCCGCTCGACAAAGAAAGTTACCGCGCGATGCGGAGCGGAGCGCGGTAATCTTTGGAGAGCGGCAATGACACTTTGTGCTCGAAATACACACAAGATGTTTTCTACAAACGTAGCTTTTGAAAATGACTGCCCTGAAAGTATGAGCGATGAAAATAGTTCTTATCCATAATTATCCCATATGTCCTAAGAAAACAAAATAAACTTAAAATAACTGACAAGCCAGAAAAAAAAATGTCGGACCTACCGAGAATTGAAATTGGACCACCAGCGTGGCAACCTGAGCTTCAGACCTCTCTGCCATGGTACAATATACTCTGCAATCAAATTGACATGACTCATTGATGCAATACAATAAAGATACACTGTCTTTCTGATGATGACAAAGAGTTTAAATATAAAGTATAATTTACCTTTTTCAACAGATATTCTTCATTGGGAGCTTCATGTGAAAATTTGTTGGTATATATCTTCAGCGGTGAATGTTTTGGATTTTTTTCGCTTTATATCCAATAGATTGTTTCTTGAGAAATGTGATAAGTTTCGGATACTTATTGATTCCGATATTATTTTTAACATTCAAGCATGTATACGAACCATCGACTTTATAGACCAATGAGTTGATGACTTCAAAGTCTTTGATTTTTCACCGAAATAAGCCAGTTAAACGTTTTCTGAATACTTATTCATCTTCTCGGAGTGGCACCAATTTATGAATGTATCGTATAATTCATATTTCTTCCTTGATATCTCCGGTAAGAGATTCAAACTTTTGCTCTTCCTGATGCTATATCAGAAGGTGTGTTTGATAGTTCACTGTCACTATTTTTCATCATGAAAGAATTGGGGGTTTTCATGAATAGATTTTTTTTATGTCCTGGTTCCCACGAAAAGGGATATCCTGTAATGTTCAGAGAACATCGTGAGAACCAATGGCAATAAGGTAGGAATTGGTATTCTTCTTAAATTTCTGGAGGTTATATGCCTCGGGAAACAGAGATGTGCGAGCGTTTTTTCAATATTTCCGCTCACGAGCGCAAATGCTGTCAAAGAATGACATTTCTGGGAAAACGTCAATTTCGTGTTGGAATATGAAAGCGTCAAAGGCTACTTTGTTAAGCGTTTGTAGAAAAAAATAATGAATTCAAATTAACTACAAATTTTTGAATTTTTAATTGCTCCGATAGGTAGAAAATCATGATTCCAAAGAAAAACGAGATATACTTTTTTTTTTGTTGAACTCACCGATTTCGAGTGAATAATTATGTATGTTCTCAAAAATGCTGTTTAGATGTGCCTGTTCTTAAGAAAGAAAAAGAGCTTTTGTCCATTTCAAAGCACCATAAATAAAATCAGAACAGAGGGAAAGAAAAAAATAATGATTCCTTCCAAAGTGACTATTACAGCATAAAATAATAATGAATATGTCGTCTTTAAATAACCATTTTATTATCCATTACATCGTGTACTGAAATGATTTAATTAACAAATATTGTTTTTCTTGTCAATCATCAATCACGAATCACGTTTTTTTGTCATTGCTTGGAAATGCTTAGAACAAAGGAATGTGGAGGCTGAAACAAACACTAATTTGAATTTTCAATTGAAATGAATGTTTCAAATCTATTCACTTGCATAACAGAAAATTTATTGATGGGAGATAACATTTTACAAATTTGCTATACAGGGTGTCCCATAATGAGCCTGATAAACTTCAACAGCGGCTTCTACCACCAAAAATAGAAAGAAAAGTTTCAATGAACATGATAGATGATGATGATATTTCCTGAATATTTCCGAAACACCATGTGATAAAATGTTGCAATTTGGTACAAGAACTAAACTGTCTATCCCCATTGCAGTGAAAATGAAGTCATTCCAAAATTTCATTCAGGAGTGTATGATACAGGGAGGGTCTGCGTTAAATATTACTCAAACTTTTTTGCATACATAATTTTTAACAATGTAATAGACTGTTGGCTCGCGACACAGGGTTTATCGATGTTCTAAGTCGGTATGCCATTTAAGGGACCCACTCACTTAGTCCAAGTTAACAGGAAGGAGTGCCCCGGAGAGTCGCAACCCAGTCCTTGCCCCGGCCCTGACCTCACCTTTCGGTTCGAAAAAAGTTCAAAATTTTGTTTAAGAAGAAGCTCGGCAATGAAGTGCAATGATCTTATCTCACGAAAATTGGGGCACTTGCCAGTTTGCATACGCCTAGGTCACTCCCCAAGGGCGGCATACGAACCGGAAGTGGCAATTTTTTAGTGTTATAGTCGATGATCTAAGAATGTATGCCCTTTGGCGAAACAATGAATTCGGACCCTTATAATAAGCCCATCATCAGCCAAGGTTCTATAACGTCCGACAATAGTGCAAACTAGCAATAGGCACATGATGATAGCTGATCTCACTTACTTCTTAGTATACTTGTGAAACATTATTGTATTGAACTTTTTGATTTTGAAGTTGAAAAGTCTTAGTTTAGAGTAGGAAATCTCTAGTTTGAATTCGGAAAGAACAAATATTTACCATGAAAAGTTTTTTCTTGTGAAACTTTCCCAAACTCAACTCTACAACTGGCCTAAGATTGGAACCCTCCCCTAAGGGCCCGTCCCTGACTAAATTCCTCATTCACCTGTCTACAGAAACTGATGGAAAATGTGTTTATATACGACCGTAACTACGGCACTGGTTTACAAACATTGGAAATTGAAGTTATCATTCCAGTTAGACGAACTCGATAGCCCAGACGACAAATAATTTTTTTCTGTGACGGGAAAAAGTTTGGCATTTGTTAGCAGGTTATAAAATGTCACTTTTCATGAATTACTTTTTTCCCGTGAGAAAAAAGTGAGTACTTTTTTCCCGGATATATATCACATATACCGGGTGTCCCAGTATACCTGTTTCAATGGATTATCTCAGTCATTTCGAAAGTATAAAATTTTAAAATTTCATGATCTCCAATTCGTTCAAGGGACCTTCAACTGAGAAAAACGAGAATTGAAAGTCACTTCCGGTTTGACCGGAAGTGACTCTAACTTCTTCATTTCAAATAGCACCCTGTATATTTTTTGCAATTTTTGCTTTCTACTCAAAATTACCTTCCCAACGATGTATCACACTTTGCATTTTACAATTGATTTGATAGAGAAAACGAAAATTGAAATTTGAAATCGAAAGAATTGCAGTAGACTACGATATTTTGTGTACATAATGATTTGTTCCTCAATAATTGATGATTCATGAACAATTTTATATTCGAGATGATGAAGAGAACGTCAAATTTCAAATTATTGTAGAAATATGTAGTAGAACTGGAAGAATTAATAATTCTTAAATGAAAACCTTAGTGTGCCATGGAAACATTTGAATACATTTGTTTGTATCTTTGACAGTTTATAATTCTCAATGGTTGTGTGCGACATTTAAGAATGAATAACCGTGAAAACGATATGATAACTTCACAATTCAAGAGAAATTGGATATGATACTGATTTTAATTCCAAATTTCAATTTGTCGTTTTCTTCATCATATCAAATGTTAAATACAAAATGTGATCGTTGGAAAGGCAATTTTGAGTAGAAAACAAAAATTGCAAGAAATATACAGGATGCTATTTGAAATAAAGAAGTTAGAGTCACTTCCGGTCAAACCGGAAGTGACTTTCAATTTTCGTTTTTCTCAGTTGAAGGTTCCTTGAACGAATTGAAGATCATGAAATTTTCAAATTTGTTACTTTCGAAATGACTGAGATAATCCATTGGAACAGGTATACTGGGACACCCGTTATATACACTGTTGATGGCTTTTGTTGTGCTATAGTTCCGAAAAATGAGTCAATAATACCGTCTCCGAGAAAGAACTGCAAGTCCTTTTATCTTCCATTCAACTTCGCGGTTATGTATATTACTAAACAACCACTAAATTCGCAATTTTTTGAAATCAAATCACAGAATTAGACTGACAGAAGTGACATCAGATATTTGATTTCTTCAAAAGAATGATAAAGATGCCTATACAACGCAGGTCCCTACTGTTAAAAATTTAAAATTTCACGTCGATAATTTTCAGATTTCAAAATAATGTAATATCTTCTCAATACTGATTCGTCCTTTCTTCTGTCACAGAAAAAAATAGTGTATTATACACGGGAAAAATATTAGATTTTAGCTCACGGTTTTATGTCTCCCTCCGCTACGCGTCGGGAGACAACACAACCTGGAGCTTAAATCTACTACTTTTTTCCCTTGTATAATAAATAACTATTTTTCGCGAGAAATGCCGTACAACTCTTGACCAAAACTCTTTTTTTTTTCTATAGATCGACAAAGCTTTCGGATTCTTAGCTCAGAGGAATATTCTGAAGAACTTATGTGACTTCTAACAGTTCAATAAAAGTCCAATATTGTGAATGAGGAGTATCAAAACAAGAATAAAGGAATACATCAATATCATGAATTATTTCACATTTTTATGTTGGAAACGGGAGCAGATTCGTTCCCAAAACGTTGAAATATAATTGGAATTTTATATTGTTGCAGTACACCTCAATTCTTCTTCACAAATTGTTTCAAACAAGGTGTCACTGACCATCAATTTAATTTTTCTGGACTTGTTACGTAAATTACTATTCTGATTGAGTAAAAAATGGTTAACCTGTATACAGAAAAAAAAATCTCTCGACTGTGGAGCATATTTTCGTGAACTCCCTCCCTGACAAATTCGCATATATTTTGACCCCTCCTAATTTCGCCTGGGACCGGACCTGGGGCCCCCTCTTGGATACTATAAAGTGGTAAGCCCGCCGCCAATTCTTGTCCACAGTCCGGTGACAATGTGCATGGTATTTGTAAAAAAGTGACAAACGTCAGGCGGTTTTCTCGATTTTTGCCGTATTTTCGAAGTTTTTGTGTTTGGTGACTGTATTGTTAATTTTTTGTGATGCATCTATTGTGATTTGACAAATAATAATAATAATTCAGAAGTGGGTATATATTTGGTCTCTATGGAAGCTCATTAGGGCCACCATCAAAAATGTTTTATCTTGAAATTTCAACTTAGCTCTGTTGAAATTTCAGGATAGTAAATTGAAATTTCGACTTAATTTGTTGAAATTTTAACAAAGCGTCAGGCGGTTTTTCGATTTTTGCCGTATTTTCGAGGTTTTTGTGTTTGGTGACTATATTGTTAATTTTTTGTGATGCATCTATTGTGATTTGACAAATAATAATAATAATTCAGAAGTGGGTATATATTTGGTCTCTACTTAAGCTTATCAGGGCATCCATCAAATATGTTTTATCTTGAAATTTCAACTTAGCTCTGTTGAAATTCTAGGATAGTAAATTGAAATTTCGACTTAATTTGTTGAAATTTTAACAAAGCGTTTGGCGGTTTTTCGATTTTTGCCGTATTTTCGAGGTTTTTGTGTTTGGTGACTATATTGTTAATTTTTTGTGATGCATCTATTGTGATTTGACAAATAATAATAATAATTCAGAAGTGGGTATATATTTGGTCTCTACGTAAGCTTATCAGGGCATCCATCAAATATCTTTTATCTTGAAATTTCAACTTAGCTCTGTTGAAATTCCAGGATAGTAAATTGAAATTTCGACTTAATTTGTTGAAATTTTAACAAAGCGTTTGGCGGTTTTTCGATTTTTGCCGTATTTTCGAGGTTTTGTGTTTGGTGACTGTATTGTTAAATTTTTGTGATGCATCTATTGTGATTTGACTAATAATAATAATAATTCAGAAGTGGGTATATAAACTGGGCGTCAATTGAAACGTTAATAGTGAAATTTGGCATCAAGTTTGACTTCTCGTAATTTCTAAAATATTGAACAAATTTTGAATTGCCGCCCAGATTCTGAATGCCTTTTTCATCGTCTTTCGAACAGTTCCTTACAGCTTCTTCTAAATTCATCAGGACCCGTGATACAAGGTGAAACAAAGTTTCGTGCATTTTGAAAAAAATTTCTCCGCCCCCCCATTTTGTCGGAAGACCACAATGCTCATATTTTATTCAGGCATTTCATAAATAGCAACCATACTGCGGGACGTTTTCGAGTTTTTGCCAAAAACTACTGTGGTTTCAAAAAAAAATTTTTTTTGCATTTTTTTAAATGGACTAATTTTAGAGGAGTACATTACTACCTGTATCCTCAAAACGATGAATCAGTCTATTTATTGTCATGACTGACTTATTGAGAATGGTACTTAAATGAGTTTGGGTATATCCTAATCGTCGTAACCTGAAATAATAATGGGGGAGACCACTGATTTTTTAAAATGACATTATCGTGAACTCTATACTGAAAAACTACTAGCGAATTAATTTTGAATTTTGTCATTCATGCTAAGACGATGGAAAAAATAAATTAGAATATGTCCATTTCAAAACACACAGTTCCTGCGCCATTTGAAATTTGTCAATTCATTGGTGTGACTGGTGCGACGTCTTATTCCCAACACGCCTATTGTCCTTGAACTGACCAATCACACTGCAACACTGCAGAATGACGAGGTATCAGAGAGAGATAGCTACAGCTCGGGACTAATACGTCACGACTCCACCATCATATTTGGCTGTTTGAAATATCGAATGAAATATGCTGATTTCAAAACGATATAGATTCGATTCCCTTCAACTTTAACTCATAATATTGATTGTACATCAAACGTAAATCATGATTCGTCGATTGAAAGAGGTTTGCACGGATTTCTTCTCTCAGTGGTCTTCCCCATTATCTGCACTGAATTATAGTTTATATCACTATAGTGATCTCACCTAATGATATTTTCCATTTCGACCCGATTTGAACGAGGCATCATTAAATTTTTTAGGAGGACGTTTTCATGAAAATTGGCAGTTGATATAACCTCTATGCATTGTTTCAACAATACGTTGTTATAGAAACAAGGTATCGTTGTTTGTTTTTGTTGATGAGATGTGTTGATTTACTGCTCACTAACTCACTGAGGTAGAAAACTTCTATCATAGACTGCTAAGTAATAAATTATTGATTGTTTTTGAGTAACCTGGTATACATATCTGCTCCAACGCTTTCCTGAAATGCATAAGAGCATCCATTTATGGAACTCCTCTAAAATTAGTCCATTTAAAAAAAATGCAAACAAAAATTGTTTTCTGAAACCACAGTAGTTTTTGGCAAAAACTCGAAAACGTCTCGAGGTATGGTTGCTATTTATGAAATACCCGAATGAAATATGAGCATCGTGGTCCTCCGACAAAATGGGGGGGCGGAGAAATATTTTTCAAAATGCACGAAACTTTGTGCATTTTGCACGGTTCGAAAGACGATGAAAAAGGCATTCAGAATCTGGGCGGCAATTCAAAATTCGTTCAATATTTTAGAAATTACGAGAAGTCAAACTTGATGCCAAATTTTACTATTAACGTTTCAATTGACACCCAGTTTATTTGGTCTCTACGGAAGCTTATCAGGGCCACCATCAAAAATGAAATTGAAATTTCAGGATAGTAAGTTGAAATTTCGACTTAGTTTGTTGAAATTTTAACAGAGCCAAGTTGAAATTTCAGGATAAAAAATGTTGTGTTACTAGATTTAAAATTAAACTAGCTTTTTGTTGACTTTGCCTGAGTTTGACTCAAAACAAGTCAAATTGTCTTCGATTGTCAACGTTTCGTATTCATTGAAGCATTTTTCAGGTACTACAATGATCATTTCGAATTATAGTGTTGGAATTATCGTGTTAGCCGTGAACTAAAAACAAGAAATCAATTCGTAGTTTATTATCAATTTATATTTTCTTGTCATTTTTCAAATGATATAAAATGTTACAATTGAATACGTTTTTCTCTAAGAGCATCAACGTATGTTTGGGTGCTGAACCCCATATGTGGGAACAGTATTCTAAGGCAGGCCGGATATGCCCATTGTAGATAACATATTTGAACTATATTTGCCTTTTATGAGAAGTCGTTCATATGTGCATATCATACAAATCTTTATTGTTTTTACCAAGAAGTGATTTATGGTTTCACGCCTAGTAATTAGTCCTTCTGAAGACTGTCACAGTTTCGATTCCAAACTGCGAATTATCTCATTAAAAATAAATTAAACAATTAGTATTCATGGGCACACTCTAAAGATTACCTACTTCATAACACCTCAAATTTGGGCAAGGCTGATCATCAGATATCAATTTAAACGAATTAACAATTATTTGAGGTCAACGATCTAGCTAAAAAAAAACAAAAATTGATATTCTCATTTAAAATCTAAAGATAAAAACGATTCAGTCAATTGAGGACATTGAAGACTTCTTTATATTGGATGAGCCACTTCTAATATTTTTCTCTGAAGTGCTTTCGTAATGAAGTATTTGATATATTTTTATTGAATCTTCTCCCACACGAATCACCCTGTATGTGATAATTCTAAACAGAAAATGTGCCAGTTATAATAAAATTTGACTGGAATATCTCCATACTAGGTATTTACTTATCGAAAGCACATTTCATTTTGGGTATATTTCTCATTTCAAGGTGCAATAATCAGAAAAAGGTGATCAAGGCGATATTGACCTTAGCATGATTACCTACGTTTTTTTCTTGATTTGACACTGTGCCAATTCATTTGGTAATTCAATAGGTGCTATAGGCGAAGAATAATAGGTTATCCCCTCTTCTCTCAGGTATACAGGGTGTTTCGAAAATCAACCGACAACGCTTGACAGGCGATATAGCCCTCCTGATATCATAATTACTGAGATTGGGACATAACGTTGTTTAAGAGTGTTCAGTACTCGAGATACAGGGTGTGAAAGTTGAGAAATAAAAATAGTTTTCTAGCCATAACTCTAGAACGATTGTAGATGAATGTCATTCCGGACATTTTATCCAGTGGTGCGCAACAGGGGGTTGTGGTAACTCTACCTCCCATATTTTCTACGCCATTGATGAAATTTTGATTATTTTCAAATTCTTGAATTCATTTTTGAATTTTGTTCAAGAAATGCATCACCTTCAATTGGTCTAAAATTAACAGTTTTCGAGATATTCGACCCAAAATAAAAGATTGCTCAGTAATTTTTCATCATTATCAGTAATAGAAAATTACAACAATATTTTTCTGGTGGTAAAACGATTATATACTATTAAGATATCATTCTGTAGCTGAACAGAGTTTTTTATTCCATGCAGAAAGAAAGAACAATCATTTTTGTGATCTTCCACTACTGAAAATGATGGAAAATTACAATGCAAACTTCTATTTTGGGTAAAATATCACGAATAGAGTTCATTTCAACTCAGTTGAAGGTGATGCATTTCTTGAAAAAACTTGAACAAAATTGAACAATGAATATCATCAAAATATCGGAGGAAAAGCTACCACAACCCCCTGTATCTCGAGAACTGAACACTTGAAGACCGCATGTCCCTATCTCAGTACTTATGAAATCACAAGGGCTATGACCTGTCAAGAGTTGTCGATCGAATTTCAAAACACCCTGTATGTATGAATTCGGACAACGTGCATGGATAGCTTTAGATCATTTCGTAAAAATATACTATTGTTAGTGACATTACTCAAAAATTCATCGCAGACGTGATTAATTTTCACTCGCGTAGTGGCATATAAAAATGATTTCATATCAAATTGAAACATATTCAATAGCTATTTTAGTTACCAATTACGTACCTAAGGATAATAGGTATAGTTTTAATTCACTTCAGAACATAAAAGTTATAATTTTCTTTTAATTTCCGAGTATACATAGCTGAATTATGATGACTATCCTGGAACGAAACAAATGTGAATAATTATCTTTTTTTTTGTTTTCGAAAGGTTCAGTAAAATAAAGTTTGCATCAAACAATTTTCACTTTAGTGAAAAAAATATCGATCACTCATGATGAATAATGATGATGGGTGATGCCACACTTACCAACTCTTTGACCCCATTAGAAAACCGTAGAAAAGTCAGTGACCTTTCCCTTTTCTATAGATACTTCCACGGGTAATGTTCCTCAGAAATCTCTGCTATGATTCCATCACTAGCAATACCAGTCAGACGAACTCGACATGCCCAGTCAGCACATCCCTTTATCGTTAAGCTTGAAAAATATCACAACTACACACTACCAAAATTCGTTGGTCTATAGAACGGCGAAAAATTGGAAATTTTTGTCAATGGAAGTATTCTCAAGAACTTATAATCTTCAAAAGTTCGAAAAAAAATTCAACATCTACCTCCTTTACCTGTGTCCTCCCTAGGTACGCGTGATGTTACACGAACATTATAGGAATTTCCTTTCGTGCGCTTCAAGAGATAAAAAAATATATTCGTTGGTTATTGTTTATTTGTGAATAAATACCTATCGTACCTACTATCTTCTTGTTTCAATTGATGTGTCACTGAAATCTCAAAGATTACTCAACAACTTGAAGATTTATAACTTAGTTCAATATTTATTTCAGCGTATATACACAGTGTTCCAAATCGTCATTGAAATAATTTCAAATTGTAGTAGATATAATCAAAATTATAAGGTCATAGTTTCATGAAGTCAAAGTGAATCATACCTAACTGTGTTCAAAAGTTCACAGATTATTGGTCGCCAGATCAACTCATCTTCAACAATAGCAAGTTACGAAAAAAAATTCCATATACTCATAAATAGAGATTTTTCTGCACCTTTTCATGCACAATTTCAAATGGAAATGGAATCTAAGTTTCTGTCCATACAATTAGTGAAAAAAATAATAATATTCTGCAACTGCTTCAAACTTTTCATGTCAGTTGTGGGGAAAAAATTTGATGAATTTTTTGAGATACAGAATTTTTTAATAATTACTAATGAATTGAGAAAACTAACTGTAATGAATCTTTTTTAAATCCATAACATTTGCTCACTGTGTACGTATACTATAGCAAGTACCCATTTATTAGTTTTCTAGTCAGTTTTACAATGTTTGTTTATCAGCTGATCCATCAAATCAAACCACCAAGCCTCACATGACGATCTCTGTCTCTTCCAGTGAAACTTCCCGAAATTATCTCCTCCAAAACCGACATGCTACTCCACGCCCTAAAAATCTACTGGAAAAGCCTCTTCGTCCTCATCTACCCTCTCGTCCTCCTGCCCCTCTTCCTCACCAACAACACCACCGCCTTCAGATGCCTCTACGTCGTGTGCCTCATGGCAGGCTTCTGGGTCTTCGAAGTACTGCCCCTAGCCATCACCGCCCTTCTGCCCATGGTCTTCTTTCCCCTCATGGGCATTATGGACTCGGAGAAGACCTCGCTTTGCTACCTCAAGGAGACCAACATGATGTTCGTGGGGGGCCTCATCATAGCTATAGCCGTCGAACACTGCAATTTGCACACGAGGGTGGCGCTGCACGCCATAAGGGTGGTCGGATGTAGCCCCAGGTAAGAATGGTTTTTAGGTGATACTCCGAATCTTTCTGCTTGTTGAACGTATGTGATGTGTCTGAGATGTATCTGAAATGTGTCTGCGATGTGCCTGTAATGTGTCCGCGATGTGTCTGCTATGTATCTGTGATGCATCTGCAATATCTCTGCAACAAGTCGATAATTTTCGCAGGCGACTCAACATCGGCCTGTGCACCGTCACCATGTTCGTGTCGATGTGGATTTCGAACACGGCGGCGGCCGCCATGATGATTCCCATCATCGAGGCGACGTTGACCGCCCTCGAGGAGCAGGGCATTGGGGAGATGTACGAAAGCGAAGAGCTCGATGGCGACATCGCTCACGTGAGCGTCGAGGGCGAGTCGAAGATGCCCACCAAGACGACCATGTGCTACTTCATTTCGAACGCGTACGCGGCTAGTATCGGGGGGTGCGGGTGCATTATTGGTTCCGGCACGAATTTGACTTTCAAGGGGTTGTACGAAACTTTGTTTCCGGATAGTCCAGGTGAGCGATTTTGATGTTGGCGTACCGAATTTATTATTAAGGGGTTGCCTGAATCTAAATGATGAAATATTTTAATTTCTGAAATATTGACATCAGAGGCGTACAAAATTTTCTGTATAGGGTTCAGGTTAGGCCTAAATTTCGAAATATGTCGTTGGCAACTGCGCTGATTACAAAAATTAGTAGACTCCAAATTCGAAAAGTTTTAATTTTGCGAGTTTTTTCACGTATATTGTATTTTTTCGATGAGATTAAAGATACGGGTATGTTCGAATTCGAAATGTCAACGACTACATCTGATAGGATATTAAAAAAATACTCCAGAGGGAGTACCACATTTATTATTAGAGGATCTCCTGAAACTAAAAGGCAAAATATTGAAATTTCCTTGACATCGATTCACAGTGTCTTTCAGAAAGTTGGCATCATACGTTTTGAAGACGATGAAAAATTTTCCAGTTCTTTTCATGTGATGCCAACTTTCTGAAAGCCATTGTAGAATTGACATCATGATTTCAGAGGCGCATGTAATTTCGAGAAGGTGGTAAAAAATCAAAAAGTCCCGAATTTCGAAGTTTTTCGACGACATTCTTCGTAAACTGAAAAAAGCGACTCCAGGGGCGCACCAAATTCAATATTTGAGTGGCTCGAAAATGTCATAGACCGCGTTTTGCAATTTCGTCAACATATGTTGACATGAAATCAGAATCACAACTCCAGGAGCGTATGATTTTTTTTCTCAAGGTCTGAAATGCGGTGTATACATATAGGTTCCAAATTCAATTTAAGGATATGGAAATTCAAAATACGAGATTTCGCAATCATACTGACGTATTTTTACATAAATGTGAAATTATGACTCCAGTGGCGTTACACAATTTTTTCCAGAGGGGTCAAAAATACAAAACAATAAAAAAATCCTCCACAGGCATGGAATTAATGAGATGGATGATCCTCATCGTACCTTGAATAAAATTGAAATCATAATTTCAGGGGCGTAAGCAATTTTTTTGAAGAGTGGTCAAAAATACAGAAAAACCAAAAATTCTTTGCAGGCGTGAAATTCACGAAATGGATGATACTCATTCAATGTACCTTATATAAAAGAATTGGAATCATGACTGCAGGGGCGTACAACATGCATTTTCAGGGGGGTCAAAATACAAAAAAAAAATTAAAAAATCCTTTTTAGGCATGGAATTTAGGGAATACATAATGGATAATCAATGTACTTTTGATTAAATTAAAATAATGACTTCAGGGGTGTACACAATTTTTTCAAGTAGTCCGAAATACAAAAAAAAAATACAAAAATTTCTCCGCAGCTAGGTGTTGAATTCACGAAATGGATGATCCACTACGTATTCTTTAAATTGAAATCATGATTCCAGGAGCGTACAGTTTTTTTTTCTATAGGGGTCAAAAATACGAAAAAATTGAAAAATCCATCGCAGATGTGATCAACGTACTTCTCATAAAACAGAAGCATGACTTCAGAGGCAAACAAGAGAGGTAAAAAATACGAAGTATCCAAAAATTCTTTGCCGGCGTGTACTTCACGAGATGGATGATCTTCATCGTACCTTACATGAAATTGATATCACGATTTCAGGGGCGCACACAATATTTTTCTAGGAGACTCAGAAATAGAAAAAAAAAAACTAAAATTTCTCCGCAGGCGTCGAATTCAGGAAATGGATGATCCTCGACGTATTCTACTCAAAATTGGAATCATGATTCCAGGAGCGTACACTTTTTTTTCTATAGGGGTCAACAAATACGAAAAAATTGGAAAATCCGTCGCAGCCCTGGAATTCACGTAATGGATGATCAACATAGTTTCCATAAAATTGAAATCATGACTTCAGGGGTGTACATTTTTTTTCTAGAGCTGTCAACAATACCAAACAATTAAAAAATCCTTCGCAGGCGTGGAAATCACGAAATAGACGATCTTCAACGTACCTCACATTGAAATCATTACTTCAGGGACGTACACATTTTTTTCTAGGGGGGTCAAAAATACCAACAAAATATAAAAATCCTTCTTAGGTGTGGAATTCACGAAATGGATGATCCTCGACGTATTCTACTCAAAATTTGAATCATGATTCCAGGAGCGTACACTTTTTTTCTATAGGGGTCAACAATACGAAAAAATTGGAAAATCCGTCGCAGTCGTGGAATTCACGTAATGGATGATCAACATAGTTTCCATAAAATCGAAATCATGACTTCAGGAGTGTAAATTTGTTTTCTAGAGTTGTCAACAATACCAAAAAATTTAAAAATCCTTCGCAGGCGTGGAAATCACGAAAAAGACGATCTTCAACGTAACTCACATTGAAATCGTGACTTCAGGGACGTACACAGTTATTTCTAGGGGGGTCAAAAATACCAACAAAATATCAAAATCCTTCTCAGGTGTGGAATTCACGAAATGGATGATCCTCAACGTATTCTACTCAAAATTTGATTCATGATTCCAGGAGCGTACACTTTTTTTTCTATAGGGGTCAACAATACGAAAAAATTGGAAAATCCGTCGCAGTCGTGGAATTCACGTAATGGATGATCAACATAGTTTCCATAAAATCGAAATCATGACTTCAGGGGTGTAAATTTCTTTTCTAGTTGTCAACAATACCAAAGAATTAAAAAATCCTTCGCAGGCGTGGAAATCACGAAATGGACGATCTTCCACGTACCTCACATAGAAATCATGACTTCAGGGACGTACACATTTTTTTCTAGAGGGGTCAAAAATACAAAAAAATATAAAAATCCTTCTTAGGTGTGGAATTCACGAAATGGATGATCCTCAACGTACCCCTGATGCTGATCATAATGTACGCGGGCATCGTGTGGATGCAATTCTGGTTCATGGGCCTGTTCAGGCCGAGCAGCGTGGACGCTAAAAAAATCCGGGTCGGTCAGCAAGGGGAGGCGGTCGCCCGGAAGCTGATCAACCACCAATTGGAGCAGATGGGGCCGATGTCCTTCCACGAGAAGGCCGTCGGGCTGTGCTTCGTGCTGTCCATCACCCTGTGGTTCTTCAGGAAGCCGCAGTTCGTCACCGGGTGGGCGGAGCTTATCACCGATCACAAGGTGAGAAAAATATCGAAATTTTTTAAAGGAACCAGAAAAAAATAGTTGGTAGTTCGAACAACAAAACTTGTTATTTATTATGCCGGGGAAAGAAGTAGTTAGCTCCTGGTTTTGTTGTCACAAAAAACCGTGAGCTAAAATCTTAATATTTTCTTCGTGTATAATACACATTTTTGTTCTGTAAGAGGAAAAAGGACGAATCAATATTGAGAAGATATCACATTATATTAAAATCAGATCGAAAATTATCGACGGGAAATTTCAAGTTTTTCACAGGAATGATACCTGTGCATCTTTATCATTCTTTTGAAGTAATCTAATATCTGTCAGTCTATTCCTGTAATTTGATTTTCAAAAATTGCGAATTTAGTGGTTGGTTTTAGTAATTTACATAACTGCGAAGTCGAATGGAAGATAAAAGGACTTAAATTTCTATCTCGGAGACGGTGTAATTGGCCTATTTAGCAGAGCTATAGCACAACAAGAGCCATCAACAGTATATACAGTAAGTCCCGCTTTTCATGAATAATACAACCTGATATCTCAGCTATTAATGATGCTATTCTCTTGAAATTTTAGTGCTGATTGTATGTTAGAACAATGAAGTATTTGGCAGGGTGAACAGTTTCATTCACCATTTGCGTGCAATGTTGAGGGGTACAAAAAAAGTCGGAAAAATTATATTAGGGCCTATTTTGAATAACTGTTTTTATCAGATTCTGAATCAGCATCCCCGAAAACCCCCCAATTCATATTTTCAAAATCTCAAGAAAAATTGAAAATCCCGCTTTTCATGACTTCGCCCCAAAATCTCAGTTATTAATGATGAGATTTTCTCAAAACTGTGAAGGTGATTGTATGTTATCTTTTCAACATACTCTGGACCGACAAACTGCCCAATTTGCCTTCAATGACCTTCAAAAAATGGGTCGAGTCAATATAAAAAGCTGTAATTTGTATACATTTGGCATGTTTCAAATTTTTGTTGTCTTACAAAATCACGTGCAAGATTATCTACTACGATTAAATGACGACAATCATTTCGTTATGTTATTTTTCTAACTCGCTTGCGATAAGAATTTTATCCATATTGCGTGTTTTTATGATTGCGTATATCCACAGTTAGGTCTGACGTATTCCGCCCCTTCTACTTTTTGTTTGTTTCTCACTGATTGCTAGATTGCAAAAGTCCACTTTCAGTTTATCTCTGGAGAAATATTTACATTCACCGACTACATCTTCCCATGAACCGTTTTAGATGCACCATTGCACTTTAATCTCGCTCTTTTGTTGTATAGAGGAAGTCCAAAGTTAACTATCCCATTCGTGATAAGTTAATTTAGTCATCTTCTTCAATTAATGTATCTTCTTTGTACCTACTTCGTTCAATAATTCATAATACCAACTGCATTTTTATGAATTACTGACTGATTGGCCAATGCCTTTTCTGGGTCAAAAAACTGCTTAATTATCTCGAACACATAAATGGAGTCGATATATCGACAAATTGCGGAGATATTTTCTGATCATGGCATACCATCAGAGCATTATAGAAGCCTGATGACAAAATTCAAACTCTCTTCTGAGCAGAAACAAACGTATTTCTGACTACGCCAATGACTTTTCTGTGTCGAAAAACTGCAGTAGCAATGACTCCATTAATTGTAGCACAAAAATATGTTTTCAAAAACTATCTAGATCGACGTAAAATGTCACGAGGATTCCGAAACTATACCCCAATATGTGTATCTAATCAAATGGATAACAAATTTAAAAATTTTCAAGCCACAAATTTCAAAAATTGCGAATCATCTAGGTACAAGTAAAATGTCACTAGGATTCCGAATCTTTACACTTTGTTGTCCTCGATCCAAAGGCACACAGAGCATTAGGCCCGATGACAAAAAACTTTTTTCAGAGCAGAGATATAGCTCTGTTTTGCCTCCACCAATAGCTTTTCTGTCGATATCTTGACAGATTACGAAGCTATTTTTAGATTTTGGCACATTGAGCAGTTGGTCCGGTGACAAATTACAAAGTTTTTTCAGAGTAGAGATACCTCATTTGTGTCTGCACCAATAACTTTTCTGGCTCTAAAAACTGCCCATTCAGGCCATAAAACCGAAATGAAGTCGATATCTCGACAGATTACAAAGATATTTTTTGATTTTGGCACATTGAGCAGTTAGTCCGATGACAAATTCAAAATTTTTCTCAGAGCAGAGATACCTCATTTGTGTGTACACCAATGACTTTTCTGGGTCTGAAAACTGCCCATTCAGGCCATATAACCGGAATGAAGTCGATATCTCGACAGATTACAAAGATATTTTTTGATTTTGGCACATTGAGCAGTTATAGTCCGATGAAAAATTCGAAAGTTTTTTCAGAGCAGAGATACCCTATTTCTGACGTTTCTGGCTTTACAAACTACCTATTTAGGCCATAAAGCCGAAATAAAGTCGATATCTTTACAGAATACGAAGCTATTTTTAGCTTTTGGCTCAGTAGCTGATCCGATGACAAATTCCAAATTTTTTTCAGAGCAGAGATACCCCATTTGTGTCCGCACCAATGAGTTTTTTGGCTTTACAAACTACCTATTCAGACCATGAAATCGAAATAAAGTCGATATCTTGACAGATTACGAAGCTATTTTTAGATTTTGGCACAGCAGCTAATCCGATGACAAATTCCAAATTTTTCTCAGAGCAGAGATACCTCATTTGTGTCTGCACGAATGACTTTTCTGGGTCTAAAAACTGCCCATTCAGGCCATTAAACCGAAATGAAGTCGATATCTCGACAGATTACAAAGATATTTTTTGATTTTGGCACATTGAGCAGTTAGTCCGATGACAAATTCGAAAGTTTTTTCAGAGCAGAGATACCTCATTTGTGTCTGCACCAATGCCTTTTCTGGCTTCACAAACTACCTATTTAGACCATAGAATAGAACCGAAATAAAGTCGATATCTTGACAGATTACGAAGCTATTTTTAGATTTTGGCACAGCAGCTGATCCGATGACAAATTTTAAAATATTTTTCAGATCAGAGATACCTCATTTGTGGCCGCACTAATGACTTTTCTGGCTTAACAAACTACCTATTCGATCCATATAACCGAAATAAAGTCGATATCTTGACAGAATACGAAGCTATTTTCAGATTTTGGCACAGCAGCTGATCCGATGACAAATTCCAAATTTTTTTCAGAGCAGAGATACCTCATTTGTGTCTGCACCAATGACTTTTCTGGCTTTACAAACTACCTATTTAGACCATAGAACCGAAAATCTTGACAGATTACGAAGCTATTTTTAGACTTCGTCACAGCAGGTGGTCCGATGACAAATTCCAAATTTTTTTCAGAGCAGAGATACCTCATTTGTGTTTGCACCAATGACTTTTCTGGGTCTGAAAACTGCCTATTCAGGCCATAAATCCGAAATAAAGTCGATATCTCGACAGATTACAAAGATATTTTTTGATTTTGGCACATTGAGCAGTTTGGTCCGATGACAAGTTCCGAAGTTTTTTCAGAGCAGAGATACCTCATTTGTGTCTGCACTAATGACTTTTCTGGGTCTAAAAACTTTCTATTTAGGCCATAAAACCGATATAAAGTCGATATCTCGACAGATTTTAAAGATATTTTTTGATTTTGGCACATTCCCATATAGCACATGTACGTCCAATGAATGTCCAACGGATGTACAACATGGACATAGTGGACGTCCATTGAACGTCCAGTCATGTACATTGGAACGTCCAGAAAACGTCCGCAGCTCACTGGATTTAACATCTTATGGACGTACATTCAGGATGTTCAATGGACGTACATTCAGGATGTCTGATGGACGTACATTCAGGATGTCTAATGGACGTACATTCAAGATGTTCAATGGACGTACATTGAGGATGTTCAATGGACGTACATTCAGGATGTCTAATGGACATACACTCAGGATGTAAAGTGGACGTACATTCAGGATGTTCAATGAACGTACATTCAGGATGTCCAATGGACGTAAATTGAAAGCAGTCAGTGGATGTCCATTAGAGACGTCCAATGGACGTACGGATGTTCAATGGACATGAACTGAAAGCAGTCAATGAATATCCAAACAAAGAATCCATACTCATATAAAATATTATTTATTAAAAAAATATCTGTAAGGTACAGTGTAATATCATTCAATATAGATACAACATATGCTTGGAATTTATTGCATGAATTTCGTCATTCTGCTCTTGTTCAGCCATCATAATTAGGATGATGTCGAGTTAAACAGAATCTGTAATAGGTTTTTCAGCATAATTTAGCGGCTAAATATTTTTCGACTCACGACATTCATGAAAGATTCGAGTAATCCAAACATATTATCTATAAAAGCATTAATTCAAAAAACTGACAAGATACAGTTATCCTGATTTTTTGAGGACAAAATTCGATAAAAATGAAACTGAAAAAGTAGAGCTATAATATTACCTATATATATATATGGGGAGAGGAATAATAAAATTGTATACTTGTATAATTGGATACTCACCACATTTCAGTTCAAATTCTATATAAACGTCCATACAGTGACTATCTGAACCCCAATGATTACTCCTCTTCAGAACCACATTATGAATATATATATTCAATACATATAGTCCATACATGGACATCCATTGGACGTAACCCGATTGGACGTTGAACTTCCGGATGACCCAGCCATTATAAGTCTCTTGTATATTGTATGACTTCTGAATATAGGCAGAGGCTGGATATTTCCCTGATTTGATTTCTCAAACATAGTAGAGATGATATCATGCTTTTCTCACTATATTTTTATAAAAATTATGGATTTATATTTTCTCCAGTCACCTCGCTTCTTCTTTCTGTTAAAAGAGACAAACAAAGTATTACTCATAGTATTCTGTAGTCGAGGATTAGTGAATAAATCAACTGTCTAAGTCCTATATTCAGCAATTCAGCTCAACTTCAACTAGTGCTATACCAATTTAAAGCTCTATTTCTGATATCATATGAAATCCAAGTCGTCCTTTCCGAACAAATCACAAGCTCATAGGTTGCCCACAGAATATCATGAAATACCTATTCCGCAATACCTACAACGCCCCAAACCATTATCAGAGCACATTTATCATGTGAAATGAATAGTTATATGAAAAGGAATATCGGAACATATGCTACGTACCATCATAGATGCTTTGGATGATTCAGTTCCAAATAGTCTGAATCCTAAATTTCATCACAAACACGTATAAAACACACAAAATGGCGTAACCTCCTTGTCTGCCGTCTACATAATATGATAATATGTTCACTTTGGAGCTGGACTCGATCGATATCCTCCGTTGCCCCACATCATGTTCCGATCAGAGCGCCATCTCGCATCCCCTCTACTGTGCGTCCAGCTTTCAACATACAAAGGATGTACAAAAACGTACCATTTGTAAACGTACAAACTGGATCCAATAATGTACGTCACTTGGACATCCTGAAACTTCTTACTGTAGAAGTTTCACAATATCTAATATTGAACTTCCAATGGACATTCAAAAGACGTACAACATTGAACGTCCAATGAATATCCAGAATCGTACATTCATTGAACGTACATAGATGTTCAATTTGTGAACATACAATTTAGATCACTACCGTACTCTTCTTGGTCGGTCCAGAACTGCCATGATATGGATGATGTTTCATAATGTCGAAAATTGTACATCCACTTGACAATCATTGGACGCACGAAACTGAACGTACAATAAATATCCAGGATCGTTCATCCACTGAACGTGCATTCATGTCCATTTTGTCAACGTACAAACTGGATCCAGTCATGTACATCCATCAGACGTACCATTTTGAACTCAAAAAATATATCCGGAATCGTACATTCATTGATCGTACATAGACGTTCGAATCGTAAACGTCCAATTTAGATCCGATTTCGTTCATTTCTTGGACGTTCTCAAACCTAGGAATATGGATGTTTTGGTGAAGTCGAATATCTTACTCCCAATGGACATCCATAAGGCGTACAGTACTGGACGTTACAAAATATATCCCTAATTGTACATCCATTGAACGTCCATGTTAGGTTCATGGACCTTTGGACATTATTTGGACCTAAACTGGACGTCCACTGGACGTCGTGTGCTATATGGGTTGAGCAGTTGGTCCTTTGACAAATTCCAAAGTTTTTGTGTGTATCCACACTGTTTTGGATCCAAAAACTGCCTATTTTGGCCACAAAACCGAAATGAAGTCGATTTCTCGTCAAAATGTTCGCTTGAACTTCTTGTTGCTATACCTGTGAAAGCTTCAACTGTTTGGTATATATTCACTGTTAGTGTAGATTTCTACTTTAACAATAATACATTGATTTTTGAAGGTTAAGGACGCGACCGCAGCCCTCATAGTCGTCCTCATCATGTTCGTCTGCCCCTCCAAACCTGACTTCATCCACGCGTTCAGCAAGGACGAATCTAAACGGCCGAAAACCGCCTCCACCGCTCTGGTCTCCTGGAAGATCATCCAGCAAAAGATGCCCTGGGGCCTGATCTTCCTGCTGGGTGGCGGGTTTGCCATGGCCGAGGGCTCCAAGGTCAGCGGCATGAGTCACATGATCGCCGAGCACCTGCGCGGGTTCGCCACTCTGAACAAGTATTACGTCATGATGATTTCGGGCGGTATGGCGGCGGTGTTGACGCAGTTTTCTAGTAACGTGGCGTGTGCTAACGTCATTTTGCCCGTGCTAGCAGAAATGTCCGTGGTAAGTGTATTATGGTCTGTGGGGGGTGTTTGTTTCAGTGTATTTAATCTTTTATACTAAAAGATTCACTCGATGATAAGGGATGTATTTGATATAGGTTGTCAATGGAGTTTTAAATAACACTCATGTTATTAGATTGGAGGTCTATTGAAAAGTCAGTGTGTCAGTGATATAGCTTATTACATTCAATCTTTGACTAAGACATCTGACATGGAATATAAATGAAATACAAATGACATGACACATGACATTCTGACAGGGGGATGCAGCTGAATTATGGTGTAGTCCTTCAAAGTCACTACACCTTTTTCAATTGTAATTCAGAAAGTGTAACTTGTAATTCAGATTAGTAAAATGTAAGTCAGAAAGTGTAACTTGTGATTCAGAATAGTTAATTGTTATTCAGAAATCGTGAATTGTAATTTCAGATTAGTCAATTGTAGTTCAGAATGCATAACATGTAATTCAGAAGAGTCAATTGTAATTCATTAAGCGTAGTTTGTGATTCAGAAAGCAACACTTGTAATTCATAAATATTATATGGACTTAAATAAGGGTAGGGAATAAAAATCAACAAATGGTTTATCGTGTGGTGAACATCAATATTTTTTATTTATCGACCAACGGGCATATCTTGAAATGCCAGAGCTGCAGCATGGTGAATGGTGGTGTGTTGTGCAGCCCTAGCACAATCACCTCCAACAATTGTATCTTTTGCCTAGTTTCTGAATCATAAGTGATACTTTCTGAATTACAAGTTATGCTTTCTGAATTACAATTGACGGTTTCTGAATTACATTTCACTATTCTGAATTACAAGTTACACTTTCTGAATTACATTTCACTAATCTGAATAACATATTACGCTTTCTGAGTTACAATTAACTAATCTGAATTTCAAGTTATACTTTCCAAATTACATCTCATACTTCCTGAATTACAATTGAAAAAGGTGTAGAGACGACGAGATGAGTGTTTTCCCCAAATGACATTAAAGTGCTTTTTGATATGACACCTAACAGGCAGGCAAGGTGTAATTTCCCAGACAGCACTGGATATTCCTAGAATATTCTCTAAATATGCTAAAAGGGAAGAATATATTCCGAATATCCTTCGAATATTCTTAGAATATATAAGTGCCTCTGGAACATTCAAGGAATATTCAAATGTGAATATTCTAGTAATATTCCAAAATGAATATACAGGGAATATTTCAGAAGGAATATTCTGAAGTGAATTTTCCTCGAATATTCCAGTTGGATAGTGCAGGGAATATTCAGGTATGAATATTCCAGGAATATTCCCAATTGAATGTTCTGTTCCTGTATATTCATGGAATATTTCAATAATATTCCCATGTGTTTCAATGAAATTGTAAAGTATGAAAATTAACAAATCACAATTTTATAGATGTGAGTATTAAACATTGATTTTGAAATCTGTGGTAGAAGTCCATCGTATTTCAAAGTGAAGTGGTTATGTTACCAGGGATCAAAAACAAAAAGTCGTCTCCACAATTTTGATAGTGATCAAAGTACTCAATCAGATCATCGTACATGTTGAGAGCCCATATGGAACTGGAAGTGTTTATGGTTCCCTTCTGAACAACGCAATTCAATGAATTGTTATGTACATTATTATTCAACTCGATTACTGGCCAAGTGGTTAAGGCGTTGATCTGACAGTCTGAAAGTCCCGAGTTCAAGCCCATCTTGGGTCAGCTTTTTTTAATTATGAATATGTATTACGGAATATTCCCGGAATATTCATTTATTTATATTCCTGTATTTTTCCAGGAATATTCCGAATATTACCTGAATATTCCTGGAATATTATAGGTACATTCTGAATATATACGGAATATTCCTTGTGTAATATTCCGGGAATATACAAAATTTTCCCCACCAGCACATTCAGGGAATATTCCATAGTTGATATGTATATCCCTGGCATGTTCATGAATATTCGCAATATCCATAAAGAATATTCTATTCATGGGATATCTGGTGCTGTCTGGGTTCTTTGTTACTATTCACAAAATGATGGATTATTTGGACTTTGGGTGAAATTGAAGGAAAAATTATATGTTCCGCATGACAGAAAAGCAGATTTAATGCCTTACTGATTACCCAGCCTTGGCTACACCTTGACAATGAAACGCAAGCCGCAGCTTCGAATCTTATGCTTTTCTGCCTAGTTAAATAAATACCAAAACCTTCAGACTACATAAATCAGATAGACACATCAATTATTTAATAAATCATCAACAAGTTTAGGCCAACAATCCTGACTGTCAAACACGGATAAATAAATGAAATCACGAATGGTGGAGATAATTCTGCGGACTCTTTGCCAGATATTTCATATTCTCCATAGATGATGATACCGCCACTATATCAAATTCCTACTTATCTGTTATCATATTTGTAACTAACTTCACAGATTTGACACTGTCGCAAACCATATTCATTCACAAAATAATTTTCAAATGAGTTACCGAAACATCGATTCGCGATCGATAGGAAATAAGCATACGCCATCTATCGGAGTTCTTTAAACCTGGCAAAGTGGCATGTTAACTTTATTTTCATAGGTTCTCATTTCTTTTTTGTTTGTGCTTATTGGTCATACCATAAAAAAATACGCTCAGAAGTGTTCAAAAGTTGGCTCTGTCAGGTGGGGCGACGTGTTATTTTCTATCGCGAATAATTATTCACACAACAGTCGACGTGTTATATTTTCTAACTAGAGTCTAGCCATAGCACCAGTGCGAGAATATTGCGCCTGGTGCGCAGGTCGCTAGGCGCGAGAAACAGAAAATTTCGTTGCTTGCTCGCTCGCTCGCCGAGCGCGAGAAGCGAGGCGAGAAGGGTTGCGGCCCATAGACTACCAATTGGTAGATGTTGCGGCCGTGCGGCGCGGGACAAATATTGGAGCGAAACAATAAAGATCATCATTGGTAAAAGAATACCCAATACCCTTAATTGGCGGCGAATCATGTATCACGGGAAGGAGATTTGTTGGTTGCCATTCGAACTGTTTCCAGAATATGTACTCATTTATCGTTTGACCTCCAAGTCTAGCGTTTCACACTTTAAAAATGCAATCGATCTCAACACTTAGTGGCATACAACCATTATAATAATGGGTTTGGTAAGGGGAACACTTTGTATATCAATACATGAATAATAACATCAATTTCATAATTTGATACGATTCTGTATATTCTCAGAATATTCGAAAAGAATATTCTTGTGTATCTATGTCAAATTGAATGTTCATAGAATATTCGTTGCAGGATGAAAATATTTTATGATCATTTTAAGGACATTATGTTAGAATATTCTGAAATAAGTATATTTGAACATTGTCATTCTAGAATATTCCATTTCAGAAGCTCATTGGAACATATTTTCAGAATATCATTAGTATATTCGCAAAGAATTCCATGAATGTTCACAATATTCTGAAAATATTATTTAATGAACATTCTGGAATATTATATCCCAGGAGCTTCTAGGAATGTACTTTCATGTAATACTATCAGAATATTCGCATGGAACATTCCATAAATATTCGCAACATACTGAGAACTATCTATGCATATTCTTCAGAATATTATTCTAGAAGATGACATTTTCGCAGCTTGTAGGAATATTCTGAGAATATTCGTGCTATCTGGGGATATATATATATATATGTAATAATTATGAACAGTACAGTGTTAATTCAATTTGAATAAATTGATTTGAGGTGTGTCACGATTCTAGGGATCACCCTGTAACATGGTATCAACTAGGAAAGCAGTTGTCTAATGTATCATTTCACAACAATGACTTATTTGTTTTTGTTTCGCTGCAATTTCTCGCGCCCAGCGAGCAGCGAGCGACGCGCAATATCATTTCACCACCACCAGGCGCAATATTCTCGCACTGGTGCTATGGCTAGACTCTAGTTATTTTCTATCGCGAATAATTATTCACACAACAGTCGGGAAATCATTAATAAAAATGGAAAATACGAATGGCATCCGTTACAAAAATTATTGCTCGTTTAATACGGAACTTTGCGGTGCTGCCACGTTCATCTTTGAATAATTTATATTATATCATAATCATCGATTTGGCTGCGGTTCCAAATAGGTTCTTAGAATGTGGCATGTCTTTTCCGCAGAAGAAATAAGTAAAAAAATCTCTTCTTTACCATTGAATTGAAAACCATTGTGTTGAAAGGAATCACACTTCAATCCAAAACATAATGAAGCTACGTTTAACCAGTCACCTTTACTACAGGGCGTTATAGGAGCTTACGGGTGAGAGAATAACTGTTTTTCCTGTATAATAATCATGCAATCGGCTCCTCTTGAGAACTGAGAGTCAGATACTAACACTCTGAAATATAGATCTACGATTTGGTCCAAATTTCATCAAAATCGGATCAGAATTAAAAAAGTTGCAGGCAATATCATCCATCAATTTGGCTGAATTTTTCTAAGGCTATTTTTTCGCCGGTGAGTGTAGTTGAATATTCAGCGCATTCTGTACTAATGCAAGCTATTGGTCAATGTCTATCAGCGGCCCATTGGAGACACTAAATTGATCATCTCGTTCCCCAACAGGTGGCGAAGATCCACCCGATGTACCTGATGATGCCGGCCGCCCTTTGCTGCTCCTTCGCGTACTGCCTGCCCGTCTCGACACCGCCAAACGCCATCGCCGCCGGGCCCTGCAACATGCCCTCCACCGAGATGGTCAAAGTTGGCCTGGGCATGACGGTCATCTCCATGGCGGTGCTCTTCACCGTCTTCCCCTTCTACGCACCGCTCATCTGGGACCTGGACGTCTTTCCCGTGTGGGCCAACTCCTCCGATTAAGGAAGTTGATAGCTCTGACTATATAACGATAATACAGATACCGCGATGTATTTATAAATAATTGAAAAGTCTACGCCAACAAGCCTATAAACGCCGAAGACGGATGAATGAATGGAATCGCGAATGGTGGGGATATCTCCGCGGAAACATTGCCGCGGAATTGAGATTCCTCAGATATAAATAAGGATTAGACAGCGCGATTCATTCATGAATAATTATAAAATATCCGCCAACTGGGCCGTGCTGTGCTTCGAAGAGTTGATTCCTTCTGGAAATTTATTCTTCTTGTAACTATCTTTTCTCTGTTTTTTAGGAAATATCAAACACGAAAACGCGAATGGTGGGGATAATTCTGCGGAATCGTTGCCAGAGGATTGCGATTTTTCCTTCATTCATGAATCATTGAATCATATACGCCAACTAGGCCGTGTGCTTCAAGAGTTCATTCCTTCTGGGACATTTTTTCTTGTTGTAACTCTTCTCTGTTTTTCAGGAAATTTTACATTTCTTTTTCGTATTGATGCTCTAAATTTTCTTTTGTTGGCGTGAATGGTATGACGCATTATATCTCTTCCTCACCGTCTTCCCCTTCTACGCACCGCTCATCTGGGATCTGGACGTCTTTCCCGTGTGGGCCAACTCCTCCGATTAAGGAAGTTGATAGGTCGGACTATATAACAATAATATAGATACCGCAATGTATTTATAAATAATTGAAAAGTCTATGCCAACAAGCCTATAAACTCCGAACACAGATGAATGAATGAATGGAATCGCGAATGGTGGGGATATCTTCGCGGAATGATTGCCGTAGAGTTGCGAGATTCTTCATAGATATAAATGAGGATAGATAGACAGCGCGATTCATTCATGAATCATTGAAAAATATCCTCCAACTGGGCCGTGTGCTTCTAAGAATTGATTCCTTCCTGGAAATTTCTTTTTCTCGTAACTCTTTTCTCTGATTTTTGGGAAATATTTCAATTTTTTCGTGTTGATGCTCGGAATATTCGTTTGCTGTCGTGAATGGTATGACGCATTATCTATAACTATCACTGAATTTGCACCTGCAACATGACCTCTACCGAGATGGTCAAAGTGGGCCTGGGCATTACAGTTATTTCCATGGAGGTGCTCTTCACCGTCTTCCCCCCCTACGCGCTGCTTATCTCTGGGACCAACTCCTCTGATTGAATAGATTCATTCGTAAATCATTGAAAAGTGTACGCCAATAAGCCTGGATGCGTGAATTAATGTTGAAAGGTTGATAGGGTTCCTAAGTATATAGTCCTTATATATTGGATACAAAATAATCACGTGATAAATTTTGGGAGCAGAAAAACTTTAAATGCATGCTGTTGGAACAAGCTCGGCAGCTTTCACGGTTATTTATATAAAAAAATACTTTTGAAATTAGCCGATTCTTGGTGAATATAGGTATCACGTATATGTCAAAAGATTCAGCTTCTCTCCTGATGAAATCATGTGTTTAGTGATAGTTATACTTGACTTTCAGTGACGTCCAAAAAATCGGAAATAAATGCGGTCATTTGGAATTTATGATGGCATCTTATTACATTTGGCAATCAACTCCATGTCGAAGGAATTATTGCAATTTTTGCAAGTTATATGATGAGCGATGAAGTAGGTTGGTATAGCTATATGATAATATGTCTACAGTAATGTAAATTATTATGATCAATACATAATATAGGTAGGTAATTATATAATTTATTTGAATTGAATTGAATGATATGATGTGGAATGATCACTCAGGCTATATTCATAATTCAACTGGTCAGTAATGTCAGTAAATCCATACCTACTGACTCTGCTGAAGATCTGTGTTCCGAAATATAAAATCGAAAATACAGAATCGGAACTTTGTCAGTTATCAGGTTTTCACTTCATGTTATAGTTTCTCGTTCACCTGAACTATAGATATTATTCTCAGCGTCAATTATATCAATTACAGGCATTTTCTGATATCAAAAACTGCATTATTGATCTCTATTATTGATTAATAAACGGAAATGAATAAAATAAAAGAATGACAGTTTACCGGAGCGTTTTGATAGTCAGCAATTTCAGCAGAAAGTTGAGTCGAAATATTTTGCATTCATTAATATTATGTCTGCTCACAAGGATCTGCAGAATCTTTCACTTTCAGTGAATTTTTTGATTTCGCAATGAAAAATCAACAGATTCAGTAGGTACTGTCAGTTGAATTCGGAATATATAGCCTCAGTCAGCGAACACCGTATATTTCTCTCGTTCTGAGTTTGATGAATTCGTAGACAATTTTTTGGAGATATGAAAGATACTCACCTTGATAGTGAGTGAAAAATAGTGTTAGATAATGAATGATCTATCATGGAGATGTTATAAAATAAGCACAGGAAAATAGTTAATATTCGTTTTAAATATTAATAGTTTTCTAGCTGTATCATTTCAGGAACTAATAAAGCATAAAACATGATGCGAATTTTTTTCAATATAATTATCCTAAAATAATGAAGAGAAGAAGGAATATCGTTCAACATAGTGAATAATATATTCATTTTTCTAAGTATAGGCGACTGAGATTAAGATCGCAACGCCAGAACGGCGAAACTGGTAGTAGGTACTCTATGGGCCATTCCTGGATTGTTTATATTTGTTTACAGGCGGTATTATGCTATATTTTCAACGTGTTGAATATTTTCAAACAAATTTATTCAATAACTTCTCAAATGGAATACATGTAAACTAATTTGAACAAAGTTAGACAAAGTGTTACATGGCCCATACGTTAGTTATATTCAGGACGACAGAGGGCGTACTCCTTAGCATGTTTCGCCTATAGGTCACGACACGACGGTCGGATATTGAGCCACAACCATGTTGACATAATGAAATTATTTATGTTCTAAAATTGTTCTTATCCATCTTTCGGTTGCCCCCTTACGAGCAACCCTCAGAAGGCTTCAAGAGACTTGTGCGAGCAAGAAATGACGAGGGTCTTACCTTTTAACGTCTGATCCCAATAAACACTTTTTTAGGCCATCAGAAAATTTTCTGCGGTCGTGGTGGGAATCGAACACACGAATTCATGTTGGTATCAGAAGTACAGATAAGTACAAGTCATATAATCAAAGAAAATCACAAACAGTAAGTTTTCAATATTATTCTAGTATCTTATCAATCTTATCATAAATATGTATTCAGATTTAACAGGTTTTCAAAAATCATTGAATGGTAGATATTCTTTGTCCGGATAGCCTCGACAGCTACGATCACAATAGATAAGATAAGAAGATGACGTGTAGACGTGACACGTGTTACATACATTTCATTGGTGAGGAAGTGACGTTTCCGTGTTTGTTTTTGTTTTTTTTTACCGGAATGTCATGAAAAGAGTTGATTTGATAAATTCAAATTATTTGAATCATTCTGAAAATGACCGACATTTTATTATTGAAAATAGCCAAAAGTGAAATTGACCTAGATAGCTTCAAGAATTGGATTTTATCCAAGGTATTTCAAAGCTTTACACTTCAGTAAGTATTCCATAACCTAATTTTACTGAATTTCAGGACAACAATGTTGATTTTGAATGTTCCCCGACCGCCTTTTTATCATATTTTCTAAATTTTATACACGAAGAGATATTGGGGTGAGTAATATTGCTTCAACATTCTGCTAAAACAGTGATAACCAAGTAATAACATTATTTCAGAACCCATTGTAAATCTAGTGAAAGCCCACTGAAATGTACACCTAGAAAAATTTCAACAATAAAGTCAGATGAAAATGGAAGAAAGAGACCCAGTCTTACAAACAAGCCCACCACATATGTAAATAAATCACTGGAAAAAAGTTTCAGTGAGGTCTCAGTAGATGGTAACTCAAGCACTCCAAAAATGTTGAGAATACAATCTAACTCAGAATCAAATGCCTGCTACTACAGTCCCATATCGCCGCTCTACAAAAATAAACCCACATTTGCTACACCCAAAACTCAAAAAGTTAATGTTAGTCAAAAATCTCCTTTTTGTCTGGGAGATTTTATAGTAAATAAGAAATCTTCTTCAAAAAAGAAAAGCAACAGTAGCACTGGAGATGTGTTGGAAGAATCTAGTAGAAGAATAACACCAACTTGTATTAGTCAAGTGAAATCTAGTGAGAGCTTTAGGAAAACTTCAAATAGTTTTGCAAATTTCAATACCACAGAAATGTCTGTAAATAGTCCTGTTGAAACTAGAAATTCTCTGGCTGTAGAACGATTGAAAATATTATCAAGAAATACTAATGACAACAAAATTTGTGAGAACAGACTGATTAATAGCAAACTGTTTCAAAGGATAGAAATAGTGCCCTACTTGGGTTCTGTCACTTTCAAAGAACAGCTAGATAATTTAGCTGCAGTGTATATAACAATAATCAATAACAATCTAGTGCTAAATATAACTAGTGAAATTTACTTTTTGATATCTCTATTGCTGAGTAAAAGGTATAGCAATGATTCTTTGAATGATTCTCCCATGGGAGTAGACTTTCTGAGTGAGGAAGACAAAAATGAACTGGATTTAAGTGACAAGACTGTTCAGGAATGCTCAGATTTTTTCTCAAGCATCCACAACATTGTGTACTTCTCTGTGAGATGTTTGAAGTCTCAGTTACAAGTGCTTAAACACTATGACAAGACAACATTAAAGTTGTTGGCTCTCAATGAAAGATTAAGGATTTTTTCACCTAAATTTGCTAACCATTTGAATAAACTTTCTGAGATGAAAGATGAAAGGGTTATAGAAACTGCCAGTTATTTGCTTCAGACAAATGTTTGTTTCAATTTGGACACAGATAATAGAGAAAACTTTCCAAGTAACAGTAGTTTTCAGTCATTCAAGAAGCAAAGAGATTTGTTCTATGAGATTTTGAGGGTATGGGAAGTGAATCATATGTTGGATAGATGGGATTTTTCTATTGGTTTAGGTGGTAGGATCAAAGCTCTGTTCAGTTTGGATGGTGAACCTGCTAATTTTATGCATTTTTCAAGGTTGTTCAAGGCACAACTGTTGAGCACTTCTCAAACTTCACAAAAGGTAAATATTGTCTGCAGAAAATTATTATTATGTCATTTGTTTTTGTTGAGTTGACATTCATTAAGAATGGGCAGTCTGAACTACAGAGAGTAAACACAAAAATATGAAGATTGAGCCCAGCATGTCTTGTAAAAATGTTATACACTCAGTTCCAAAAAAAGTGACGCACTTCTTAAAAAAAAAATTGGCCGATTTTTATTTTTTTATTTGTTGGTAGGTAATGCATTTGTGTGAAAATAAAATAAAGAGGTGAACATTTTTTCAAAGCCTCCTTGATGGTGGTGGAATAACTTGAACCATGATTTATTCTTAATTTTTGACTCACCCTGTGTGTTAATTGAGTAATGGCATAGAAAGTGCTTACACCCTATACAAAAGATGCTTCTTTTGCGAGTATTCTGTTTTTTTATTCATTGATTTATCACTGAAATTTTCCGAATTACAGCTTTTTTTGCTGAATCCTTGCAGATTACCAACTTTCTGAATTTATCCAGAAACAATTTTCTAATGAAATAAACTGATACCAATAATTTTAAAAACATTTTTATTAAACACAAAATTATAAATTGGGATGACTGCTTAATACCGTGTATTGCCTCCTCTAGCAACTCTAAGAACTTCTAATCTACGAGGCATACTGGAAATTAAGTTGCTTATCGTTTCCATTGGTATACGATCCGATTCTTCCACTAATGCATCTGCCATTTCTACGAGACTTTCCGGAGACATCTCGCGAGAACGTACCCTTCTCCCTAATTCATCCCACAAATGTTCTATAGGATTCATATCGGGGCTTCTCGCAGGCCATTGTAATGTGGTAATACCAGTAGCTTCTAAGAAGTTTCGCACTATTGCTGCGGTGTGTGGTCGGGCATTATCCTGCATCAATATAAAATTATTGCCGACTAACTCTGCATAAGGTAAGACATACTGCTCTAAAATGTCAATGTAAATTTGGGCATTCATCAACTGCCTCACCGGAAAAACAGGAAGGGGTGTCTTTTCATTCATTGAAATCCCTCCCCACACCATAACGGACCCACCATTAAAACTTTCGCATTCTGTTATTAAATTTTGATTAAACCGTTCACCAGTTCTTCTCCACACTCTTTTTCTTCCATCCACTATGTTAAGGCAAAACCTTGACTCATCCGTAAACAAGACATTCGACCATTCAGGAATATTCCACTGTCCATAATTTTCAACAACATTTCTTCTAGCAGCACGATGTTCGGGCAATAATTTGGGACCTTTTGCAGGTCTCCTAGCTTTTAAATGAACTTCTTTTAGACGTCTACATACCGTCTGCTTACTTACTGCAACATCACGAATTTGGCGAAGTTCATGCTGAACATTTACCGCAGTATTTGATCGATTCCGTAAAATCCGCAATCTCAATAAGCGATCATCTCTTGGAGAAGTTTTTCGGGGGCGACCAGAACCGACCCTCCGAGCGGTGCTTCCTGTTTGTTCGTACTTGCGGATTGCTCTACGAGCAGTTGCTTCATGAACTGCCACTGCACGAGCGGCGTAACGTAGGCATTTTATGTAATTTTAGTCAATAAAACAAGACACTTAATTAATGACACAAAGACAAATGGTCAAATATGGAGGCATACAACAAATTAGTTGCTATGGCAACGGCATTTGTTTTTTTAAAGACAATGTGATCCTACCAGAGTACAACCCAATCAATTTTGAGTAATCTGATCCTTCAATAAATTTAATTTGTGGGATAAGCGTAAGGTATCAGCAAAATAGCTGTAATTCGAAAAATTTTAGAGATAAATCAATGAATAAAAAAACAAAATGCTCGTAAAAGAAGCCTCTTTCGTATAGGGTGTAAGCACTTTGTATACCATTACTCAATTAACATACAGGGTGAGTCAAAAATTAAGAATAAATCATGGTTCGAGTTATTCCACCACCATCAAGGAGGCTTTGAAAAAGTTTTCACCTCTTTATTTTTTTTAAAGACAAATGCATTACCTACCAACAAATGAAAAAAAATAAAAATCGGCCTATTTTTTTTTTTTAAGAAGATAGGTCAAATATCAAGTGCGTCACTTTTTTTGGAACTGAGTGTATATATACTTCTATCATCTTGATCCCTAATACTTTTTTCTTTCGTGAAATCAATTTTTTTTATCTCTTGGAGTGCACAAAAAAGGATCCCTATCATGTTTCTCATGAGAGAGCAAACGCCTACTTTGAATTCATCAAAAAGATGAAAAAAATTCCTTATCCAAATCCAAGTCGTGGACACTATGATATTTTCAGGAACAAGGTATTTCAGAAGAGCAGCTACCATTTCTATTGTCCTTACCTTCTATCGATAAAGAGAAACTGCATCGATTGAAGAATCGTCTGGTCGAGAAAAATGTCACCAGAGGGTTGAATTCGCCCCCGCAATTTGCGGGCTACCAAGCGTTCTATAGGGATTTCATATTGGAAGCTAAAAATCACTGTTTCAACCGACACTTGTGTGATACTCTTATATATGAGATCGTGGAACTGAACAGTAATAAGTTTGGGTTTGTTGATCTAGATGATACTGGTGAGTGAATCAACAAATATAATTATAGTTATTTATGACAATGGGGAAAAAACTCACCAGAGTGAAAATTTTCACAAATTCACTTCTGCACATGCCAATTGTTTTGCTAAACCAGGGGAGTCATTTCTGTAAATACCAGGATGGGTTCAAGAAACTCAGATAACATTTCTGTAATGTGAAAAATGCGCCGCAGGGTAAATTTTTTGGGGTTCAAGGTCAAATGGCTCAATTTGAAAAGTAGATTTCTTTCAGAGTGACAACAACTCCATTTCAGTGTATACCAGGAAGGGGATCGAGATACTCAAAACAAATTTTTGTAAGGTGAAAATGCGCCGCAGGCAATTCAAGGTCAAATGCCTTCAATATTGAAAATTGAATTTCTGTCAGACTGACAACACTCTATCACATTATTAAAATATTATAAATTATCCAGTTACGTCTTCTCAGTATGTTGCAATTGATATAAAATGATCTGAAAATAGGAACAATGAGAAAAGCAAGAAAAAACTATTTTGGATACTGTCTGTAGGTTACCCGAGTAGGTGGATGTTCCAGAAATTTTATGGAAGCAAAGGACTCAATTTTTCAATTTAGCAAAATGATTCAGAGATTCCCTGATTCACTTGAATTTTGTCATCGTGTCCGAATCAAAAACTATCACTCATAACAGGAAATCACTTAATCATCAGTTTATTGTAATTTTTACATTTCAGGAAAATTTGTTTAATCCTTATTCAGGTATATTTTATGTATGATACTTATAATTGCTATTATACTGATGTTTCAATAATTTTGGAAAAACATTTTTTTGGTGCAATTTTAAGACAGATACAATATGATGTATATTATGCGGGTTCCCCTCAAATGACGCTCATGCGTAAACATAAGCTTCTTCGCGGTGTATATCACACTGAATTGATTTTAGGAAATGGGGGATAAATACAAAGTAATATAAAACTAATAATGACCAGGTAAATCAAACGCGATAGATATACGGATTAACTTGTAGCCATCTTAGGATTAACTATTGAAACGGACGTACGAAATTAGGTGAATAAATTTAAAATGGGCTATTGTTTCAGTCTATCTGGTCCTTCAGTAGTGTATCTGACCGTTTCAATCTATTGATTACTAATGATCCCAAAAGGTTTAATATTATTCTTTTATTTTCAACATGCAGAATCTTGAAATTATCTTCGAACATATGGGATTCATTTAACAAATAATTGGCGTAGGTTGAATTGTTTTTTCCTTTAATGAAATTCCTGCTATTATGTTAATTACTCCTATCGGTTTCCAGATACCCAAGTCGACACTGAAACAAGAAAATCCTATTTTTTGGCTCTAAAGAATCTCAGAATTCTAGCAAAGTTTCTAGGATTTATCGAATCACTACCATATAATTCAGATACCCCAAACGTACCCGAAAATCTTCTCAATTCTAACATACGCATCAGAAGTCAGGTGAGTTTTTTCAAAGATTTCCTAACCGATTTTTACGTGTTGATACACCTTCAGACTAAGAAATTAGTGCGCATCAATCAGTGCGGAATTTCTTCGATAGAATGAAAAACACACCAATACTTGCTGAATCGAAATAATTTTTTTCAGTCTATCCCTTCCTTCGACTTGACACAATGTCTAGCGACTTCCGTAAAACAGAACACCGTCGTGTTGACGGTCCCGTGGACGGTCGAATATCTCGCCATGTTAGATCACGTGACCTTGCGTCTGCCCTGCTACGTGTCCGTACACAGGGCGTTGTTCCATTTGCACAGGTGCTACGAGGGTGCGGAGTATAACGTCGCGCTGGTGAGATTCTCGTTAGGGTGGTTGTTCGAGTTGCCGCACTTCCCCGACGGGGAGTACTTTGATTTTCAAAGGAGGGACGATTTGGTGGGGATGGGGCGGGTCGGTTCTTTGGATTTCACGGATGTGGTCGATGGGAATATTTTGTACGATTGTTGTCCGTTTCTGACGAAGATAAAGGAGCTGTTGGCCAGTAGTTCGGTGCAGAATACCGTCACTGTCAAACATATAACGCCTGTCACCACTTCGGATTCCGCAGAGAGTTTATTGAAGAGGAGATCTGAGGTAAGTGGACAATTAATAATTAGCTACTAACATGTCACAGTTGAATTTTAAGAACAGGATCTTGCTTTGCTCATATGAACTGCTAGTAGTAAATGAAGGATAAAAAATATTCGCATCCGGAACGACGCATGCGCTTGCAATGAGAATCTCAAAATTCAAACGTCATCTGATGACACTTGAATGATACCTATTGTAGCAGATGACTGCATATTTCAGTTGAGTTCGCTGAACATAAAAGTAATTATAACAATATGGATTTTTCACTCAGTGTCAATTATTGTTTTATATTTTTCAATGAAAACTACGTTTGAAGACTTTTGAGCCGACTGTTAGACCTTTTGGCGACTACTACACTACTTTTGGTCCTTTGAGCCGGAGTTTTCGTCTTTCAACATACCCATAGCTCGGAATTTACCCTATCTAGATATGACCACAAAGTCTCGTCATATATCCAATTATGTGACTGTGTCAGCCAGCCTGGCGTTGTTGTGATCGTTGTGATCATATATACCGCCCTCTCCCCATGTGGATGGTTTCTTGTTAGTGTAAATAATCAAGGCTATCACTGATCGAGGATACCGTCGATCAATCTCCAGCCCAAAGCTCAATTCAAAATTTGAGTTGAATTACAGCATCAAACATCCTTACTAAACATTTTTGTATCATGTGTTATTCAAGTGTCATTAGACGACGTTTAATTTTGAAACTGTCATTGCCAGTGCAACTGCCGCTTCAGTGAATATCTTCTGTCGCACTAGCACTGTCCATTTGAGCGAAACGAGAATTCTTAATCGTCTAATGAGGTAAGGCTCGACTTATCCTCCAAGAATGCTTAGAATTCATGGGTTCAGGGAAGACAAACAAACTCAATTTATAGTTGTTTTTCTTTTCAGCAACTGTTGGAAGATGCTTTTTTTAATGGTCAACCTGCCTCTTTGAGGAAAACAGTCGAATTTGTTAGTGAAAGAATAGCGTCTGCTTGCGTTAAGCATATCTGTAATGATATTGTTCCATCTTCCAAGAAAAATGCTTTGGACGAATTGAAAGTGTTCCTGGAATCTTGGATCAATGATGGCCAAGTCGTGTCACCTGCTAAAGGAAAAACACAGAAGGTAGATGAATATTTTATCTAATTCAACCCATAAAATTAGTTGTGCCTGCAATTTTTCACTAGTATTCCCTTTGGCCAACTTGAAGTCTTTCTATTTTATTGTATTCGCGATAGAAATTGAGCGTACGCTACCTATCGGAGTTTCTGAAACGTGTCAAAGTGGTCTGTTTACTTTGTTTTTATTGGTTCTCATTTGTTTTTTTTCTTGACTTATTGGTCACTGTTCAAGTTGTTGCCGTCAGGTGGAGCGACGTGTTATTTTCTATCGCGAATTGTATAGGTTCTTTCCCTTGGATCCTGTAGAATGACATATTCTGCATGTGGATGAGAATAGAGGTTTCCTTCTCCCCACAGAACCTGCATCCGTCTTCCTCTTCTAAGCCGAACTTCCTAAGATTTTCTGTCAACCTGTTAGGACTCCCGTTATTATAAAAAGTTTATTTTTGACAGATGTCTAATCTCTGTTTGGCTTCAGTTGTAGTTTTTTGATGATAAATTTGATCTGAGAGTCCCATATCAAGTGAGAATCGATGATAACTCCTAGATATTTCATTTCCCTCAGTGGTAAGATATTTATCTCAGTGTCATTTGTATTTACGTTCAAGTTTTCTAGAAATCATTGTATTTTACTGAAATCCATTTATGCTTTTTCTTTCAGTTCCCCCAAGTATCAGTTATAGAGTATTGCCGTGTCGTCACTTTGGAGAGAGTATAATTCCCTGACGTGAATGTTGAAGAGGATTGGTCCTAGCCGGGTTCCTTGTGGTATTCCTTCAATTTCTCTTGTTTCGCTAACAATTTGGTCAAGTTTAACTAGCTGATGTTAATTTGAGAAGTAACTTTCGAATAGCTTCAGACTTCCTCCTTATACACCTATATGGTGTGTCCGGGAATGTCCTGGAACCCATTGAAGGATGACTGTATTTCTGTTGGCCAGCTCGTTCAGTTTTTCCTGGCATTCCTCAAACTTGGTGACTTCACCATCTCTGTGAATTTTTTATTCACTGATCACTTTTCCACCTCATCGTTCTTGATCTCAGCTTGGTCCCGCCCTCGAAAGGCAGAGGAGTGGGGGTTGGCCATATGGTGGCACCTCCTACTAGAGGAGCTGATGGTGAAACTTTGCGGGCTCCCTTCTATAGTACGGGTCGATAAGGTCTTAGTGTTTACTTTTCAGGCTCAACTAAAGTCACAAGTCACCCAGATGGCGCAAAAGCAACTCTCTACTCTTCTCGATCGATGCAAGACAGAAGTGACTGGCATTCTGTGCGGAAAAATACCACCGTCGATTGACAGCTTGCTAGCTATCGACACTTTACCTCAGACAAAAAATGCTTGCGTTTCTATATCTGCGAAAATCTGCAAGGAAAGGATAAAGCAGTGGATGAATGCACACGTGACTTTGTCTATTTTCACTAAAGATTTCGAAAGCGAGGTACAAAAGACTATCAACACCGATGGCAAGAAGGCCGGGAAAGAAAAACCCATTTTTGCGCTTCCATCTGGTGGCAATAAGGACAGTCATGATGACAGGTGTCTGAGTGGCTTTCATCTTCTAGAAAAAATCAAGGTGAGATGCTAATGATGGCGCTGGTCTTGTTTTTTTTACAGTGTATCCCATTTTGGTTGAGACTACCAGGTTTCTCGGTTGATACTGAAGATAGAATCTTGCGGTTTTCACGTTCCCGTCCTACTTTTTTGTGAATATTATGATGGCTGAATCAGATTTCGCTTTCCGTTTATGAGATACAGGGCGATTTTGAAAATTTTTACTTTTTGAACCCATTCTATATCTAAGTAGTAATATGGAATGATGTTGCGCTAAATACTATGTCTTACTGAGAATTTTGCGCAAAATCCAGAAGCGTACTCAACATTTTTTTTTGGGGTTCGGCTTTGGAGGTATGACAAAATTATATATTATTTTAAATTTTCTTTAGGTACGTTTCATGAATTAGTGTTATCTTTTTTGCCTTATCTCTTGATAAAATCATCATCAAATAATACTTCATTCATGTAAAAAATCAACAGCGCACTAGCAAAATTTCATAATAATTTAATGTTTTAGTGTTTTTTTAGCATTCTTTAAGATCCTATATCCTATATAACACCCATACAGGGTGAGTTACTTTTTTGTAGCAGTACTTTAACAGATTAAAGGAGATATTTTTTAAGATGAAAATGTTCTTTCAACGCGTGGGAGCTTCGATTCTGATATACAGGGTTGCAAAGTTTGCACGACCCCAAAAGTGTATTATCCTGTAGATATTCAAGGACGCTCGACAGCCCCAAATATTGCGTTTCCAAAGTGTACCAGGTGTACCAAATTTCAATTTATAATTTCGAGAAATGTAGGAGGAAATTGGAAAAACACAAAAGACATCTCAAACCTTGAAACCCTGTATATCGGAATCGAAGCCTCCGCGCATATATGCGTGGAGGTTAAAATCATGTCAAAAACTACGAACTCAAAAAATAGAGTTTCATTACAAGTAAATTATTTTTGGCATTTATCTTGAAACCCATACAGTTTTCGAAAAAACTAAAGGGAGCAAAAAGTACCCAATTGAAGGGAAAATCTGAATTGATATTTGATAGAAAACAGGCGGTACGCAAAAAAGTTCGGAGAGGGTTAACTCGGGTACGACTCTCAAAAGTGTATCATCCTGTAGGCATGCATGTACGCTGGTTTGCGTTTCCAAAATGTGATAGGCGTACCAAATTTCTATTCATTATTTCGGAAATTGTGGGAGGAAATTGGAAAAACACAAAAAAAATCTTGGACTTTGAAACCCTGTCGGAAATGAAGCTCCCACGATTATATGTTTATATAGAATTTTCATCTTCAAAAAAAAGTCTTCTCTCAGCTGTTGAAGTCCTGCTTATTCACCCATATATATCATTTTGAAGAAAAAAAACGAATTCAGCGAAATAATGAGATACAGGGTGTTCCACTGAAAAATATATAACTTTGTACCGTATCTCCAAAACTAAACCCCGAAAAAAAAATTCGGGTACGCCACTTGATTCTGCACAAAATTCTCTGTTAGACCTATTTCTGAGCGCAACATCATTCCTAACAATTTGTAGGCATAGAAGGGGTCCAAAAAGTATATGAATTTTCAAAATCGCCCTGTTTCTCATCAATGGAAACAGATACCTATGCAAAATCTGAATCGGCAATCATAAGTTGCACAAAAAAGTAGGACAAGGACGTGAAATCTGCAAGGCTCTATCTTCAATAATAACCAAGAAACCTGTCAGTCTCAACCAAAATGGGATGCACTTTATAGATTTCATTTTCAGACTATGTCAGTTGATATTCTGGAAAATCCGGATGCTGTAAATGAAGAGTCAGTCGAAGCTGTGGTAGGGGGCGCTGTTGACAGTTTCCGCAACAGGTGTGACGTAAATGACAGTATAAAGTCCTACATTTGTTCATTACTTGTTGATTTTCTGTTGTTATTGAGTAAGTCGCTTACTAATCATAACAGAAAATTCCATTGTAGCACCTGACATTTCTGTTTTTAGTGGTGCATAAGCCTGGATTGAATGTGGGCGATCATTTGCTGAGAATGTTCGTTGATGTTTGGAGATGTTATGGAAGAGCAGAGGAACTTTTTAAAAGTCTGTTATGCTCAAGGAATATTTTATTGATACGTCAAAGTAGTGATGAAAAAAAGACTTGGTCGTGTTATGCAAATTTCGTTGCATTTTTATTGAAGGAAAATGTTCTTTCATGTGATAATTTCGAGGAACAGTGTACAGGGTTTTTCGAAAAACAATGGGACCAGGTAACAAATTTTGTTTTCATGACTTGCTGGTTTTACTGACTGTGTTTGTTTTGTTTCAGGAATCCAGTACGAATGCTTGTTATTTTATTAAAGAATTCGTTGAAAAGTTTAAAAACAATGGTGGTGACACAAGTAGATTTGTTTTACTTCAAGAGATTTTATCGAAGTTTTGTATAGATTCGTAAATACGTCCATTTTATTTTTACCTGTTTCATCTATTTATTGACTATATTTTAATAAAAAAATCACATAACTGACGTAATCACGTGAATTTATTTCATTTGCATTACAAAAATATTTATTTTCTTGTTCTTGGGAAGCTCATATCAATGTATAACTTGGCACCCTACTGGTTCATCTGATCTATCAGGACAATCAAAATTCCCATCGCAAAAATTTTCTTTCGGTATGCAATGGCTGTCGACGCAGGGAAATTCATCTTCGGGACATTTCAAACCTGTGAAATGAAACGAGCTGCATTGAAATAATAGTATATTATACACCTAGGGACTAAAGTGGTAATTTATTTCTCGAGACAAAAGTTTATAGCCCGACCAACAGGAGGGCTATAATTTGTCGAGGGATTCAAAAACACTTTGTTCCTGAGGTGTATATACTATTTTATGCACTTAAGGATAGGTAAAACGGTAAAAATAACGAAAAAAAAGTAAATGTCACTAAATGGTAGGTACTCTATTTCTAAAACGTCATCGAAGGGGCTGCTTATTACTATATCAACTACCTCACTAATTATGGTGATCCAGTTTTTGGGAAAAAACTGGTAAATCCTAGGGATTTAAAATGTTCTTCAAATGCCTAGGGATTTAAAGTACCACTTTTTCCCCGAAAATAGGGATTTAAAGTACCCTTTGAATCCCTGAAGTGCATAAATTAAGTTACCTACCTTTGACACAATCCACTTCATCTGATTTGTCCCAGCAATCAAGATTTTGGTCACATTTCCTCGATAGTTCCAAACAGGATGTTGAGTTTCCACAGTGAAAATGGGTTTTCAAATCACAATCTGTGAAAAAAATAATCTTTTTCTACTCACATAACTAAAATGGCATTTAGCGTACGGATATGTACCACGCTAAATGATCGATTAATCACGGATTGTCGATCTGTGATTTATTCGAAATATTAAACACGTTACCATGGCAACACGATTTCTTAAACACATTACCATGGCAACGCAGTTCATTAAACACAGCTTCGGTAATTTGAGACCTTTGAGACATGTCTGGCCTGTCAATTGTATTAACTGTCAACTGTTATTTTCAAATTTTGTATCAGAATTATTCAAACAATATTCGTTTGTATCAGAATTCTTCATTAAAAATATATGCGAAAAGTAGACGAAAGTGAAATCGAAGAGAATGTTCTGGTACTTGCATATCTCCAAGAAGTGTGAAAATGAAGCATCCATCTTTGAGAACAATTTATTTATTCTGCGCTAAGCATGACAATAAACGTGAAACAAAGGTTAGTAAGCAATGGACTGGACACATCTACAACCAATATCACTTATACGTGTCTCGCTGGTTGCATGCAGTTGCATGTATCATGTTCTCAATTCCCATTCCTTTCGAATTGATTTGTAGGTTAGCAGGAATTGCAGGTATGTTAATGTACTTTTCGGAGTTTGTAGAAAAATCATAGTATGTAACGCGTTTATAAACTCTTCTAGACACTCGTTTATTAAACACTCGCTCCGCTCGTGCTTCAAATACTCGTTACTAAAAGGACGTTTATAACACTTGTTACATAATATACTATTTCAGTCAAGAATTCCATTCTTATATATAGTAATAGAGTAATGAATAAGGATAATGGACCCATCCCATTTAGCCCTCTGTATATAGTCACCATGAATAACAGTTATTGTCTATTCACGGTTGGGTGGACATATTCTTAGTATATAAGTAGCCCACTAGGATAGAGCATTCAGTTTTAATCTTCTCCTGAAGATGCTAACATAGTTAGCGAAACACGTGTCGAGGTGTAAAAAATCGGTTTGCTTAGTGGTAAAACAGTGTGTAGTGTAGTATCATGCCAAAGGTTCCAGTCTCCGATATAGTATATTCTGTGTTGTGTATTTATTAACAAGCTATTATTATTTTATTTTCAACTTTTTTTCAGTATGGCAATTTATGAAAGCGTGTTTCTTGAGTTTGTCAAACTTCTCTTCGTTGATAATGATTTACAAATCCTGGTAATTTCCTAAATATTTCATTGAGTTGAATTGATAAGTACAGAAACACGATAAGGACCCCTACGAGGGTAGTGTACCTACTGATAGGTGATTCCTCTACAAAGCTAGGTATATTAAGTGTTTTTTCCGTCGATCTCGTATTAACGACTAAGTTTAATGTATATGAAATCGTTCATTAATGACCCCTATTAATGGACGATTTGTCTATTAATGCACGATTGTTTTATATGCAACCAAACATACACCGCGTGCATTCATTGTTTATGCTATAACTAGCGGAATCTGCATTCATATCGGAAATATGGATTTCATCGACGATTTTCCGTTAACGGGTTCACCTTTCCAAGTTTCTGACACGATTTTATTCCCTGTTTTCTATCACAAGGCATTTATTTCCTATGTTGATCATTTCGACAAATGTCAAATGACACTAATGTCAGTAACAAGGCTACTGGGTGATTCTTAGCAGTTTCCGGATGGATGATGAATTCGCGAACCAAGTTTTCTTCATTGCAGGAGAAATGAGAAATACAGTCGACGGAAAAATTTTGTAACCAACTTGTTTATTAAAAGGCGATTAATGATCTCGAACATTAACGCACTCGCTTCGCTCGCACGTTAAAATATCTCGATCATTAATCGCCCTCATTAATATACTAGTTGGTTAAATAACTATTTCCGTCGACCTCGTATTAACGACTAAGTTTAATTGGTTTAATGTATATGAAATCGTTCATTAATGACCCCTATTAATGGACAATTTGTCTATTAATGCACGATTGTTTTATAGGCAACCAAACATACACCGCGTGCATTCATTGTTTATGCTATAACTAGCGGAATCTGCATTTAAATCGAAAATATGGATTTCATCGACGATTTTCCGTTAACGGGTTCGCCTTTCCAAGTTTCTAACACGATTTTAATCCCTGTTTTCTAACAGAAGGAATTTATTTCCTATGTTGATCATTTCGACAAATGTCAAATGACACTAATGTCAGTAACAAAGCTACTGGGTGATTCTTAGCAGTTTCTGGATGGATGATGAATTCGCGAACCAAGTTTTCTTCATTGCAGGAGAAATAAGAAACATAGTCGACGGAAAAATTTTGTAACCAACTTGTATATTAAAAGGCGATTAATGATCTCGAACATTAACGCACTCGCTTCGCTCGCACGTTAAAATATCTCGATCATTAATCGTCCTCATTAATACACTAGTTGGTTAAATAACTATTAATGAGTATTCGTTCTATTCATTATTTCGAACTCCCCACCCAAAAAAGTCAGGTGGACCACTATTTCATGATCTAGCCAAAAACTTACCGCAATTTTTCTCATCGGACCCATCAGAGCAGTCCAAAATACCGTCGCACCTGCTACTCCCTAAAACGCACATGTTCCCACAGCTGAATGTTCCGTTGGAACATGCGAGGGTGGTCTTCAGAATCGAACATTGATAGACGCTGGAATTTCGATCGAGAATTTGACAGTAGTGAGTACCGATTTGACAGAGTCCTCCGCAACCTGTCGGATCGTTCAAGTCCTCGGCTTTTACGCATTCGGGTTTTCCAGTTTCGTGGACTTTCAGGCATATTTCTTGGTCGCGAATACAGGCAGTGCAAAAAGTGTTTTTTGCGGTGTTTTTTGTCTCCTTAAAATTTTGGTATGAACAAATTAGGCTGTTTCACAGTTGCAACTGTTAATAAGTCCTAATTTACAGTTGAGGATCGTATTCACAGTTACATCTGTGAATTAGACTAGTTTACAGTTGTGACTAAATGATTCCTATTATACAGCTGAGGCGTCAATTTACAGATGCAAATCTTAATGCGGAATAAGGACTCATTTACAGTTCGGATGGATCTCAAAGTAATTCAATGTTCAACTGACAAATGATGACAGCTAATGCAAGAGAGGCTATTCCGGCTTGCCAAGCCACATCAGTTGCTCTAAATTACTGTTGCAACTGTACATACGTCCTAATTGATAATTGCAACTGTAAAGAAGTCCCAATTCACAGTAGCAACTGTTTCTATTTCTAATTTGAAATGAAGGCACCACTTTACTCTCAAAATTTCCTATTATATCATCAATAAAAAGCTTAAATCAAATTTTATATTAATCAGGAATTCCGAAATTCATGATCATCACACTAGACAATATAACTTGTTTCATCTTGAAGCTGCAAATTCCAAACTTGGGCAAAAAAAGTTTACACATGAGGCGATTTCGAAATTCAATAAATTACCAGATGATATCAAAAACAGCCAAAATATTATGCAATTCAAGAATAAAGTGAAGAAATATATTTATATGCAAAGGAATGATCGAAGCTGAAAGACTATGAATTTCCTTTTTTTTCACTGTTTTTATTTTCCCCCTTCTTTTTCACTATAATATGACTGTTATTTTGAGATATCAATGATATGTAAGTTTTATTCACTATTTGTAATTTCAATTATACAACAGTCGATAATACTTCATGAAGGAATTACTGTCTGATCATTCATGTCATTCCTACTAGAAAATTAATTATACTTTATATATTATTTGTATGAATTGTATCATTGAAGAAGATACTGTAATGCGATAGCTGAAATAAATAAATAAATAAATAATGGGGAATTAGGACTTATTAACAGTATTGATGGATCTCAAAGTGATTAAATGTTCCACTGACAAAAATGATGGCAGCTGATGCAAGGCAGACTGTTTTGGCTCACCAAGCCCCATCAGTTGTCCTGAATTACACTTGCAACTGTACATAAGTCCTAAACAATTGCAACTGTTAATAAGTCGTTATTTACAGTTGCGCCTGTTGCTAAGTGCTAAATAATTTGCAGTTGAGGCGCTAATTAACAGTTGCATTGTAAATTAACACCTATTCAAGATGTTTCCAAAATTGAAATTGCATTATAATTTTATTGAAACAAGAATATTTTAGTAGATATTACATTTTAACGTGTGCCTGAAATTTTTGTAAATCTTTGATAAGAGATTCATAGTCGAACCCAAGCATTCAGTTTCGGCGAGCTGTCAATCAACGTAATATGATCGTTGACTTTTGCAAATCGAACAAACCTAATGAAAATCAGTCAATCTATATGTACTCTCTGTGTACCGGTACTTACTTTCGATGTTTCGTTGAATTCACTTTCTGACATATCTTCGGCTGAATCTTGGAAACTAGAGTTGAAATTCTCCTCTGTGATATTCGCAATATTTTCTGAATTGTTAGGAACATCATTGTTCTCAATTTCATGTGAATTTTGAAAGAGGCGTTTATCTGAAATCAACAAGAATAATGGATATTATTGATAATTTGCCAATTATTTTCTTATTTCATGGCTCACATTGATTAAGATAACTTTTGAAACCTCGATATATTGTGAAGACAATTCCTCATACATTACTAGCACCTCAATGTTTAATCATGTTCAATCAATTGAGAATGCTTTTGGTTACCTACATAAAATTCAAATTGAAATAATTTTGACCTCACTTGCCTTCTGGACTATATGTGGTTGCTTCGATTAATATTTTATTGGCTTGATTTTCATTCAATTATTTGAATACTTGACAACTCTTACGTGATTATATTTGAACCTGTCGAATCAAGGAAAGTGGAAAAATCGCTCTAGCAAACTCTCGCGTTTTTTTCACTACCTTGATTCTCGATGGTTTGCCATGACAATAAAACTTCCATACAATTAAACATGTATCTATCAATGAAAACATTATCTCTTATGTATGTCTCTCTAGAACATACACAAATGACATAATTTTTTCATTTCCATGCAGTAACAAATTGTATACATTCAAAAATCAATAACTACTTAATCAGTTTCACGAATCTCCTTGCAGTTCGAATAATAAGATGGCACTTGTTTTGACCTATTGAATTTGAATATGTAAAAATATACAGGGTATTCCGTTTGAATAAACGAAGTTGCTAGCATTTCCAGAAAAAACGGGATTCCGCCATATTGGATTTAGATGTTATCAAATCCGAAATGGGGTGGCCCGGTCCCCTGTATCACCCGGTATAGGCGTACATTATTGACATATTTGTGTCAATTAGTAAATGATGGATGGGAATAAGTGACAGATGGGTGTGGATTAGTGATAGAGACGTCGATATAAGGACAAAAGGATGCTAATATGTGACATCTAGGTGTAGACTTGTGACAGAAAGATGTGAATAAGTATTGGATGGATGTGAATGAGTGACAGATGATGGGCATAAGTAAGAGATGGTGTGAATAAGTGACAGAATGGGTGTGGGATATGTGACAGATCAGTGTAAATAACGATTTAAGCACACTGTTGATGAAATCAGCGCACTTCAGCCAGGTAGATGTAAATATGGTACTCTCAAGCGATCACCAATCTGATATGTCATCAATGCTGAGTCACCATTTCTTGAACATGAATACCATCACGAAGAAACAAATCTTTGATGCCGCTAAAAAACTCAAAAATAAATTCAAGTGTGGTCCTGATGGAATTCCAGTTAAAGTTTTGAAAAATATCATTAATCTGCTTTCTGAACCTTTACCTTTACTCATAATTTTTGATCTTGCTCTGCAGAAAAACAACTTCCCTAAGAGTTGGAAACTTTCAAGAATGTATGTCCAGTCTTCAAATCTGGCAAAATCACACTCACTATTTCGGTTTTCTCGAAAATACTTGAGATGCATCATTTTGAATGAATATTCATAACACGATTATCAATGCTCTGAATTTGAAAATTCCGGAAACGTTTCGAAAAGAAGCATCAATCAAGAGGATACAGGTGATAAAAATAATAATAAAAACATATCTGTTCAAACGTGACGTGACGACCACGATGCAATTTTACACCCATTCAATTATCACCCTGTAGCTTTGCATTCAGGCTATATTTTGGACCACGACGTTATCAATCTTGACCAGGTTCAATGAATAAATAAATATGGTGAATAGGTACGTCAATGTTTCAAGAATGCCTTACTGACTCACCGAAAGACAGAAAAATCCCGAAACCCACGGCTACGATGATGGAGCAAAAAACCAAAACGTACACCACCACTTTGGTCTTCTTCTCCTTTTCGTCCTGCCGATCGGTTTCGTTGATTTTGAGCACCCACCGTCTCCCGAACACGTTCCTCTTTATGATGACATTCTTGTTGAATTCGTTCTGCGTGTGTTCTCTCGAGGAAAATTTCAGGTTTTCCTGCTGACGGCGGATTTTCTCGTCATAGTAGTGGATTTTCGTCAGCTCGATGTTGGTCGGCGAGAGGATCATGTTTGGGTTTGTTCGGGACGTTTGGGACGGGATTTTCAATTTTCTTCACGATACAAACATTGCGGCAATGTGCGGCCATCCGTGACGATTTTTAGGCCATGTGGTGCCGATTGTCGCGAGCCGACTCTAGCGGGGCACGGGAGTCGAAATAGTCCGGGAAAAGTCCATCGAAAATCGACTAATAATAATTATAACAATATAAGAAAGTATTGAGAAGGAATATACTCAGATTAATTATGAACATGAAAAAATGGATATGCAGGGTGTTCCTTCAAGGCATGGCTCATTTTCAGATAACAACTTCCTATGGCCGTATGTCTTGAAAGTCTTAACTTTTGAGATACAGGGTGATAAAGTTTTGAAAAGAAGAAGTTTTTCGATAATAACTGAGATGATATTGTAGATATCTCTACCAAATTTGGTACATGTCTTCTATGCATCAAGGTGCATTTTCTGATGTACACAAATTTTCATTTTCTCTACCAGTGGCGCCGTTTGGGGGATATTATTGTTTATATTTTACTTAAAAGTGAGCAACGAAGGAAAATTTCCAAATTTCATACAATCCTATGAAAGGCCATTCAATTCTGTACAAAAAAGATCCTCCTGTTGATACTCGATAGAACGCTTCGTTTTCGAGAAAAATCGGAAAAACGAGACCAGACTTCAAATTTTGATGTAAATGCTAAGGTGAGTACTCCATTCAGACAGTATGTAACATTTTGAAATTTTTGCACCGTTTCAGTCACATAGCAGACTGAATTTTTTCATCATGAAAAGCTATACAGGGTGGACAAAAAAATAATCTATGCATATTTTCAACTTTGATACCCTGTATCTCAAAAGTTAGGACGTTAGACTGAATTTTTTCATCATGAAAAGCTGTACAGGGTGGACAAAAAAATAATGAAGTTTTATTATTGAAATGGGTCCAAGAATCGCCCTCTTGAATATTAGCATGTCACTAAGGAACACCCTGTATACAGAATGGGAAATCTCTGAACTACAGATAGTTAACATAAAAATGAAGAGATTTAGCCCAATATGCCTCATGAGAATGTTGCTGTTGCTGGTTTAGGAGATACAAGGGGATATTTTATTCCAAAATTTCACAATAACTTTGTTAGTTTTAACAGAATGAACATGAAATATTGTATTTCTGGGTTTTTTGACATGAGGAATATGAATTTGCAACTTATTTTGTGATTTCTCATAGAGAGCGCTAGTGGCACTCTGTTACTTCGATAATTTACATCAGTTTACATCATATCTTCTATGTCAATTTATTGATGATCAAAATGAGTGGAAAATCTGAAAGCTCGTTCAATTTCACATGGAAAATGTACTCTTCATCAAATTGTCTAACTTCAACGGTTTTTGTGTTATTCGCTATTGAAGAGATTTATGTTCCAATCATAACATTTTAATAATTTTATTTATCAAATTAAGAATTGGGAATCCCTGAACTACAGATAGTAAACACACGTGGTTCAGAATTAAGATTTTTGACTACCTTGTATCTATTTCAATTAAATATCAATTGATAGTACATATGAAAAGTTGAGATAGGGACATGAAAACCGTTTTGATCAATTATGAATAGTTTCGACACAAAAAATTCTTATATCTTTGTTATCATTCCCGCTAGACCCAAGTGTAATAGATCAATGGAATCAAATCTTCATGGAGAATCTGAAAATGGAATGATATACAGGTCGTTCCATTTAAAAAATCAAAGTTGTTGCTACTTTCCGATATAAGTGGCAACGTCGCAACGTTTAAAATATTTCAGGTCGATAGAACACAACTAATTATCCAAGGCAGCAACTTTTCAGAATGATCCTGAGTTGCGGTCTCCAGAAACGTCTAATGTGCCTTCTACCGTGAATCACCCTGTATATGCCTGTCAATGCCCATAATGGTCACCAGCTCATTCTTCTCATTCATGTGATTGATCTTTTTATTCTCATCTTCCGACGTTTCTCAATGACAGAAGTTGAGAGAAGAATGTGTGAGTTTCAAGTTGTTTTTTGTTTGATCTCGAATTTACCAAATTCATATTCACATTCTAGGAGTTCAATACCATATTCTAACTACAGTGCTTTCGTGAAGTAGGTACTGAATACATTAATTTTTAGTCAAACTATCCATATCCATTAACTCGCCACATTTTTGAGGGCAAATTGAATATACACGTTTGAGTAATGACGTCCGCGATAATTTTTCACCCTATATATTCTTAAATTTTTTGGAATCTCCGTGGAAAGCTGAATTCAAAAAATAGATTGTTTTCATTGTATAATTATGTTCTCTCGTTCCTACTGAAAGAAGTATATTCGTTTCACCTGTATAATATTTTCCATAAATCGAAAATCTTTGTGGACCCAGAATAGATCCTTGCGGCACACATTTAGGAAGTTTGGTATTGCTATTTCTAAAATGAATCTAACTACAAGGTCGGTTAAATTGAAGAAAAGTTGTCTCTTGTGCCTGTACAGCGTTGCCATATTCTGGGGGATTTCTGAGACATTCAGAATAATGTGAAGTTTGTTCTTTCATCCCGTTCTTTTCTTGACATGATTAAAAAGAAATGGGTACTTGTGCAAATTTATTTTGTTTATCACAATATTATTTACAAGCACTCATACATAAACTATGTTCAATTTATATAAAATAATTCACACTAACATACGCCTGTGTGCTGAAACAATCATAATAGTTAATAATGAATGTAATAACCAAAACAGAGTCAACATATTGAATTGATTTTAATGGTAATAAAAAATGCATTTACACTAGATATTTTATATTTACAGAAAGATACATCTGCACCCTTAATGATGCTCCTGAACTGACAAGTTTTCTTTTTCGAAACTTGAATACCAAGATTTCTCTTTGATTATGTCTTTATAGTCTAGAAAAACCGGTAGAATCCGCAAAATATTCAAAAAGCGAAAATACTCCTATGTATAATGTTAATGTTGATGAAGCTGAAAAAAAAAACTGTTTATTTTGTTGCAAAATATGAATAAACTAATTAACAGAATCGTCCATAAGTTGGGTATGAATTCAGGTGAATATTTTTGAATGAAAAAAACGCTGGAACACGTTTTAGAGCAGTAGTTAAAGTATAGTGTATAACTCGCACGAAATGCTAATGTCCCACTCGTATGGTTTTCAAAGTTGATCCCCGTGCTCATTCAACAATTTATTATCATTTGACTAATTTTCAAATGAATCAGTAGGAGAAAAAATTCAATATTCTGCGGTAAAATAAACAGTTTTTTCGCCTGAACTTACACTATAGTTTTGTTCAGGTACATCCATGATAACTTCCAACTATCAATTTTGCATATTAAATTCGAAATATACGGAAACACGTATTACAATAAAGATGTTAATGTGTTTTGAGTAAAACACTATAACAGGAACGTATACAGTGCGTTTTTGAGCATAAATTCATTTTTAGCCAAACTACCCATCAATCATGATGAATCTCCTGGAACAAGTCGATTTTCATTTTTAATTTGTCACATTTATACCTAGGGAAAAATTAAATATACAGGGTGATATACGTTTAGCTATGACGACTGCGACTAATTTTTCAAATGGATCACCCTATCTATTATTCAATTTTAACTGAATTCAAAAATGAATTACACACACGGTTTTTATACAGTGCGTTCTTCAAATTCAATGCTCTCGTGAAATAGTATGGAAACATTTTTTTTTTCAATCCGTACTATCCATTTCTGAGAAATCTCCTGAAACAGGCCGATTTTTATAAGGAAAAATTATATATACAGGGTGATCCACGTTTGTGTTATGACGTACGCGACAACTTTTCGAATGTAACACCCTATATATTAATAAATTTTTGGAATCCTTATTGAAAACAATATCACACATAGGGTTTGTATACAGTGCACCCGTTAAATTCTGTACCATCCTGAAATGGGGTTGCCGATAAAAAAAAACGATGACGTAATTTCTCCAACACAAATTATTCTGTATGTATTCATTGAATTTGGAAGAATGCCTGAATGACCATAAAATTCGACGGCTCTGTTTCTTCAATTTTCTACTCATACCAAATATTTCGGTACGTGTTTCCAGAGTGTTTCTAATTCAATTTTTGCAAAAGGGCATATACAGTGTGTCTCACTTCAAATCTCAGTTATAAGTAATCCGATTCCAAGCAAATTCGGAACTGGTAGTAGGAATTCTCAGTATGATGATATTTTCAGAGAGGGTCTCTTAGGCCTTTAAACGTCCATATGCAAAATTTCATATAATTTCTATAGAAGATTTTCACAACAACGGGTTCAATTCGCGAAGGGCGTCTACAACAACAAAAAATTATACAGGGTACACTTATTTGTTGTAATCAAAATTAATGACGTTTCAATTCAAATTCCGAGTCAAATTCATTATTTTTCGGTGAACAAAGATAGGCAGCCATTTGAAGTGGGACACCATGATACTTAGAAGTTCAAAATAATCAAAATGGAGCTTTTCATAATTTGATATGTTGAGATACAGAGTGAAACCATAACATATCAAGTAAGATTCTATTCTTCAGCATGTTATCTTCGATACTAGTCGATACAGCTAGTATGAAGCAATTTAAGATCAATTCAAATTTTTGAAATGTAAATTACAATTTGAATATGCTCTGAAGGCGATGCTCAAGAATAGAACTCATAATCATAGGAAACGGTCGCATGATTATTCACAAAAAAATCTAGTTTATATTTCTTAACCACATAATTTCTGACATTCTTCTATGGCCGGCAATTTTTCTAATATATTGTTCAATACGTTAATTGAATATATTCGTAATACTTATACAATTCAAATATACATACTATTATTTGCCCATCTTATGAATGATAGACAATGGGCAGATTTTTATTTTTGGTATATTAGTCTGAGAAAAATTTAATAATAATCAACTTTCGCACTACCTACTGAAGCTGCCAAAGGGAAATATTCGAAATGTTCAGGTAGTTTTTAATCCAATATCATGTCTGAATAATTGATATTCTCTTCTGCACACAGTTATTTCAGAATTTTTTGACGAATTTAAGCAAATTTTGAAGATAGGTCTGGACGTTGAAAAAAATATTTTTGGAACTTCTAATTGAAATTCCATTCATTTTAATCACAGAACATGAAAGAACGAAAAGGGAAATAAAAAAAAATACAAAAGTCATTCGATATTTCCTAATTTTTATGGCAGTTTGACAAGAATATTTCTTGAAAAAATCTGTTCACTGTCAATGACTATACAATAGTTACTTAGTCGACTATTACATTTTTTGGGGTTTCCGAAAATCATTCATTCAAATATTTTGATGCGAATTTCTCAAAATTTGTTATTATTAACATCGATGAATAATATTCAAAATCACATAAGCTTTGTTTGGCTATATACACAAGCGTAACATTATTCATTTATTTTTTGAGGGAACACAATTTCAATTTTCAATCCAATCAAATACAGGATGACACATAATTGCCTAATTTTATGAAAAAAAGCAGCCGCAGTAAATTATTATTGGATCAATTGAGAATATAATGGACCTTGAGTATAGCAATGAGTCTTTGAGGTAAATTCATATACAGAGGTCAAGCATGTCGCCAAATTTCCAGGGGAAATTTTATTAGTTATTTGAAGTTTGATCACATTCTTATTTAACATCCTCTATAATTTTCGGTCTGATTGATTGTGGTATTGTAAAACTTGATTGGCATGTCATGTCATTTGGATAAGGAACATACTCACAAATATAATGGTATACTTGATGTGTCGATGTATTTAAATACGTGTACTCATTATGAATCATCCTGTATAACAGAGTTGTTGTCAATGATTTTGATGCATTTTTCAGGTGGCATTAAAAAAAAAAGATTTTCTGGTGAAAATTCATAAGGGAATATATTCGTCTAATTCTGGAGTATTTACTCGAAATAGTCGAAATCATCAAAATTAGCAAAGGTAATATTTATAGATCAACTAGAAAAAGGCCCAAATACTCAAAGTGGAGTGAATAGGTAACAAAGAAGAAGAAACTCCAAGTCATTTCCACACTATGTTCATATAATGAACAAAACTGGTAGATAACGAGAGAAAAACAATGACTTTCCTGGCTATATTCCACGCAGAACATTGAATTACGTCCCATCAACGCTATCTAAGGCAGTGTCCATTTCGCAGTGGCCGAACGCCTCGTGGATATTAAATGCTGAGAGGTGTTGGGCCAGGTTTGCACCAGATGGCCGTCATGAATGCCATCTGGGGACAGCCCTGCACTGATGAGGGTCAAAGTCCGGAACCAGAATTTAAGCACTATTCAGCATTTAGGAAAGAAACACTTGCAATTTTATTCGTCTGAACGATTCGTTGGATAGATTTCGGGAGGATATAATTCAATGTTCTGCGAGGTATTTAGACAGGAAAGTAGTTTTTCTCTCGTTATCTACCAGTTTTGTTCATTTTATGAATATAGTGTGGAAACGACTCTGAGTTTCTCCTTCTTTATTTATAGATCAGTTTCTGTATGTCATCCATCAAAATTTCATTCTGAACCTTGCAAGTTGTTGATTGAACACCCACTAAAGTATTCCGATAAGTAAGATATAATGCACTGCCCGCCATTGTTCTCGAGAATATGTAACAATAATAAACAAATTTTCTTCAAATCGTATAATAATAACCTTTCCATGGAACCAAACGAACGCTGGAATCAGAAACTTAACACTAATCAACACAATAAATAACCTAAATCCGCGAGATAACCCAGCGTCGAAGGAACTTATCAACGATCCGACCCATAACATCGATCCCCCACCTCCGAACGTTGGCCAATACCTCCAACAATAAGCACCACACGCCCATCGGACTAGACCTCAACACCATGAAATATTACGCAATGGACGTGCCAGACATCGTCGTCATGCACTTCTTTTCGCAGGTCTCGGTATTTTCCGAGCTCGAACGGACCGCTTTCGGCGTTCCGGGGCTATTCTGCTCGCAAGTTTCGGTATTGTTGTTGGTCGACGCCCGTCGCGACACCTCCCGAGTCGCCGTTCTGACGTCGAAGACGCTGCACTCGCTCTCCAGGTCGCTCTCCAGCTGCAGCACGTTGATCTGAAAGGAATCGTTGCGTTAGAGTCCATTTATATTGCGAGATCATCCCCGAAGCCTACCCCTGAGGCGTGCCTCCAAAGCCAAAATCACCTATCACTATGCCTAACCACCTATCTCAGTTCACCACCACCTCTCTGCTAAGCCACGCCTACCGAAGGGGCATGGCTGTGATCCTAAATCCACTTCCTTGACGAGTCACGACCTACAAAAAGGCTTGCCTGTAAGGCCGAAATCACCTATCGCTATGCTCAGCTACCCCTCATGAACCATTACCGCCTTTTTGTTGAGCCACGCCTACCCTATCGATTCATTACTCTTTGCTAAGCCACGCATACCTAAGGGGCGTATCTAGGTCAGAAACTACTCCCACCTCTATTATATTCGGCAACACCCTAATGAGTCAATACCGACAACTTTCTGCTAAGCTACGCATACCAAAGAAGCGTGTTTGTGTGACTGAATACACCTCGTTTACTGTCTCTTTTTCAATACATGCCCTCACGAGTCACGACTATTGAACGGGCTCGTCTTCAAGGCCAAAATCAACTATCACTATACTCAGCCATCCCTCAGAGGATATTACTGCCTCTTTGCAAGCCGCGCCTACCTTGAAGGCGTATCTTAGAGGTTGGATTCATCTTCTCCGCCGCTGAGCTCAACATCTCCTTAACGAGCCAATACCCACACCGCTTTGCTAAACAACACCTCCTAGTCTATTGCCACCTGTCTGCTAAGCCACGCCTACCGAAGGGGCGTGTCTGTGAGCCTGAGCCCACTTCCTTCGTGACTATCAAATAGGCTTGCCTGTGAGGCTGAAATCCCTATCTCTGAGCTCAGGGGCGTGTCTGTGAGGTAATCATCTATCAATCTGCTCAGTCATTCCTCATGTGCCACTGCTGAGACACGTCTACCTTGTGTGCGAATCTTCGAAGTTCGATTCATTCTTTCCACCGCTAAGGTCAACCACGCCCTAACGAACCAATACCAACACCTCTGCTGAGCGTGTCTGTGAGTTGAATTTATCTCCTTCACCACCCCTTTGCTAATAGACTAGTCGCAATTATCATAGGGGCTTGTGGCTTGTCTGTAAGGGCCCACTCCCACAACTACCATGTTATTTGGCCACACCCTAATTTCTGGCATCAAGTATCAAATGGATAATATCTTGCAACGGCCAGTGTTATTTTAAAAAGCAATACTTTGTATAATAATGGAAAATGAACTGTGGTCCATGTGAAAAAGGAATTTGGGGTAGTCAAGGGGATAGAAAAAAAGGAATGATGAACAAGAGAGTGAAGAGAAGGAATTTGGAAAAGTGAATGGATGATAGAAACTCATATAGAATATTACATATTGTGAAAATTCAACATGAAACGGAAATAGTCAATATATGAATTGAGAGTGTCTAGCCGGAGAATCAATAGCAGAAAAAATAGTAAAAGAAAGTGTTGAAGGACTGAAGAGAACATAAGAGAGAAGTGAGGGTTGCTGGGCTGTGTGCACGTGAATATATAAGAGAGGAGACCTGGAGGAAACGAGAGAAATTCGTAACAAGGTATTTAAGAATCAATTAACATTAAATATATTCATTTTGAGAACGAGGAACGTTACAATCTCGATAGTTTTTCGAATACATTTTGGGATAGTAAGGATATGATCACCTGTAACTATTGCTACTCTTGATCACTTGAATAATGGAAATGAGAGTAATTGCAGCTAAGTATCTATGATTTATTCAAATGATGAGAGCTAGTGTATTTACCTGTCTAGCATTCAAAAACAGTTCACTGGAATCCGATCCACAGCTGGAGCTCTCACTCAACTCGGTGGTGAATTTTCTTTGAGCTCTAGGACTAGGCGGAGGTCTTCTGGTGCAAACTTGTGCCTGGATATGTTCACAGACCCTCCTGAATCTCCTAATATTACCTGAAATATAATCGTACTTCACTTTATGATGACCAGAATATGTTCCAACCAGCGAAAGGAATTATTCATTCAACAATCAATTGAAGATATAGACGTGATTTGTACCTGACAATAAGGTGAATGTTATGGCAAAAATATGTTCCTTGGCATTTTCCCTAGATTGCTTGATGATTGGCGAGATGTCCACTTGAAACCTAACGTGTCTCTGGAACATCGCAGGCCCTGTGGTTCCCCTCTTGTATTCCACCCTGAAGGACATCGGACTCGACACTGAGTGGCTCAATTCTGCTATCTAAAACGAGAAGAGAATTATTCGTATAGTAGGTATATGCGGAGTTAGGCGGCCCCCCACCACTGACTCTTCAAGCCCCGCCTCCACAATACATCTACCAATGGTTTAACTTATAGTGAATGGAACTGTAGCTTGTCAGTTTCTGATAGCATCATACTCACCGATAGGAAGGCGTGTATCAAGTCAGCCTTGACGGTAGCCAACGGTTTCCCTTTAACTAAGATAGTAAAGGTTTCGTCTTTCTCCGTCGTCATCAGACTACCGAACCATGACTTCTTCGTTAGTTCAGGTGATGATTCTGGAGTGAGATGGACTTCTTCTGACGATGCTTTAAAAAAGAGTAATTTGAACGTATCAAAAAATATACATAATACGAGTAGAGATATATTGATATTATATTTAGTTATATCAGAGATTATACATTCCACAGGAAACCATAATTTCGAGTGAATTGGTTGTTGATCATCATTTCGAATCTATGTAGAGATATTGAGAAAATGTCTATGCTCAAATTATCACAATATCCGTTAAAAAGATTATGCATTCGTCCTGCTGTATACGAAATTGCAAATAAGTCCGTATTTCGTGAGGATCTATTAGGGATTCTGAAGTTGATTTTAGATGAAAGATATGGCGAGTCTATTAGGGAAATCAATATTTTATGATGTCACAACTCTTCTATCTGATAAGCTCAGTATATTGTATATGATGAGATCTGATGATACGGCAGTTGTGATCTTCGATAGTTGTTTCTGTTTTGAATGCGAAACATCTTAAATATCTGTTTTGGACACTTTCAATTCGTTTCATGTTTGTAGCATATTGCGTGTTCCATATGACTGCGGCAAAAGATATTTTACTCTCTTTCTCTCTCTGAATATATAGCCTTTTGTCTTACGACATACAGCCAGAGCCCTTATTACGGAGAATCCGTCCCCATCCGGCCTGGATACCAGCGTAAATAATAAGGGTTTTGTTTTTCGAGCAAACTGGATGTCTCACTCAAAGTGAATCCAGGTATTGTGCTCTTTCAGCGTTTAAAACTCTCAATCATAAACACATTAACCTGACTTTCGACCTGATGACGCCGCCTATCTTCCACCGCGGTCGGAAGTCGAATCGAGAGTAGATATTTTACTATGAACAAAATCGTAGTATAGTGAAATAAGTCCTTTGAAGTGGTTGAAGTCTTTTGAGTTTCGGTTTATGAAACCAACCATTCTATTAATAAAGTTTATCGTCCGTTCGATATGTATTTTGAACAATCATTTCTTGTCAAGGGTCACTCCCAACTCCCAAGTCTCTTATCTCAGTTACCTACACTCTACAGGTACGAATTATCAATTTGGTACGTGAAATTCACTTTATTGTGTTTTCTAGTGAGTGATATTCAGAAAGAGTTGGTTTTTGCTACAGTATGTTTCGAGTCTGTCGATGTATTTTGAGACAGTCATCCAAGGTGTCTGTATTTTGCGGTATTTTTCAAATCGTCAGCATAAAGCAGAATGTTACAATGCTTGCAGCATATTTTTCTGTTATTGATATGAATATTAAAAATAGTGAACAGGGATGGCTGCCTTGAGGGACGCCAGATGTCACCATGAAGGAATTTGGTTTGTGACCAGAAACCGATACTCTACTTCTTTGTTTGTTTTTTTGTTGTTGTTTTTATTACCTTGTAATTTCCGTCTGTGGAATCTGGGGGAACCTAGGAAACTATTTTTGATTGTAGTGAGCCGTGATCTCCAATGATGACTAGTCGTGCTGGAATGAGGGGACCCAGGTGGAGTCATCGGAGTCAATATTGCATGACCTGAAACACATTTTATGTGACGATATATTTTTTTCGAATAAGTAGAGAACTAATTTCCATTCTACTCAGGGATATAGTTCTGTGGTTCCGACCAACCTGTCACTAAGCTCGCAGTATCGCTTTCCGGTGACGTCATCGGCATTCCGGAAGTCACGGGGGTGCTGCCGCTGCTGTTCGCCCTGTGATGGGTCGGGGTAGGCGGGGGAGGGGTTACGGTCACGTGAGTGTTCGAGGTCACGTGGGTGGAGCTGCGATGCGTGTGGTGGGACGGTGTCCTTGAGCCGATAGGAGACGACATGCCAGCTGAAATGATGTGATGACAAGGCTAAAGGTGTCTCGAAGATTTTGATTGGGTGACTTACAATGCGTATTTGTCGGTGTGATCGAACTGTTGAACATGACTGGACTTGAAGCACCTGAGGATCTAGTTGGCGAGTGGATACTCAGGCTGCTGTGTGTACTGCCAGTCGAGGGGCTTCTTCTAGCGTGAGGCCTTCTAGGAAATCGTTATAGTCATAATCTTATGTATTACTAGCTGACCCAGCAAACGTCGTTTTGCTTTACTCATTATTTCTAGAAAATATTTTCTCAGGTATATATTATGTATCAACACACTCATCATTTTATTTTCTTCTATTTAGTTTGGCAATCCATAAAAGCGTGTTTCTTTAGTTTTTCATACTACTTACTATTTATGTTCTTCTTCTTTATAGTTCGGCAGTATATTTCTTAACTTTTTTAAACTACCATTTATTTTCTACTTCTTTTTGGTTCGGTTATCTATGAAAGCGTGTTTCATAAGTTTTTCAAACTACTATATTTATTACAAATCTCGTTCGATATATTGGATCCGCCATCTTGAATTTTTCAATTTTGACGAGAGAATCATAACTTCTGACCCAGAAAACTCCCAGATACCAATTTTGAATGGAATCAGATCATAATTACAGATCTGGTCCGCCATATTGGATCCTTCGTCTCAAATTTCCCAATTTTGACGAAATAATCATAATTTCCGACCCCAAAAGACCCCCAGAAATCAATTTTTAGTAAAATCGGATCATAATTACAAATCTCATCCGCCATATTGGATCCGCCATTTTGGATTTACAAATTTTGACAAAAGAATCTCCGACATCGAAAAAACCCAAATACCAATTTTGAATAGAATCGGATCAAAATTACAAAACTCTTCCGCTATATTGGGTCCGTCATCTTGAATTTTCAAATTTTGACTAAAGAACCATAATCTCCCTCCCCGAAAATCCCCAGATACCTCAGTACAAAGTTTTTCAGTCTAGACGCTATACGGCTCTGGCTCACTCAGTGGGTACAAAATGTCGTATACGTAAGTAATTTGTTCGTATACGTGGAAATTATGAAAATGTTAACAATTTTCATGAAATATCAATCTTTTTGGTGCTTTAAATTGCTAAAATTTCAATTTTGTCGAGATCATGAGAGTGGGTGATCATATTTTATCAGGGGTACCTATTCTGTAGTAAACAAGTTACGCTATTCAGATCTCATATCCATCCCCCTTGCCTTCGATAGACGTAGAATTTTCAGATGTTTATTCACTAAAAAAAAAAACAAATTCTACACCTATGGAAAAATCTTTATCACAATCGTGATATGGGTTTCATTGCCCAATGAAGCTAAGCCAACGTACCAAATTTGTTGTGAAGCAAAAACGATTTGAACTTCAGAGCCGTTCAAACTAAGCAACTTCGTACTGAGATGACTTTGCTTGAATGAAATTGTGTTGGTCTGAGGAATATGTGGTGAGTTTTTGTAAAGACCTTTTTGGCGGAGATGAACTGAGAACATTGAATTCATAAATACAGGCTGATTTTAAAATGAGTGCATATATTCAAGACATATATATGAGAGAGTCTAACAAAAATTACTAAAATATTTGATTTTTCCTAAGTCTTCACATTAACGAGAAATTTCATTTTGAAAATTGAACATAAAATGCTTCGAAATTCGAGTACGCCACTGGGAAGCAAGTGAAATCTGCGGAATCCCAGGGAATCTCCAATTCGTCATTCACTAAAGTCAAAACAAGACAGTGATGCCAGATTGTTTCAGAGACGAATATCCTGATAAAAATTTGTCACAGAATGAATATGAATTGAAATAGGTTATAGAAACTAATAGAGGTGAATGTAATATGTACAGGAGCCTTATTTTTTAAAGCTCACTGAGAGAACTGTGGGGTGATTATCTCCATGGATCACGAGAGACGGAGAGAAACATGAGGGGAATGATAGAACGTCCCCCTTCCTTCCACAAAGTTGAAAATCGACTCACCTAGTAGATTTTCTCATACCTGCTCGAACAGCAAAACTCCCGAGAGCAAACAAATACTAATATCGAGTCCATTCCAGACTAATATCGTCCTGTGTTCTTGTTGGTTCATATTCGCACTTAAACCATCGAAAACGACTCGACGACGACATATCCTTCCTGGCAATCTCACATTGAAAATCACGACCATATCACGATTATCACTACACAAGACACAACATCCAATTATTTTATTTTTTATTTTACGTTTACAATTATTTTACAAACACACTAAAAAAACTATTATCATATGATCTGTCAACATCATCTCTCAGAACAGTAGTATCTGTGACCATAGATTTCCTCTCTGCTGTGACCTTTGACAGTTCTAACTAGGATTGTTCGCATTCATAAAATAAACAATCCAAAACCGTCAGAAGCATGCACAAGTCCACAGAACCCAAAAAAATCGTACAGTTCTGTGAAACTGCGCATGCTTCTGACAGTTTCGGACGCAAGAATTCAGATGACCATGAATTACTAATAAGCGATTTCTACGGACCAATCAGAAACAGCAAAGTAGCGCCTGCGTGGTTGCGATTCATCCTGATTGGACACAGCTGATTGGATTTGTGAGATTACTGTATAGTGAGGAAGTATCATTTCATTGAATTAAACTAATAGAAGTTTTTTCCAAATTAGTTTTTTATGAAAATGTTAGTTTCATTTAAAGATATGATCCTTCCTCACTAATACATTAATCTCAATCACCTGTGCCCAATCAGGATGAATCGCAACCACGCAGGCACTACTTTGCTGTTTCTGATTGGTCCGTAAAAGTCGCCTATTAGTAATTCATGGTCATCTGAATTCTTGCTGGTAGCACACCATAAGAACAATCAAAACAAAGATCCTTTCTTGACAGTTTGTTGTTCTGAGAATGTATGTTATTTTGGAAAACGTCAAAACGTGATACTAGTAAATGTAAACAGTGTGGTCCTTGTCATTACTTTTGTAAAAGATCTATTACTATTCCACGGAGATTGTTACAATATTACGATTTGTCATGAATCTATTACTATTGGGTGTTAGCACCAAAATATGATGTTTTGTTACTAAAAAATCTATTTCTGTGTTCAGCGGATAATTATGTTCTGCTCTATGGGTCTATGTTCTATATTTATGTCATAAGTTCTGTGTGACCTGCCTCATTCCTGCCAAAACTGTCTAATTTTTGCGATGAGGTTTTACAAGAATTACGTTCAGAATGTCAAATGTGAGATTTTTAGGATCTATCACCTTTTGATACAAATCTGTTACCATTTTCCAAGAAAATCTATTACGAAAAAATCAGACCCAGGAACAACACTGAATGTAAAGTTTTGTTTCTGACAATTTGCTTGGAATGTGACGATGCATTTCTTAAACATTGAGCTGAATGATATGGTTCTTATGTCGGGTCGTTATTGTGCGGGGCCCATGAGACTCCTCGAAGACCACGAAATTGTAGCGATGCAAGGAGGTGGAAGGAAGGGTCTAAAGGATTTTTCAGTAAAATTACTTCCAACCGTGAGGTGTTGAGTTATACGCTATTCGAGCTTATGTGTAGAAATCTTGGGTGAGTCCATTTTGAAGTTTTTGTATTATCTTTCAGAAATTCAAGACCAGGGTTAACTTCTTCCCCATGTACATTTTCTCGATTATACATTTTATTTAATATCTCCTAATTTTCATGTAGAGTGGCAACGTCGCTTCGTTCATCACGGTCGACTGCGGATCGCAAACGATAGTTGTGACATAAGTAGAAATCTGGGCGGAAAAAGGGTATTTTGCCCCAAATCTATTTTGATCCTAATAATATTTTTAATAGTGCTATTCGGTAGTATACCTCAAGCTTTCTTAGTGTTTAAAATATATGCACTCATTTTAAAATCAGCCTGTATAATACGAAATCCAATATTTTCTTTATAATCTCTAAAAACATATTTGCCAGAGTTGTACTACTAACTTGTAGTGGGACCTTCTTGGCGTCAGAGGTGATCCTTCGCTAATTTGTCCAAATTGCAAACTACTCTGGCCGTTGATTCTGCACGTGTCTATCCTTTTCTTAGGCGGGTCTTGGCTTTCGGGATTACGCATGCGCAGGACAGAATCCGAATCGTCTTCGCATGCAGGTTTCCTTCTCTTCCTCTCCAGCAGAAGAAAATAGATGACCTTTTCGGTGTTGTGACTAAAATATGAAGTTGGTAATCGTGCATTCGATGTAGGCGGATTTTTACATAGACATATAAAAAGAGGTGAGCCGAAGCATCAATACAATAATTATACTGGGTGGGCCACCAGTAACGCCTCGGTCTCTAGAAGGCTAACCACTTATCTTCTTAGAATTCTTTCTCTCTAGGAAGTTGCATGTCAACATAGGCTACCATTTAAAATTATTTCGAAACATACAGGGTGTCCCCAAAAACCATAAAACACTGAAGTAAAACTTTTTTCTATCGAACACCCTATATATTATTTCATTTTGAGATTCTTCCTGGTGAGCTGATTTCAACAATCCATCATACTTGGGGTCTAGCAGTTATAATTACTGAGATATAGGGTGTGAGAAATCGAGATTTTCCAAGTTCAAGAATTTTTAGTGTCTAAACCATTCATAATTGGTCAAAACGGCTCACATGTCCCTATCTCAACTTTTTATCAACTATCTACTGACATTTAATTGAAACAAATACAGGGTGGTGCAGAATTCAGAATCTTGATCACCCGGTATATGTCCCAATTAAATATCAGTAGATAGTTAATCAAAAGTTGAGATAGGGACATGTAAGCCGTTTAGACCAATTATGAATAGTTTCGACACAAAAAATTCTTTAACTTGGAAAATCTCGATTTTTCACACCCTATATTTCAGTAATTATAACTGCTAGACCCCAAGTATGATGGGTCGTTGAAATCAGCTCATCAGGGAGAATCTCAAAATGAAATAATATATAGGGTGTTCGATAGAAAACAGTGTTTTATGGTTTTTGGAGACACCCTGTATGTTTCGAAATAATTTTAAATGGTAGCCAATGTTAACATGCAAGTTCCTAGAGGGGAAGAATTCTAAGAAGATAAGTGGTTAGCCTTCTAGAGACCGAGGCGTTACTGGTGCCCACCCTGTATAATATACATTTTTATCAACTACGAAATTGCCACAATTCAATGTTCTGCGTGGCATTAGCCAGGAAAGTAGTTGTTTTTCTCCCGAAATCTACCATTCTTGTTCATTTCATGAACATTGTGTGAATATGACTTTGAGCTATTTGCTTTTATTCATACATTTATATGTATATTCATTCTGTATGATTGTTCCTTAATTTAAACATTTGATCGATCCTCAAGATTTCAACAGCGAATGAATAAGAATGCAAAATATTGCAAATACAATGACCACTAAGGCTTCGCTTCGTGTGTCATCGTGAGAGTTCGTTCCAAAACGTCCAACAGGTATTCTAAAATAGAGAAAGAATATTGGGAATATCTGATTTTTCCAGAAGGACATGGCATATGATTGTTATAAGATGCATTTTTGACACAATGATCAGGGTATCTTTTTTTATATGACGATTTCTAGTATTATTTAGTTTTTTGTTGGTATGCGGTGGGTTTTCAAAGTGATACATTCTATAATGAATATCAGAATTTCATATAAGTAGTATATGACACACCTCTATAGGACTGTCGTTCTAACCCAATTTTTCCGTGTGTGAATTCTGCTATTGAAATAATTTAAATTATCCTAATTCCATCATTACATCAAATTATAATCTATCATGGACCTAACTGTGGCTAAGACGGACGCATATTTTTTTAAAGTAATTCACGTATGACAAAAGCTGACGTTACAGTCTCGTTGTGCTGTTGTTAACATTCTAGAAGTTTTTGTGTTTGAATTGATTTCCATGCAGTGTTTTCTTATAGAACTATTTAAAGACAATTATGGTTTGCCAGTGCGTGCATTTTGAAAAAGTTCACCATTCAAACCTCAAATTGGTATTTCGACGGTAAGTAATAGCATCTTGAACACTGGTGTATTTATCGCAGGTTATTCAACTAAATTATTGCAAGAAACCTTGCTTTTTTTGTTCAAATTCCACTGAATGATGGATAAAAAAGTACCTAAGGTACTACGAATATTTGGTATTGAAATTTAAAAAATTAGACCAAAGCATTTTCCAATAGGTATAATAGCGTTGTCATATTGTAGTGGAAGTGTCTTTTCCCTCGCTCAACCTACGCGACTGGCAAAGAAAAGTGTGAACAGTGACGCACAGTTTACAGCGTTGTCATTTTTTAAAGCCATCTCTTTTTAACTTATGTATGATTGTAAACAAATCGTTTTTAATAAATGGAATGTTATGTCTCCCCTATTTTTATATGTCTATGGATTTTTACCTAGGACTGAGTAGATGTTGGATGAGCTTCTCCTTCTCTTTGAAACAGCCCAGGCTGCAAATCGCCTGAAGTACGTCCGGATCCACCGCTTCAATGGACGGTAACACGTGGGTTTGGACGACTTCCATCATTGGTAGTTCTAGCTCTAGTTCTCCTTTTCCTCCAGCTGTCACCCAGGGGTGTTTATTGATGTCAGACAGCTATAAAAATGTTTTTTTCTCAGTATCAGCTCGATAACATAGATAATAAATACAAGTGGCCAGAGAACAGAACTTTGAGTCACTCCATATATTTTTCGCATACATTTCACTTGATGATCACATCAAAGAATATAATTCAGATTGGGGCCAATTCAGTTTCTATCATCATAGCTTTGGAAACAAATTTTATCGATACTGACCGTTAGTCTTTTGTCTGGATTGACTTCGATCATCCCTCTGAGTAGACTTTGGCAGTTCGGTGGTACGAAATGGGGGATGTGAAATACACCTCTTTTGACTTTTTCCAGGAGTTGTCGCAGATTGTCATCGTCGAATGGTAGAGCTCCTACAAGTAGAGCGTAAAGAATGACTCCACATGACCATACGTCTGCTCTTCTACCATCATACTTTTCACCCTGAAAATAATGTTGAGAGTACAGGGTCATACCGTATATTTGAACAGATTCTACATGGTTCATCATTGAAGAAAAAAATAAACTCCAAATACAAAAGTTGTACGAGGTGAAACGAACGAATATCGCTGATATAAGAAATGGGTATCAACTTCTTTGTTTTCAATAAAACATCCCATATATTTTTTGAAGATCTTTCTCTGATTTCAAAAATACCGTATATACATGTTTCGGAATGTTAGCCCGGGTATAAGGTCCTAAGAAAAGCTGATGGCTTGATCATCATACAGGGAAAAACAAAAGTGAGTCTTTCACCCTCAACTTCTTAACGCCCTGTGGCAAAGGTGAGTGCGTAAACTGAGCTTCATTAGGTTTTGGATTAAAGTGTGATCCCTTCTTAACACAATGGTTTTCGATTCTCGTCGATAACCACTTTTTAAGAAAAGATACGAGTGTTTTAAGAAATTATGGTTTTTTTATTTTTATTAACAATATTTCAGAACCATTCTCCAACCTTCTGCATTATCATGTTTTTAATTGAAGTGTGATGCTTTTTCGTCACTTCTAAACACAATGGTTCGAGATTCAAGTCAATATTTCGGCCATGTCAGAGACTCTTCAAGAGCTACGATTCTCCCTTCAAGGAGAATTTTAGGCAATTCTTCAAGGCTACTTTAGGAATTTGATCAACTCGATGCCACGGCGGTTGAATGCATCGTTAAATGACTCGTTATTGACTATATACAGTTCTGTTTTTTGTTTGTTTTTGTAATTTGAACTAAATACCAACAACCTATATATTTTTGAAATCAGAAAAGAAAGATCTTCAATTTTTCGAAAAATACATAGGGTGTTCCATTGTAAATAACCAAGATGATAACCATTTCTTATATATCAGGGATGTTCATTCGTTTCACCTCGTACAATTTCCTGGAGGTTCAGAAAAAAACCCTAGAACTTTTGGGTGAAAATACATTTTTTCTATCTTCAATGATGAACCCTGTAGAAGCTGTTTGAATATACGGGGAATGACCCTGACAAGACTTATATATTATCTCGACTGTTTCGAATGAAGCTTCAACGACACATATTTTTGAATGTAATAAATTTCTGACTTACTCGTATCACTTCAGGGCATGCGTAATGGGGAGAACCGCAACTTGTTTCTAACATGGATCCCATCGGTTGAAGGGAAGCCATTCCAAAATCGGCTATTTTGATATTGTTTTTTTCGTCCAATAGGAGGTTTTCTGGTTTGAGGTCTCTATGGCTGTAAGATGAACAGGTCAAAGGACTGATAACCGTATAAACTATAATTTCAGCGGCGCAGCGACATAGTATTTTAGTTGAATACAGATAGTACGATATGAATAACGTTCAATAATCACTGTGGAGTATGTATTGTGAAATAGAGAAAATATGAAGTTGTAACACAGAATGATTAGATTTCATGAACCCGAGACAAATCGTAACAATAAAATTTTGTATCATTTACTGAAATTTTAACTTACCATATCGAATGGCTGTGGCAGAAGTCCAAAGCAGATATGATTTGCCTGAAGAACCTTCTAGCTTCTTTGGGCGTCAGTCTGCCCTTTTTCACTAGATAATCGAAAAGTTCTCCTCCAGAAACATGTTCCAGAACCAGATATCTAAAGGAAAACATTAATCAAAGCGGATTATATTGATTTTTGACAAAGACTAGAAATAAACGTGGCACTGTTTCGAAACTGATGGTGGCTAAGTATTGTGAAGTTTTTGAACTAGTCTAAAAATTATACCACACTTTAAATTGCAGATCGGCATTTGTTATACCAACCTAGGAAACGTAGACTGTTAACATTTTCCAAAGATCGATTCATAATGAGAGAGGTCTCGTTGATATTTCTACTCTGATTTCGTGTGCTCAGCGATACGTGAAAAAATTCGTATAGGTTTTGGAACCGAAATAGGTCACTCTTTCCTAACTTTACAGTGCGTAGTGTACTGATTTCCTGCCCATTTGAATGGTGGAATATAATTATCTTTAAAGGAATCTGTTGAAATCGTTCAAGTATATGAAGTTATTCTGAAAAAAAAAATTGGATTCTCGAAAAATCAAGAACAACCTCCTTATTTCAGATAAAATGAGTCACAAGTGTGTGACTTATATCAATCAGATCAATTATGAGGTACCCTGTCTAAATTATCAATTTTGACCTCTACCAGCCGCATACATTTTTAAACAGGACGCCTTAATAGATGCACTTGTTTGAGAAATGTAAACGCGTAGTCGAATATAGTCTCAATCAGCTGTAGAATAACCACTCCAGTAATAATGATTACAAGTGACAGGACAAAGGGAGATTACAGAGAAAACAGAAGACTCACAAATATTTCTTATTTTCGTAGACATCGGTCAGTCCTAGAACATGTGGGTGGTCGATTAATTTCATTATGGCTATTTCTCTTTCGACCTGAAAAAAAAACAGGAATTACTTGCCATATACTGGCTAATGAGAATTTTCAATTTGCCATAATTGCATCTACGGGAACGCAAATAGCAAATTTCCATAATTTTATTTAGATATTTCAATTTTGGATCTTACGTATATGAACATTCCGAAAGATTCAGTAAGAGATAATAGTAATGGTCTTATATTACTAAACAAAATAATTTTGAATTTGTCATATATTTTTCTTTCTTCTCAAACAAGACTCAAGTTCATTTTGTTATCCCCTAAGAGAAGTAAGAAAGTTGATGTTTCATTATTGAAACCTACTGATGCGATAGTTTTCCATAAGAAGCAGAGAATATCGGGCGAGTGAAGTAAAATTACGTGCTTTATTATTTCGTTCAAAAATTAACAACACAATATATTATCTCTTACAAATATTCTGTTCATGGTGCAATGACTTTTACCAGCTGTTGCAAAAAGTTGGATGTAAACTGTAGAATGTTGCCACATAAATGGATAGAACTTTGAAAAGGGGAGATTTATGTGCGAGCCATTCGTAAAACTTACTTTCATTAAAACGCTGTCACTGAGCTTTTCCCTATTAATTATTTTTATGGCAACTTTTTTGCCAGTCACACAGTGGATTCCCAGCTTCACGAGACCTGCAAAAAAATAATTTGAATTTAGCAATACGAAATATGTCTTGAAAAAAAATATATCCGAGTTTCATAAGATTCGAATGCAACGTGTTTTTGATAATATTAATTGAAAGTTCGTTCTATCATCTAGGGAATGTGAGATTGTAATGATACAATGTCAATACAACGTTATATCTGGATTGAAGAGGATGCCAGAAAAAATATTGAGGTTTTTCTCTAAATCCTATATAGGAGATAAAGTAACATGTGTTTACTGAGTAGATTAGGATAGTATATAAATGTCTACTTTTGAATGAGGAGTTGGAAAATGAAAAGGAACTGATAACTTCAGCCAAACTATACGATATACCTTCTTGTTACGGGGGGAACCAGGAATCGTTGAATTAATCTTGTATCAGAGAAAATTCCATAAATTTATTTTGAAGCAATTAGAAGCCTCCTTTTTGAGTGAGTTGCTTATAGCAAGGGGTGACTATCGCGATAATTCTGTTTGGTCCTATTGACTTTTAATGGAAATAATAAGTGACAATAATTATTCTGTCGAAAATGAAACGCCTTATATCTATTGGCAAAAGTCACTCAGTTTCATTTGGAACTATGTAGACATGTAATATCAGATGTTATGGTTGAAAACGAATCAATGTTTCAAATGTTCCTGAAATTTTAGTAATAAACCCTAGTTACTAACTCAACTTATATTGTAAAAATATAGTGCGTCATATTTAACTAAACTCATCGGAAGTATGTTTTTTCGAGTTTTATTTGAATTCAAAACTATGAAGACATTGGATTCCTACGGAGCCCTGGACCTGGAAGGGACACATAAAATAAAAAAAATAAAAACTTCAAAATTCCTACGACCCATTCTGCGGAGATGTTAAATAAAATATGACACTTAGGCACCTATATAAATCGTTTTTATTACTAAGATGGGAGAAACATTAAATAACAATTTTTTTTATCTGGAATCTACGAAGCCCTGGAAGGGACACATAAAATTAAAAAAATAAAAACTTCAAAATTCCGACTTATAACTCGGAATTTTAAAATTCAATTCTTTACCGAATCTTCCACGCAGCAGAATTAATTTGCGATGATTTTTTTCTCGGTATCACCTTGAAAAAATTATCGGCAGTAATTCTGCTGCTAGGGAAATTATATTTATTATATATTATTATAATGATATTTATTTTATGAACAATATTATCATTTTCAATCAGACAGATGTATAAAACGTTCAGAAAGGTGAATTATGATAATCAGCTTTCTGGAAAATTCTTAATAGTACCTTATACATCAAGGGACAGAAATGCAAGATTTTTTTCAAGGTGCGATTTGTAGCTCGAGGGCGAAGTTAGTAACACGAGAATACAGTCGACGGTCCGACTTTGAAGTCGGGATCCCGAGATTAAAGTCGGGATCCCAAGTATTAAGTCAGACCCCCGATTTCAAAGTCGGGTTCCCGATAAAGTCGGGATCCCAAGAATAAAGTCGGGATACGAAAAAAAAAGTATAGGTGGTCTTTCAGCGCTTTCGTAAAATTTGATCGACCCCCTAGGATATATTTTCATGAACTCGTGCCTCCCATCTCTTCCATATCTCGGATATAATGAAACCACTTTATTCCATTTTCGTAATTACGGGCCATAAAGGAGAGAAAAAAGAATATCAAAGGCGGAAGGGATGCCATAGGGGGCCTCGAGCTCTATTACTGCCAACTTGATTATAAGCAAACAGGGGTAGGTGGAATGCGAATTTGATTGTCGATGATGTCACGTTGACTGGGGAGGGCTAATTTTGCGTAACGAAATTGATAGTTCTTATCGCGATTCCAATAAATTAGACGAATGAGGTAGTAAGGAGGAACATATTTTTTTTCTTATTGTGACATATGTGTGGTAATATTCGATAATCATTCCTAATCTGTTATCAGTTTATGTCATTCTGGCATTTTTTTATGTTCTGGTTCCCACGAAAAGAGATATCCTGTAATGTTCAGAGAACATCGTGAGAACCAAGAGAAATAAGGTAGGAATTGGTGTTCTTCTGAATTTCTGTAGGTTATATGCCTAGGGGAACACCTCCCTTGGCAATGTGTCAGAGCCTCGCTGTTCGTTGGATGAACGAGTCAGAAGAAGAGAATGCGGTATGGAGGGTACTCTCTTCCGCGAAGCTGTGTACTGGACATGAAGTTGCTTCCAACAAATCGTTGATATGGAGTAGAAATAGTGTTGGTACGCCGTACAATCCCCCCGGAAATGGACAGATAGAGGGATAGAGCGCGAGAAAGGAACTCGGAAGTATCCAATTGGAAAATCGTTCTCCCAGATGCGCTTCATTCCATCAGATCTCTCCTTTGCACAGCAACTAACGAAACACCCCATGTAAGGATGTTCATGCATATTCGAAGATATACCAATGGGTGTTCTCTACCTTCCTGGTTAGTTCCTTCTTGTGAAGTACTCATGAAGAAACATGCGCGATCAAGTAACAATTTTGATCAGCAGGAAAGATTCGATTATAGCGTGTGACTTCATTGTAATGAGAAAAATAAAGACTTCATAAAGATGCGAAAATCCAATATGGCGCCCGTGAGAAAAAACCAAGTTGTGTGTTGTAACTTTGGCATATGACAGATTCAGATTCCTTGTTAAAAAGTGCCTTGAGAATGTTCCAGTCAGAAACGTCTAGATCTTTTGGTTTCCGTTTGAAAAAATAAAAACGAAAATTATAAATTTTCGTTTTCTTCCAATAATTCAAAAACTAAAAATGAGACATCAAATGTTCTTGCAGATTAATGTACTCATGGTGGAGCTCGAAAAACGGACACCCTGTAGATGGGAACATCTGGTTAGGCCCAGATATTTCGATTCACCCACATTTTTATTCGTCCACATTTTGATTCACCCTCTTTTCTTCAGGCCCACATTTTCATTCAGCCACAGTCTTCTTCACTTTATACTGGGTAGGAAGAACTTGCGAAAATTACGTATGCTATCTGTTGTGGTTGAACTACTTTCAATACGAAGAGAAGCTCGAAGAAAAGGATTGTTGACTTTTCACTTTCATTCACGCGAAGTATATCACCGTAATGAGTAGGTAGATAAGTGGCTACCAATATCTATAGATATTCCTATCAATATGGTAGTATCGGATATTCTCTGACACGCAAGCTTCAAAGCACGCAACAGATGAAGTGTTGAAGATTCAGCTTAGTGACCTCAATTTCCGGTCAAAACGGAAGTTGAATCTAAATTGGGAATCGTTACTTCTGAAGGTGAAATCAACGATTTGCACACCACCAAATTGATTCAGGATTATCGATCCTTGAATTGAAGAGTTGAACTATCTCAGATTTCAATCGACTCCGAGTCTAAGAACCTTAATTGATGGTCACTCTCATTTGATGGTGATTACAATCATCTCGGCTTATGGATGACTTGGAGCTTAACTAAGGTGCTGCAGACATCAGATTGATCCATACCTATAGAATATTTATCAGATTTTGACCGACTTCGAGTAGAAGAACGTTAGTCGATGGTCACTTCTCAAGGTAGAACAGAGAAGTTGTAGACACCAAACTGATCCAAGCTTATGGTTGTAAGGTCCTCAAACCATCAAGAAAACTAAGGTTACAACTATCTGTGCTTTTGGCTGACTTGGAAGCAGAAGGACTTACATTGATGGTGACTTCTCAAGGTAAAACCAATAATTTGCAGACCACCAAATTGATCCAGGATTAGGATTATCAACTATCAATCATTGAATTAAAAAGTAGAGCTAGGTATTTCAGAATTCAACAGGATTCGGGTAGAAGAACCTAAGTTGGTGGTGACCCGTTTGATAGTGGCTTCTCTAGGTGAATCCAAGATGTTCGATCCAGAAGAAACAGGAGACTATCGAATTGACCCATTCTTATAGAATATTAATTTATTGAATTGATGATGAGTTAACAGGTTTCGAGTAAAATAACGTTAGTTGGTGGTGACTTCTCAAGGAAGAACAAAGAATAAGTTATAGATCACCAAATTGATCCAGGCTAAGATTACAACAATCTATGCTATAGACTTGGAGCAGTAAGATCTTCATTGATGGTGACTTCTCAAGGTGAAACCAATAAGTTGCAGATCACGAAATCGATCCAGTATTGTCTCATAACGTTCCTAGAATTGGTCATTATGAAAAAGGCAGAACTATCTAGGACTTTGATAGACTCCAAAACTGTTGATGCTGACTCTTCTATGTAAAACCAAGAAGTTGTGGACTAGGTATCTACCAAATTGATCCTGACTCATCGTTCAATTCCACAAATTAATCAAGAAAACGACTATTGCAACTATCTCAGCGTTTCTCTGACTTGAAGTAGCAATACTTTGAATGACCAGCAAATTGATCGACCAAGGAAAATAAAACCAGAACTATCTAGTGCTTTGATAGACTCCAAGTCAGTTGATGGTGGCTTCCCTATAGGTAAAACCAAGAAGTTATATAGACCACCAAATTGATCCAGACTTATTTATCCCTCAAATTCATCAAGAAAACGAAGATTGCAACAACTATCTCAACTTTTGTTGTCTGATTTGAAACAGTTATATCTCAATTCTGATTCTGAGATTAGAACTGGTGAAACTAGTAAGTTTGCTGACCAGCAAATTGATAAGGATTTATTCTTATCAACCGTCTGAGGCGATCCATCTTACAGTTGAGTGAATTGATCAAGGAAACGAAGAGTAGAACCAACTCAGCTTCTTGCTGACTCGAAGTAGCCAGATCTTGGTTGATGGTGGCTGCTCAAGATAAAACCAAAAAGTTTCACCTAGATTCTCAGAAATTGGCTGATTTGTGGTGACAGCTCAAGTGAAAATCATTAAGTTGAAGCCAATAAGTGATCATATCGTTTCGAGTTCCGTTACCAACGTGATATTTCATGTTACAATAACATTCAAAGGTTATCTTAAGTATTTTTCGAAACTCTTACCTGTTTGTCCCTTCCCCAAGGTTTTTTCGAGCCTGTACGGTCCAACATACTGGTGCACCTCAGGGGAGGGGTTGGAATTTTCTTTCTGCATTTCTACAGCCACTTTACCGGATGTCCACCCAATGTTTTATGTCACAACCGGAGGGAATGTTCCCCGAACGAACACTCTTCCGCAATGGATGGAAACCAAGAAATCATCTCGCTCAATTTGATCGGATTTGTTTTCACTCATAGTTCTCACACTCCCAGTTGAAGGTCCTCATTTTTCGTCGATTTAACTCGCGGTGTTTTAGGAAGTAAATTCGCGTTTTGCTTCAGGAAGGCAACGAACTTGCGGATACCCGTACATTATCACCCGTTTTTCGCGAAACCATAGACCGAGTTCGTACGGAACGTCATGACAAGGGGTGGCGAAAATCAATAGTAAGTTGGGAACTATACGATGGGGTGAAAAGTCCCTAGATGCGAGGAAAATTCGGAAAACGATTTCCAAGTCAAAAAGCGCTCATGCCATTTCTGTTTTCATTTTTTTCTCCAATAAATCTGCACTTATTTTTTCTATCGGTCCTATAATGATTGATGCATACTCATTCGGATAGGGGTTAATAAACAATTGTTTTGTGACAGTTGGTCGATGCAGTATTGAGCGTGTTGGATTGAGAGAGGGATGAATAGTTGTGGTGGCTGATTGTGACACGCGTTATATAAGGGGAGGTATTGTGTATTAATTCGCGCTAGAGTCCTATAAACAGGGGTTGAACGAAAAGATATTTCACAAACTTTTGATGACATTATTAGGGTATATGCATCACTTCATTATTATTTGTATATCGTTAAATTATATTTACAGAAAGATATATCGTTTTTTGGAGAATGTTCATGGTGCATATACAGGGTGGCAATGAAATAAGTGCAAATACTTCAAACCCTGAGAATAAAGCTCTACGTGTACTATCGAATTTAGGGTTGGACCCCATTTTCCACCCAAATTTCTACACATCAGTAGCAATTCTGACGTCACCCCTGTTCAAATTTCCGTGCGGAAGGCACAATCACGCGGAGTTCAATCATTCAAATTGTTTTAAAGTGGCCTAATTGGGTTTTTCCAGTTAATTTTCAATTTGCTCTGATATACCATGGGAATATTCGTTATTCTGTATCGATCATGTCGATGTGCTGAATATATGTACAGGGTGTCCCACTTAGATGTGCCACCCCCTTTATGCTCATTGTAATTCGAAACATATCTAATAACTTGCGGTAGATTCCAATGCAAACAAAACACAAGCATGCCTTTTCTCTAGAAAAACCGATCTCACTGTTCCCAACATAAGCTTGTCAGGAGTAGCAATACCTTTGAAGACATCCATTTCGATGCTTGGTTTTACTATCAGCAATAACCTTCCGTGGGAAAATCACGTGAGATCAATTGCTAAAAGGGATTCCAAAAAACTTGTTTTTTTTTGTCAGGAGTCACTTCCAATCAGCTGTCCTAGAATACTGTTCCCATATTTGGAGTACAGCACCCAAACATACCCTGAAACTGCTGGATTCTGTCCAAAAAAGGGCAATTCGTCTAGTGGGTGATGCCTCGCTTACAAATAACTCACTCACTCCTCTGGAACACCGTATAAAAGTTGGCGATCTGGCTCTATTTTATAGATATTTTCATGGACGATGCTCTTCTGAAATATCAACAATTGTTCCTCCCTTGACAGTCCCCGCGAGATTAACCCGACGACTTGAGGCTTCGCACCCCTTCGTGGTCACTTTGGAGACCAGCAGAACATCTCTTTCCAAAGACTCGTTCATCCAACGAACAGCGAGGCTCTGGAACAACATTGCCAAGGAAGGTGTATAACCCTAGAAGAACACCAATTCCTACCTTATATTCCTTATTGGTTCTCACGATGTTCTTTCTGAAGATAACAGAATATCCCTTTTCGTAGGAACCAGAACATTAAAAAAATATCTTCGTCATTCCGAAACTTTTTAGGGATATTTTTTTACGAATTTATTCTTGAATCTGTGCTCACTTCTTCTTCATATCAATAGAATACAGGGTGACAATAGGATTTTTAGCATGAACTGATATAAAGTTTATTTGATAATGATATGTGAACGATATATATATTTTATTCAGATTGATGGGCTTCATCGAGACATGCAAAAAAATAGAGATCATATCATTTGAACAATAAAATCTGAAGCCACCCTGTATTTTGTCAATATAAAAAAAAGTGAGCACAGATTCATAAAGTTCGAAAAAAATTATTCCAGAAAAGTTTTTGAATAACCAAAATATGTTGAGAATTGCGAGGATAAAGGGAGTTGACACATTTAAGTGGGACACCCTGTACTTATTTCAAAAATACCTCGTATAGCTCCAAAATCAGGTCTGTGATTAGGTTCCACTTAGAAACTATACCAGACGTGGAAATGCATATAAGGAGGTTATACAGTATACAGGGTGGAGAGTGATTCATTAAGAATTGGCAATCTCTCAACTACAGATAGTATATAAACACGAAAATATGAAGATTTAGCCGAGGATGCAATGTTGATTCAGGGTATTATCAATTTCCAATAATAACTTTTGGTCTAACATATTTAATTTGTAATTTTGTTTGTTGTTGGTGTTTTCATATAATGATTGTCATTATATCGATTACTGTCTTTCATTTTCACTTTTCAGTGTCATTTCCGGTCTTTTCGCAAACAATTCCTCCAGAGAGCGAATGTATAATATCGCAAAAACCGTTAGAGGTGGACTATTTTTTTGTAAAATTGAACAGGCTTTCAAATTATCAACTTATTTTATTTCAACCATTATATTCAATGAACAAAGACTATATTATTTAATTTGAAGTTACAGAGTGCCAATTATACCGCCCTGTATGAGCAACCACATAATAAGTTACAAATTCGAATTTCACATGTCAGAAAACCTGAAACTGCAAAATATTATGTTTATGTTAATGAAACTTAAAGTTATTGCGGAATTTTAAAATAAAATCTCTTATAAATATGACCCCTCTGTATCTACAAAACTAGCAACATTTTTATTAGATTTATTCGAAAAATACATTCTTTGATACTATTCCAAGATAACATTCATAAAATATAAATGGAATATGCTAAGAAAGTTCCTATGATATTTTCGATAAAATTGTTTAGGAAAATTCTCGTAAAACATTAAAATATACAGGGTGTAACTAAATAAGTGTAAAACATTTAAGGGGGTGATTCCTCATCGAAAAAAAGATAAAATCTTCCATATAAAGAAACTTCGTTGGAGCATCCCATGTCAAGATACAGCCCCTTGAAGGGGGTACATAAAAATTGTTTCACGATTTTTTTCACAAGCACTAAAAAAGTTACAGAATTCAAATTGACCTGACATTTTCTGCTACCAAAAAGACACTTAGCCAGTAATTTATTTGGTTTACCCCATGGTTTAATCCCTTTAATTAATTTAACGCAGGTAGTAACTACAAAGTGACAATAAATCCAGTTCGCATTTATGTCGATGTATCTCTGTAGTTGATCGTAACATATTTTTTTGCTGGCAACTGGTTTATTTTGGGCAAAAAATTCAAGGGACATTTTTTATTTAGAATGAAACAGACTATCGGAAATAAATTTTTAAATGGTAAACAATTAATAAGACAAAAAGTTACATTGGAAATAAAATTTTGGTGTTGCGTTTTCCACCCCTCACAACCATGGGGTGAACCAAATAAATTACTGGCTAAGTGTCTTTTTCGTAGTAGAAAATGTCAGGTTAATTTCAATACTGTAACTTTTTTAGTGCTTGTGAAAATAATTTTTGAACAAATTTTATGTACCCCCTTCAAGGGGCTGTATCTTAACATGGGATGCTCCAATGAAGTTGCTTTATATGAAAGATCCCATCTTTTTTTCGATGAGGAATCAGCCCCTCAAATGTTTTACACTTATTCAGTTACACCCTGTATATTGGAATAACACTCATATAGGTATTCATTTTTTCGAGAATAGGAAAGGAAATCCTATATAATCTATAGGGAGATGTAAATTATTTTGATAACAATAGGTAATCGAAAATGAAGGAAATAAGTAAATAAAATTGATTTGAAAAAATGTCTCAGTAAGGTTTGAAGTAATGTGGATTGGTGGATTAGCGTCAATGATTTTTATATATCATGAGGGATATATATAGGTACTGACTAATATCATTTCTCAATTTTACATTCAGATATTCCCTGATTCACTATACCGGGTGTCCCAGTATACCTGTTCCAATGAATTATCTCAGCCATTTCGAAAAATAAAAATTCGAAAATTTCATGATCTCCAATTCGTTCAAGGATGCTTCGACTGGAAAAAACAAAAACTGAAAGTCACTTCCGGATTGACCGGAAGTGACTTTAACTTCTTTATTTCAAATGGCACCCTGTATATTTTTTGCAAATTTTTATATCTACTCAAAATTACCGTTCCAAAGATGTATCACACTTCATATTTTAAATTTGATTTGATGGGAAAACGACAATTGAAATTTCAAATTGAACGAATTGCAGTAGGCTACGATATTTTTGTAATCTTGATTTTGACTTTAATAATTATTTCAAATTTTCGTCTTTCGAAATGGCTGAGATAATCTATAGGAACAGGTATACTGGGACACCCGGTATATTATCATCTCCGCCGGATAGCCAAAGCAGCTACTGCCTGCGAAGCAATAAGAAATAAGAAACTAAATATTTCGCCAATAGCATAGGTGGCTAACGGCCAAGTTAGACAATTTATTCATGAGGAAGAAGAGGCTATAAAAATGGAAGAAGAAGAAACGTACTCTGAAACTAACCTAAAACCACGTCAAGTGTCAAATCAAGAGAGCACACTACACAGTGCTTTTATTTTCTTTATTTTTCAATCAGTCCATGTTTTTATATTGATAATTCGAACATTGGCAAGGGCAAGCATTTGCCAACGAAAAAATGGGAAAACTGAACGTGTCAGTGATGCGTTACCTAACTCCCGAAGACTTCCGAGTCCTTACAGCCATTGAAATGGGCATGAAGAACCACGAACTGGTGCCAGGCCCTTTGGTGGCCTCTATAGCAAACCTCCAACACGGGGGGGTACACAAATTACTTCGAGAACTGTGTAAACACCGTCTGCTGAGCTACGAGAGAGGCAAAAAGTATGATGGCTACCGTCTCACCAACACTGGCTATGACTATTTAGCTCTGCATTCTCTGACCAAGAGGAATGTTCTCGGGTCCTTTGGGAACCAAATAGGGGTCGGGAAAGAGAGCAACATCTACGTTGTAGCTTCCCCTGAGGGTGAGGAATTGTGCTTGAAGTTGCACAGACTGGGCAGGGTGTGTTTTCGTAAGGTTAGTGAGAAGAGGGACTATCACAAGCACAGGAAGTCAGCTTCTTGGCTGTATTTGTCGAGGATATCTGCCACCAAAGAGTTTGCTTACATGACAGCTCTGTATGAGAGGAAGTTCCCTGTACCCAAACCCATAGACTTCAACAGGCACTGTGTAGTGATGGAACTTATTCAAGGGCAACTTCTCAACCATGTAAGTGAAGTTGTAAGTGTTGATGCACTTTATGATGATCTCATGAATTTGATAGTCCGTTTTGCTGACTCTGGAGTCATACATGGTGACTTTAATGAGTTCAATATCATCCTCAATGAAGAAGAGAAACCTGTTATTATTGACTTTCCCCAAATGATTTCTACTGAGCATGTGAATGCAGAGTATTTCTTTAACAGAGATGTCAACTGTGTGAGAGATTTCTTCAAGAAAAGGTTTGCATATGAGAGTGAATTGTATCCCAAGTTTTCTGATATTGAGAGATTGGATAATATGGATGCTCAAGTATTATGCTCTGGGTTTACTAAGGAAATGGCCAAACACATCAATATCGAATTGGGAATTGATGAAAGTGATGATAGTGAAAGTGAAGAAGCTACAGGGCAGGTCAATGATGACCCAGATCAGTTTTTTGATGCATGTGAGACTCTTGATAAAAATATTGATGATATGAGTGAACCACTGAAAGATACAAATTATTCCACTATTGATGATATCATGGATCAGATGAAGATCAACCATCATAGTAAAAACACATCAGATAGTGAAACAGAAAATTCCTTTGACAACTTTGAATCAAGGAGTATAAGGTCCACAGCAACTACAATACATCCAGATGAGATAAAGAGAAGGATGAAGAAGCAGATGATGGCCAGAGATAAGAAAGAGGGAAGGAAAAAATGTGTTGCTAAAGGGGAAGCTAGTGCAGTAACTAGGACAAGGAGGGAAAATGTACATACCATCAGGCAAAGCAAAGGATGGGATGATTGAAGTTAGATTAGTAATATTCAGGTGGTTTAATTGAACTCAAACAATATGCAGAACATTTATATTGTAACAGCTTTATATATTGTTTCATTGTTGAATAAAAATTTCTTCATAATACTAAGCTTTATGATACTATTCCATAATATTTCCCTATGGGGTTGTATAGGTTTTTTGGGGGTATTCTTTCATTTAACCCTTGAAGGATGAAGATGAAAGTAAAAATAAATTACATGCTAAGAATTTGATATTTTTTATAGAAAATATCCTATTTTATTTGAATATCACTTTGGTCTCAATTCAGTATACATAATATATCTATGGATTTACAGTAAAACAATTATTTTACAAAAAAGTCCTAAATCTTGATTTGGATGTTCAAAATGTGAATTCACAATTATATGGAATCATTATGCTTACAATTAACAGGTAAAAAACAAAATATCACATCCCTATGAATAGTACAGAATGAAAAGTTCAAGTGTTTAATTATGTATTGATGTGAAAGGTATGCAAATAAATGATACCTGCAATAATATTTGTTTAAAACATACATTGCATCACTAAATGATTTGTAATAATGATGTGACATTCAACTATAGGTACTACTAAATCCATCTATATAGAAAATATTTGCTATGTTCGTCTTTGTATTCAGCATTCAAAGTTGTTCCTTATTCCTAAAAATGAAACACACAAAATCATTACTATATGGGTGACTCATAATAAATTGTAGGATGTGGATGTAGAATACTGACATCAAAACATGACCTTCCTAATGTGTTGATAGTTGATAGTACAATTTACAGGGTGGTAAAGTTGAAATATTAATTATTCTGGATTATCATGTAAATCAATGAACATTCTGAAATATGATGAATTATCTCATGAGTTCCTAAAAGTGTACAGTGTACAAATTCAATTATTTTCCTTCTTATATGGTGTCAAAAAAAGAACGTGTCATATGTCGAGACTTTCGAGTTTTTGTCAATTTTTCAATACAGTATTTGGAAATCGCCTGCGCCCATATATGGTACAAAATAATAACCATAGATGGGACATAAGGATGAGTTAGCCTGGACTTCCAGCTTACTGTTTCACAAATTTGGCGCTCTGATTTTGAATGGTTCGCGAGAATATAACAAATATGTTTTCGTGAACTAATTCAGTGACAATTATCTTCAGTGAACTCAACATATCTCGAAAACTGTGGAAGATAATAATAATGCCTGGGATATTGCCAAAAACTGATGACTATAAATACCGGGGGTATCCCAAAAGTTATTGTATATATACAGGCACTATTTCGCTTATTTGACAAGATAGCTGATAAATACAAAAACTGCATTGAATGACATTGAGGTACCTTCCTAATGACATATGAAAAAATTTATTATATTTTTATAATTCTCCCCCCACTTTTTATTTCCAAAAAGCAACCCCTGTATATTGTCATTGGAAATTACGTGTCCTTCAATTGGGAATACAACGATAGCGTATATTACTTGGTATTTTTTATTAATAACAAAAAAATATCAAAATTTTGTAAATTGTTTGAAATTACTCAACTATAAATAGCCAGGAAAGTATAGTTGTTTTCTGATGAATATTCATAATAATATTATGTGCCTATCTTTATATGAAGGAGAATGCAAATTCTCCACTTCATCAGAAGATTTTTGTTTTCAAATTCTTATAGCGTGTGTTCAATAGATATAATAATTCAATGTTCGTCGTGGCATATAGCCAGGAAAGTAGTTGTTTTCTTTTGAATAAATCGAGAAAGAATTAATATTTTCATCACATGGAGAATGCGAATTCGCAATGTATTTCTTTATATATACATATATATATCCATTTTTTTGTGTTCATAAATATATCTGAGAATATTCCTTTCCAATAATTACTCAACTATCCTTATGAAAATAAAAAATTGCCTCTGCTCATGTTTTTTGTTTCAAAAAGTCGATGCTTTTCATGTCAAAATGATTTTGAACACTTGATGTTGTGATTTCACTTCTTTATTCGCATTTTGAAAGATATTTTAGTCGAAATTCATACTTTAAATGTTGCTGTTTTTGTTGTTATTATAATAAAAAAATACAAAGTATATGCGCTATCGTTGTATCCCTTATAGGATGACACGCAATTTTCAATGACAATAATATACAAAAGGGGTGCCATTTCAAAATAAAAAGTGGGGGCGGATAGCTGCCAGTGATAATATGTCATCAAGAATAAGGTTACTTCAATGTCATTCAATGCATTTTTAAAATTTTTCAATTATCTTAGTTAAATAAGGGAGATATATTTATGCCTGTATACGATATTACTTGGTATAGGGTGAGTGGTAAAAATATTAACTTATGGGAAAACAAAAATCAAGCGTTTGTACACCATATATGGTCACCTTTTAGTTCATGTCCAAGAATATATCTTTCAAGGCCACCCTGGAGAACACCCTGTCGGCTAGCCCCTGGAAAATCAGCCCGAAACTCTCCTCGTAGCCTCCTCTGACGTCGGTGAACAGCTCACTCCAATTGTCGTTGAGCACTTTGTTGATCTCGTCGCCCAACCGCTGGTCGCCGTTGAAGAGGTTGTCGAATTTGAAGGTCACCTTATCCGGGCGCAAAGTCACCGTATAATCCGTGATTTTCCAGTAGGTTTTGCCTTTCTTGTCGAAGGACTGGGCGGATATGGTGTGGTTTATTTTGGTGTTCACTGGAAGAAAAAATGGGGGGATCAGGTATTTTTAGAGAATACGGCAACAGCGTAACATTCAATATGTCCAACTCCATAAAATCCACTCCATTTCAATTAGGATAATCTCGAGACGTCATGGAAATTCAACCAATAGTACACAACAATCGCCTAAGGATATCCTGAAAATGTCGCCAATACTCTCGAGAGGACGAAATATTTTTTTTCCATCCTAATAACGATATTTTGCTGCGAATTTTCACTTCTGATGTAACCAGTGGCGGATCTACGATTTCTGGGGCCCTAAGCTTGATAATTCTTGGGGCCCTTGTGGCCCCTACCCATCATTTTTTCTCCTCCTGTTATTTCTTCTCACCAATTTTCCCATCTAACATTTTCTGACCAAATAGAAGCGAAAAATGCATGATGAAAATATATAGGATATAAGGAACAACAAAAAGTGCATTCATTGATATGGTTTAGGATATAATAACAAATAAAAAAAATCAGAGCCACATTTTTTTTTTATAGCTTGGAGAAACATACTACGATATCACTTCCAATTTTCTGATTCACGAATCTGCGAAAACGTTCATTGCACCATCATAAATCGAACTGCTCATCAAATCACTTCCGATGGAAAGCATTCCCAAAGTTTGTTATGTTCTCTTCGGAATAAGGTACACAATTTGATTTGATTATTGATAATTTTGAAAATAAACGCTCTCCTCCGCAATTGGTCACTGTTGAAAACAAGTTCAATGTAGTATTTTTATTTAAAAAAATACAACAATTTCGAGGAGAAATGCAAGAAGTTAAAATTTGATAAAATTCAAATGAAACCACCCAGCGAGCACAAAAACATCTCAGAAAAGTACGAGATTTCGAGACATTGAACCTCCACTGCGATGTTCTGTTCACACATGAATAGAACTATTATAGAACAGCCAATGTCCGCCGCAGGCGGCAATTATCGAGATGTCCTTGATATGTCACAAAACTATACCTTATCCCTAGTTCTTTTTAAAGCCTCTTCATGGACACAACAGAACATTTTCAACGCGTCTTGCGCACATTAGATCGCTGTAAAAAAACCATTTTTGAGGTACTTTTCTGAAGCCTTTTGTCAAAATGAACTTTTGCTTTATGATTCCATTTCCCTTGAATGAAAAAATCGTGAAAAAATGCATTAAAAATAGATTGAACATTAAAATATTTTCTTGATATGAAATTACCTTCTTAATCGGTTTCTGAGTAGTGCTTACTACACACAGACATATAATTGGAAATAGGTTTCCCAATTTTTGAAATGTTCTCCACAATGCATAATTTTGCAACTGCGGAGAAGCTGTGTATTGATGAATTCGTACTTTTGTATATTGATTACACTGAGGCACCGAACAACACATCTTGCATCTGATGGTCATTATTACAAACTGAATAAGTCTTCTAACACGATAAACTTTAAAAAAATTCCTTTCTGTTCGTTAGCAGCGTGATGTAAGCGTGACACGCTGCAAACGCGAATGCCAATTGCGAATAAGAAGAACAAAATCGAAAACAACTCAGAATTCATCGTATTGTGACGTAAGCATGAGACGTTGTGGTGGGGCAAACAAAGAAAGGGCACAAAAGAACAAAAACAATACTTTCAATATCCTTCTAAGACCTCTTTGGGAAGTGCATATTACGCCTCAAAAAAACATCCTCATGCCTACATTTCTAAAACATCCCAAAACATCCCAGGGATACCTCTCAGTAGGCAAACAAAGAAATGCCACAGAAGAACAAAAACAATACTTCAATATCCTTCAAAGACCTCTTTGGTCAGTGCCATATTACGTCTCAAAATAACATCTTCATGCCAACATATTCAAAACATCCCAAAACATCCCAGGGATGTTTGTGCTCGCTGGGCAGTAGGTATAGTTTGTGGGTGAAAAGTTGAAGTTTGATACCTTCCATATCGTTGGAGTGGTAAAATTATAATAAATGATAACAATAATCATTTATCATGTACCCACCAAATAAAATGTTGATACTTTTCAACTGAAAAAAAATCTTTCACTGTTGAAATAACAAATGTTTTGCATTCTTTACCTAATGTAACATTACATGGCCCATCTCCAACTATTGGCAGCAACAACACCCTCCCTTTCATACTGTACATCCCTTGGAGTCTCAACTCTGGAGTTGTTGATTTAGCATGGAATTGTTTTTTCTCGAAATCCACGCTGAAATAGAAAACACATCTGAGACACAGTCATTCAAACACCCTCGATCATGATGGATTTTGGGAAGTGAAAACAATCCGAAAGATGCCAAATACAAATGCGTGAATTCAATAATTCAAATGTGCATATGAATATCACGTAAATATGTCTCAAGATTCGAATCGATCCAGCTTTCATCCCCATATTATATCGAGAATCAGTCAGGGGTCATATTTCAGAATAGGCTTTCTTCATTTGAAATATTTTCGACAATGCAGCGTTGCCGCTTCCACTAGAAAGTAGTAGCAACATTGATATTTCAAATGGAACACCCTGTATACTATCGCATTTTTAGATTCTCCTTGAAGAGCTGATTTCATCGATACATCCCACTTGGGGTCTATCGGAAATGATTACAGAGATATAGGGTTGTTATTATTCAAAATCGAAATATTTCAACTACAGGATTTGTTTGTGTCGAAACTATTCATTATCGGCCAAAACGGCTCACATGTCTGTATCTCTTAACTATTTACTGATATTTATTGGAAACAGATACAGGGTGATCAGAAAAACCATGCTCCAGCAACAATATAAATTGATTATTTCGTTTATATTTGAATACTGTTTTTATTCGAATTTCACTAATTGGTCATGAATGTTTTTTACCTTGCTGAATGTACTATGGATCCTGTGAGTCCGTACAACTTGATGTCCCTAAAGTTCTGAGCAACGTGGACAGGCCCTGTACCTTCTCCTATCACCAATTTGGGAATGTCCAGAGGATCAAAACTGCTGAAACCTAGTTCTGGAGAACCTAAAGAACAATGGACCACAAATTGATGAGTGAATTTTACTATTTTTTATTCGGTGTGTCCACGTAAAGCATGAGGACTTTAAACTAAACCACCCTTGTAGAACATTCATTTTCATCAAGTGGGGACTTCGTTATCGTTTTTGAGTTGTCTGTCATTTTGCCCAACTACGTCCGAATTTTATTGGGTTCAAATGCCACGCACGATACATTATGATTCATTTTTGACTTTTCTGAGGAACCAGCATGTCCAAATATTTTTCATTATAACAAAATATTATGCAAACATGTGCTGAAAGCCGAGAATTGACAAGACAACGCCCACAATTCGTGCGCCGTGTTGTCACATTCACCGGTTCAAATGTATGTGAATTATATATACAGTATGATGCAAATGTATGGAATAAATTCATTATTTCAGAAATGGGCGACATTTGAAGAAATTCCAAAAACACGTGAGTTTTAATTTTTGAAACCTCATCTCATGACATTCATATGAGAGATGTTACGTCACCGGTGTTGGAGTAATGACGTAATGGACGGTTTTTTTAAATACAAACAGGGGTCATGTGACACCTCGTTTGAAAGGTCTACTGATCGTCTATCCAATAGTCAAAATTTTGCAAAAGAAGATTGAAATTAAAATGGATTATCATTTGGTTAACTGAATCTTGCAGAGATCTTCTACTGAGAATTGAACATCGAAGGGTCGTCTAGTTGAAAAAATACATCGATAAAAAAGTTCTGAACTCTACTTTTTGGATTTTTTTTCGGAAGTCGTCTTGTTTTGAAATGAATTTATTCCATACATTTGCATCATACTGTACATATAATATAATTAATATTTGCACAAATTTATTTCAAGCACTAAGCCACAACACTGGAGGGAAATTTTTGAGACAATGAATTTTTTATTTCTAATTAGGAATATTACCAATGCATGATTGAGAATTTATGAATTATTGAGTAACTAATATTTATGAAGTTCCCGATCGTATTTCAACATATGGCAACTGCTATGGTCTGTCTCACCAAATCGTGACGTCAGTTTTTATACTTGGGGTAAATTTCTAGCCGTTTGAAAATTACTATGGCATTATTTTAGCACCTTTGAATCGACAGAAAAATTCTGAAAAATGGAATTTAAAGGTATTTGAGTGATTATGCTATTAATGAAATTTAAAAAAATAGGTCCACTTGTCCATTGAATTTTTATTTTTTCGTATACCTATTTCATTATTGTAAATAAATAGCATTCCGAAATTATGCAGGCACACTATATAAGGACTATTATGCATAAAAAAAACATCCCATACCATTTTGATTGACACAGTAGAGGATGTCACATATTTGGAGTAGTGTTGATCGCAAAATTGATAGAACTTTTTTCGAGTAGTAGGAATTTTGTTTCCTATTTCCCCATTCAATACCTAACTTCCAGCCCTCTTAAATATTTGTGATATTTCTATTGGTTTGAAAGTTGATTGACCAAATTCAATTTGATGCATACCTCTGGATGCCTACTCTTCAGATTTATTTAATTATTGTAGGTTGATATTTGATTTTCATCAATCACATCATTGATATTCAATGTATGTATATATGGCTTAACACTGCAAAAATCACAAGTATAATACTAATGAGTTATATTAGTCGTATAAGGTAAACTACTCATTTAGAGATTCATGTCCCTATATCCTCCCTAGGAACGCACGATGTTCTTTGAACATTATAGGAATTTCCTTTCGTGCGCTCCAAGCGATAAAAAAATCAAAGACAGTAAATTTTACTTTTTCGATTGATTATTTCATCAAGATAGATAGATTAGTCCTTATCATATAAGGTGGACACACTGAATTTATTATCTTGTCGATTGTGGGTGTTGTTTGATATCGACTCGTTTACATGATGGCTCACCATTCTTCAGCTGTTTGATGGCATCTTCCGCATTTTTTCTCAGACATTCGTCGAATTCTGAATCGGTGATGCTACATCTTCCGAATGTACTTGCTGAAAAAAAAAATAATTTCACAAAAGACAAAGTACACATAAATAAAATCAAGAATTCATTACATTGGCTGCAAATATTTGTAATAATGGAGATGATGTAGATGGAGAGCCCTAATTCCATCATCTTCATTATTATATGTATCATTCCGGTCGAGATGCAAATATTTGTGACGAAACATATACAGGGTTTTCAAACTTGAGTCGGCACTATTGCTACCTTGGTTATTATTGGAGCTAGTCGGTTAAACATCGTGCTGTTCACGAGTTATGTCAAAATGTTATTTTTTTTAAATGGGACACCCAGTATACAATATTCTCAATCGATAGAATATTTGATTCTGAACAAGAACAGTCCTATATACACTTTTATCCTGAATTCAAAAATGATTGAGCTATCGACGATTTCTGTTTACTTTTATTTCAAAAGGTATATTTTTATTGAATGGGACACCCAGTATAAAATATTCTTAATTGATAGAAAATTCGATTCTGAACAAAAACTGACCCATAACCTTCCATCGTTGATTCAAAAATAATATATAGGGTTAAAATTGTCGCGGTTTTCATAACTCAAACGTGGATCACCTTATTGTATATCTTTTTCTCAAAAATGTGACAATTTGAAGATTTAAATCGACCTGGTTCATGAGCTTCCTCAGAAATGAATAGTTTGGCAAAAAAATGTATTCAGTACAAATGCACACAATTTGACGGACGCATTGTATAGAAACAGAAACCCAATGTGTGATATATTTTTAAATGCAGCGCTCTATGGATATTCCAAAAATTAGGGTGTTCCATTTGAAAAAATCATCGCGGACCTCATAACTCAAACGTGAATCACCCTGTTATTTAATTTTTTAAAGAAAATGTAGGAAATCGAAAATAAAAATCGACCTGTTTCAGGAGATATCTCAGAAATGGGTAGTTTGGACAAAAATGAATTTATTCACTACTTTACAAAAGCATTGTTCACCAAACATATATTGGACAAACTAGGAGATCTATCAACACTAGGTTCAAGAAACATCTCAAACATCTGAAATGGATTTTAGGTTGAAAAATCAAGTTCAGTGAAACACTATATCATGTTTAATAACACAATCGAGCAGAGTATAAATAAAAGCAAGAATTTGGTTCATAATGTTCTGGACAAAACATATAATGTGGCCGTCTAAAGTCCGTTCCCCCCTACTAACTTTTGAACCACCTGGTATATCGCAACAAAATTTGTAGGGCTGAAATAGGAGATGCAAACCTACCTTTTCATGAAAAAAAAAACATCTGCGAAAGTTTTATAATGGCGGCTGAATAATTATTTTGAATGGAACACCCGATATATTGTTCTACTTTCGAAATCTTCTCATGATTCTTAACAGTTTTATAGAATACACTATACACTTACTCCCAAATTTAATTATTTTTAGTAGTATCAACTAGAGTCACTGGATGGTATTAGTATTAGTATCAACAACGTTCGAAAAGTGATATTTTTTTCCAGAACACTTGAATGAAAGCAACATTCGAGATTTCGTTGGGAAATCGATGACCAAAAATGTCACTTTTCAAACGTTAATATTTCAAAAACTAATGAATTTAGGAGTAGAGTGTAGTAGATAAAACTGTCGAGAATTATTCAGATGGGACTCAACCGCCATATTTAAACTTTGAGCTGTCGTTTTTTCATAAAAAAGTAGGTTTTCATCTCCTATTTGACCTCTTCAAATTTCGCTGCGATATACCATGTGGTTCAAAAATTAGTAGGGGTGGAAAGGACTTTAGACGGGTACAGTATAGGACAAACTAGGAGATCTATTAACACTAGGTACAAGAAACATCTAAAAAAAATTGAGTGTTGCGAAATATAATAATTTGTTTTATAACAAAAATATAATTACGTTGTAAATTTTCTATCCTAAAATGAGCAAAGGGACATGCTAGGAAATGATTATCCAACATTTTAATGAAAGAAACTCAATAAAACAATGTCAACATGATTGAAAATATACCTAATTTGATATAATGGGTACAAACAAATGAACCGGAACCATGTAAGTATTTGAAGATCATCTTGGTCCTTGATTACCAATTTTGTCAAGGTAAAAAAAAAATCATTCACATTACGTCAATAAATATTGATGTGACGCATATAGGTAATGCTTTTCTTCTCATCCGCATTGGAAGCAAATATAATACAAAGTGACCCATTTTGGTATTTGTTAAATAATTGTATGATTCATTCGATTTTTTTGTGGAAACCATTAGAAATAACGGAATCCCAATTACTGAAATAGGTACTCATGTCTTTTGATCGTTAAACCTGCTTTTTATATTCGATAAAAAATAATTGCACATCTAAATCTTATTAATAATGTAATTATTATGAATAGATAGGTATTCAAATACGAAGTTTCTGCCAAATTGATATTTGCATTCTCTCAAGCTATACAGGGTGTCCCAGAATAACGTTCGTATACTCCGAAAGTTTTTTTCGCAAGGAATTGTCCGGTTTGGGAATGATTCTTGGTAGAGTCTTCGCGCTTCACGTGCATTACCATTGGCTTTGCCATAAAATAAATGCATATCAGCCATTTCCGCAAAAGTGTATGCTTCCATTTTAAGGTGCTAATTTGAAAATAAACTTAGTGCAATAAGTATCTAATTAGTGCTATTTGAACTAATGACATGTGTGCCTAACTGAAGCAAGCCTATACTTGGTTTTTTCAATCGCCAAGGTACTTCGAAATTAAATGTGTAAAATTCCATAGCCTACTCCTAGAAAACGGTTCGTTTTACGGCATTCCAACAAGATTACCTTTTTCATGAAGAAGTGTTTGGAAAATCATATTCTGGTACTAGCAAGAAGATACAGTGTGAGACAAAAAAATTGGGACATTTTTATAGCACGGGTTACAAGTTTCGCACCTCCCTGTATATTATTTCATTTTTTCCATTCCTTCAAACGATTTATGAGATCAAATAACCTGTTGGTACAAAATTTCATGATTCTAGGATCAATGGTAACAAAGATAATTGAAGAAAACTGCATTTAGAGGCCAACCTTCAAAGGGCTGTAGCGCCCTTTGGAAGCATTTTCGGACACCTGTTGATAGGAACATTTTTTCTTATTTTCATCTGTAGATCGACCTCCCGGAGTAAACGAACGTTATTCTGGGACACCCTGTATATGCTATCGCCTGATTGCTTCTCCGATTGTCCACTAAGTTTATTCGAAATTTATGCTTATAACTGTTAGTCATTATTTAAAACACTCCTAATCTATGTTTAAAAGAATATGGCTTCAAAATTGAGCTCTGCGTGGTCTCAAATGGATACTTATTGAATATTGATAGGTGGAAGATTAAAATCGGGAACATGTTATGTAAACTCTCTAAAAAAATATATTCAAAATTGTCTCATTACTATGGAGGTCCAGTAATATCAAATGAAGATATCGAAGACACGTACACATCCATGACTAATATATTTATGTAGGTACCACGTCAACAAAATTTGGAAGGTGAAGATCTACCGAAAAAATAACGTGAATGGCCTTGGTACTTTAACAAGTAATTCATAAAAATAAAATTTATTCGACTTTTTATTAGGTAGTCGTTGAATTATATCATCGCAATGAATTTATTTTCTACTCATTTTATGATACAATTTGCGGATTTTGTAAGAGGTAACCTTCGAAATCTGTTTTCCTGCAACTGACTCAAAAGTCGTCCATTTTGTCTTACTGATACAATTGAATGATTATTCCGTCACACTCTTAGGAACCTGAAATTAGTTAATTGAAAGCTGATAAGGGTAGCTGCAGATATTGCTCGAATGAGTGGTGTATTCACTTATTTTCACGAGATGTTACTTTCAATTCTATCAAAATGAAATATTGATATGGGTTTTGAATTGACTTGGCCGTTACTTGATGAAAATCCATGGCAAATAAGATTTCCACAAAATTCTCAAACACACGACATGTTTCGCTAACGCAGTAGCTTCGTCAGGTGATATACTGGTACAATGAACTAAACCAACCTTGGCTTGCTAACTTTTATATATTTTTATATATTTTTAATATTCTTTAACTTGATAGACAGTATTCTTTTTTAAAAACTTCATAATGAAGCTATTCAAGAAGTTTATCCTACCATCAAGAATAATAATCAAAATTATAGAACTTCAACCTATATCGGATCATCAACTGAAAAATTAGCTTAATTTCTACTTAACAGTAGCATATAGAACAAATAACACATGGGAAGGTTTATCAAAAATAATAAAGACAAAACTTCTAAATTCGAAAAATGAGGAGTATACAAACTCAACTGTGGATCTTGTCGTAAAAGGTTTATATTGGCCAGACAGGTCGTACGTTTAATCAGCGCATTCATGAAATCAGATGAATTTTTTGAAAATCGTTATATACGGCTATCATATATTTTCTATCTTCAGGGGATCAAATGAAAAAATTTAGCTTCGATAGGTTTTTTCAGCAACTTAACTGGATAACAACTTCATCTATAGCTATCTAACCACTTAACTAAACTTTGGATTGGATGGATGGATGGATGGAAGCCCCATCCACAGCTTTGCAGATGAAAGTACCCTCCGTACCCTCCATACTGCGTTCTCTTCCAGAATTCCCATTTCTGCCCAGGAAACTAAGATCTCACGGCGCAGGCAGGTCAATGCTGTCAAGGAAGACCTTTACTCACAGCCTGGGGAACCAACAACCTAGTTGAATTCAACGCCACCAAAACTCAAGCCTGTATTTTCTCTAGAAAGGCGGAGCTCAGTATGCCCGACATTGTAATGTCTGGCACCACCATCCCCACCAAGCCCACCATATCTATGCTCGGTATTTCCATCAGCAACACTCTTTCATGGGATAATCATGTCAGATCCATCGCAAAAGCTTTTTTACAAAAACTGGGATTCTTGTTCCGTGCGAAAAGCTACTTTACACCTCAACAGCTTCTCATGATCGCTTCACAAGTCGCAGATACGGCCTGTTCTAGAATACTGTTCCCACATATGGGGTTCAGCACCAAAACATACTCTGATGCTCTTAGATTCCATTCAGGGAAGAGCCATTCGCCTGGTGGGTGATGCCACACTCACTCACTCTTTGACATCATTGGAACACCGTAGAAAGGTCGGCGACCTTTCACTTTTCTATCAATACTTCCACGGGAAATGTTCATCGGAAATCTCTGCTATCATCCCTCCACTAGCAATGCCAGTCAGACGAACAAGACAGGCCCAGTCAGCACATCCTTTCGTTGTCAACCTCGAAAGATGTCGAACAGCACTTTATCAAAACTCTTTCATTCATAGAACGGCTAGGCTCTGGAATTCATTGCTGAGGAAGTTTTCCCAACAACATATAATCTCCACAAGTTCAAAAAAAATTCCAATACCTACCTCCTGTCCCTATCCTTCCTAGGAACGCACGATGTTTTTTGAACATTATAGGGATTTCCTTTTGTGCGCTCCAAGCGATAGAAAAAAATAACCAGAGAGGAAAACTTGTTTGCCTTCTCATCAAGTGTCGTTGATGTTTTGCAGAAGAATAATCGACAGATCAAATAAAATTATTTCATAACGAGAAATGAATGAATATTCATTTTGCTAGATTATTATGGATTTTGCGAGATTATTATGGATTTTCTCTCGTCTTTTCTACATGGAATAAAAATATGAGAATTATATCAATATTCGTGTAGTAGGACAAATCAGATGATTTGCTCCAAAATGTCACTGCGTTTAAAAATGTCTCTATCAGAGTAAATGAAAAATTCAATCGTTTTTCAGTGACACTTTGTTTTGGAAAATGTTTCGGAGAAACCAAAAATAATATTGAAAAAGTATAGAACTTTGGAAGTTCCGGGAATTTGCTCCCGTTTTCAACATGAAAGATGCAAACATATTTTTCTTTGAAAATTGTCTTTTTAGTATGATACTTCTCAATGACATACTTTGATGTTGGCATATACAGAATGTTTCATGTTCAGTTCTCAGTAGTGAATATACCATGTTCTATCTATATCAACTGAACAGGAAGCAATGCTATTGTGTCTTCCCTCTTGGTTGTTATTTTCCTCCCCTATGATTTTAATATCATTCCATTTTTCCATATGTTACTCATTTATATATAATATCAAAGTATGTAACTGAGAAGTGTCACCCTAACAAGACACTTCTCAAAGAAAAATATTTTTGCTAAAACAGGAGCAGATTCGTTCAAAGTTGAGTAAATATTCGATATTTTTTCAATATATCTACATTTTCCTGTTTTCCAAAGCATTTTTCAAAACAAAATGTCACTGACAAACGATTGGATTCCTCTTTCAGATATTCTGATAGAAAAAAATTTAAACGCAGTGATTTTTCGGGCAAATCATTTGATTTCTACTACACGTTTATTGAAATAGTACTTTTTATTTTGTAGAAACAAGAAGAGAATATCCCAAATTATCTAGCAAAATATGAATATATCACCTCCTTGATTAACCTACAGAGTGTATTTGGATATATAAATATTAGGACAGGACAAAATTCTTACAGTCGACTCCACCAAAGCTATACTTAACTGTAAGCAATCTTACAGGGACATGTTTCGAAGCTTTAAAGCTTCATCATCAGCATTATTGTTACATAGGAGTACTGTTCTGGAGGAAAAAAGTTATGTTTACATAAAATTCATATTTATGAAAATGTTTTAAAAAATTATGAAAAGGTTAAATGGGGACCGCAATTATTGCGGAACCCCTTTGTTAGGGAACTTTAAATAACATGGTAATAAGTATTTGGAGAAAATCGACAAAATTATTATCTGTTCATGCCAAACTCTCAAAAGACATATAGATATATTATCTGAAATAATATAAATATTATTTTGAAGCTCCTAATATCAGTATCAAATGTGTGGTATTCTCGAGAAGGTTTCGATTATAGGATTTATCACGTCATTTTTGGGTACTCCTAATGATATGGAAAAATTACACGTAAGTAATTATAACAAATTTCTAGTTTTATGAAAAATTATAATTATTCATCATAATTGTTTCAAAAAATTCTATGTTGAATTCTTCGTAAGAAAAATCAGAAAATAGTGAATTATTTTTATCCAAGAAGACCCGTAGTATTTGAAATACATGGTGGTACAATAATTAAGAAATTTGAAAATGAAACCTCCTCTTTGATTCTCTTCCACTTTTGTAGGTTCGTATGCTACAATAAAATATTTTTCCTGTTATTACAATTACAAAGTTGAATTCGTTTAATTATACCACATATCTACAACGTGCTTTTGAAATACGTGCACATATTCAGCACATTAATGATACAGTCTAAGGAATATTCTCATGATATCCGATTTTTTATAATTCTTCTAATTAACGAAAAATTTCATCCCAAAAATTGAACAAAATACGGGAAAACTATCAGCCACTTTAAATCAATTTAAATGATTGAACTCCTTGTGATTGTGCCTACCACATGGAAATTTGAACATAGGTGACGTCAGATTTTCTACAGTGTAGAACTTTGGGTGGAAAAAGGGGTCTAGCTTCAAATTTAATCTTGATCCCTAATTTTTTTCATCACTGCCATTCGATAGTACACGTCGAGCTTTCTCAGTGTTTGAAATATTTGCACTTATTTCAATGCCACCCTGTATATATACATTATTTTTATATGAGATTGAATGATTCAAAGTACAACTTTCTTGACTTGAATTTTCTTCGTATTTTTCTTTAGTGTTTTCTCAAACAAAAATAATATCTCTGCATGCCCCTGTACCATTATGTGAAAAAAACACAAAACTTTATAACAATACATGTAAATCAAATAATGTTTTTACTGCTGAAGAGAAAGTTGAATGAATCCTCTATTCCTAAAAGATATTAGGCTTAGTTGTACAGGGTGTCTTATTTTTCCTCAGGGGTCTATGCAATTAAACTTTTCACCACTGTACTTATTATCAAAGTATAGGTACCAATTAGCAATACAAAGAATGGAAACAGAAGATGATAATAAAATGAAACTTACGTAATTTCGCTGCTTGTGTTGGGAAATAATCGATCGTAGCCACGGTCAAGAAAAAAACGACTTTTACGCAAAAACCCATCGTGGGATCCAAATTGAAGACTGGACGAACAATTGCGAAACACTCAAGATAAGTCGGCAAAGTTGAGTATCCCTACTTCACGTCCGTTGCTCTTTTTATATGCCGCAATCGGTCAACGTTTTTCTATCGGTATTGCCAATCAAAAAATTCAATTTGTGTACCATTATACTGACATTTTTCTCGAATCAGATGATAACGATTGAAGTCGTATGATTCTACTTTGGTTTCCGGAAAAATTAAAGTGCTACTTCCTCTCGGATTATTATTGGCACTATATTGACTATACCTACTGTTAATTCTTGGCAGGTATACAGGGTGTTTCATAATTGGATGTCAATAATTGGGGAGGCGATTTTTGGGCCCATTCTAAGAAGAAAGTTTCATATGAACGTATATAATAGTTTTTTATCAATATTTGTAATACCACTTCAGATATTCTGATGAAATTTGGCATACATGTACTATGTATCAAGAGGCATTAGTTAGTGTACCACATTTTTTTTGGTTGCCACCAGTGGCGTTCGTATAGAATTGCATATACCTATTTTGGCAGACATTGATGGTACGCCACTGTTTAATCTTGAAATTGAAATCATTCCTGAAATTCCCAACCATTTTAAATCAAATTAGATCACCACAATTATTTCAATCTGATGCACGGTTTTTGATTTAAAAATGATTATAGCAATATCGTTAATATGACAATATCACAATGCAGAGAAATAGATTTTATTTTTTAGATCAAATTTCAGAAATACAATTCATAGTTTATGAACTTTGTATTCGTATTTGGTATTTTGGAATTATAAATTTTCATTGTAATATTGATTTTTGAGAACTTTACCACCCTGTATCTCAAAAGTTAGGAAAGTTTGACAACAAATTTTATTTCAAGAGTTCTACTATAGTAGGATCAATGGTTTAGCTGCAAATTCGGTCTAATACTGAAATTTCTACTTTTTGGAAAAAATGGTCTATATATTCAAAGTGCCGTAGTGCCGTAGTTCCGTGAATAATTGATCTACAGAGATTCGATTTCGTTGGAAAGAGAATAGTTTTTTTTTCATGTTCTGGTTTCCACGAGAAGAAATATCCTGTAATGTTCAGAGAACATCGTGAAAACCAAGGGAAATGAGGTAGGAATTAGTGTTCTTTTTAAATTTCTGGAGGTTATATGCCTCGGGGAACACCTGCCTTGGCAATGTCTTCCAGAGCCTCGCTGTTCGTTGGATAAACGATGTGCATTGTGCAGGTCTCCAAAGTGACCGCCAAGGGGTGCGAAGCCTCAACTCGACGTGTTAATCTCGCGGGGACTGCCAAGGGAGGAACAATTGTTGATATTTCAGAAGAGCATAGAGCATCGTCCATGAAAATATCTATAAAATAGAGCCAGATCGCCAACTTCTCTACGGTGTTCCAGAGAAGTGAGTGAGTTTGTGAGCGAGGTTGACGGTACCTACTGAATGAATTAATTTTCAGTCAAACTATCTATTCCTGAGAGATCTCCTGGGACAGATCCATTTAATCTTAATATTCAAAAATAATATATTCCTAGAATGTGTCGAATTGTATGTTCATAGAATATTCGATGCAGAATGAGAATATTCTATGATCATTATGAGAATACACATTCTATAAGAATATTCTAAAATAAGAACATTGTCAGAATATTCATAGAATATTCTGTGCTGTCTGGGTTGAGGGTGCGTTTCAAAATTCAGTATCAAGATTTCAGATACCTAATTTTCAGGTCAAAATTAGACTTTTTTTTTTCAAATATGTACCCGCAAACAAACTGAATATGTATAGCGTATTTTGTTTTCATTGTGATAATATATACGTTCCTCCCTTCTGTTACAAATTTCAATATAATCTAGCAAATTAAAAATAATGTTTTTTCCTCCGATTGGCAGCAAATATTGATTTTGCTGACACATATCAATCAGCAAAGTATTACTTTTCCTGTCTAGGCAGCAATTAAAGTGGGTACTTTGCTGCCTAGGCAGCAAAGTGGTAACTTTGCTGATTGATATGTATCAGCAAAATTAAAAATCCATAAATCGTTTATAATTTCCTTCATATTTCATCCAAGACTTCTCCGGCAAATTCAACTCTATATTTTTTGCCACCTCCCTTATTAATGGAGGTGTAAGTATACTTCCAGGTCGCTATCACTGTCCATTATATAATAATTTGAATATACCAATATTGTTTCGCACAACTGTCAGAAATTTCATGAATTGTCAAACCAACAACTGCGATTTCTATCAAATTTTATTTTAATTGACCACTATACAGGAAGAATAAAGAGATTGTGGGAATTGTATTAATTCGCAAACACAATATTCTCCCATATCATTATGAACAATCGAAGAAAAAATCATATGTTCAACTCGGCAGCACAGTAGATTGACTGCCTTTGCTGGATTCCTAGCCTCGCTACGCTCGGCTATGAATTCAGCCACGGCAGTCAATCTACTACTTTGCTGCCTAGTTAAACAAATAATTTTTTTCTTGATAACAGTCGCAGATGCGCAAAAATCACAAGAGACGTAAAAGTTTATAAACAAAACAAATAACTCATTTCGTATTTCAAAATCTACCAGGGTTCACCATGGACGTATAATACGTCCATGGTGATTCCTGTACGTTAACCTATGTTTCAAATTTGATCTGGATATATCTCAAAAACTAAAGGAAAAAAATAAAATATTCTAGAAATTTTAACGCTCTTGTAGATCTAAATCTTATTTTGATCTGAAAAATAAGCTCGTGAAATCTTGAAACTGAATTTTGAAACACCCTGTATAACTACATACCTACTGAAAAATTATATTATTACTAAATCAACCAAGTTCTAGATTTCCATCTACAAAATACCAAATACCATCTAGTCATTATCACATATATATGGCTTATTGGCATTGGCACTAAAAAGTGTCAGGTCAGAACCAACGATATACTTAATACAGGGTGACTCTATCATGCATGAATAATAAGCTCATGAGTTGAAGATAGAATTTTGATATTTTCAAAGTTCATATACAAAAGGTGTTCCACTATAAAGTCGGCGAGGTACGATATTATGGAAACCATAAACATTCCAGCCTCGGGAAAAAATCTAATAGTAAAATCAGCGATGAGAAGTTACTATGATACAACGAGAAATTCGAATCATCTCAGAAAATCGCTGTGTGTAATTTTTTGATCACGGAAATGAAATTAATTTATCGTTGTTTTGGTTTCCAGACTTTTTTTGTATCTTGAATGATAATGGTGGGGGAAGCATTGTGAACAAATTATTTTTAAAATTGCTATATCTTCCATACCCCTTATTATCTAAATTCAATAATCTTGGGCTCGTTTGAAAGATAATTTCACAATTATTCAGAAACTGACTATACGGTCACTATAGTTCTTATCGCGTCGTTTACCGACTATTCGATTTTTTTGGATGGATTTTCTCGAGAAATTCAAATGGAATGATACATGTTTGCATCATTGCTCTTGAAGAACATGAAAATATAGGTACATTTTGGTGAAAACCACGGATTGATATCTTTCTTGGTCTTTGAATTATTTAAAAATAACTGTCTTTTATATACGGTATCTTCAGTGAGTAGGCCTTGCAACAAAAAATAATCAATTATCGTATCCTATAATTTTTTGCGTAAGTGGTGAGGAAGTATATAAATATATTACTGAATTCTTCAACCTCTTATTGTTACATTTGTGCATTGATTTAATATTTGAATGCCACCTACCTACATTGAATAAAGTTGATCGAATTTGGATTATGATGGGTAAGTATATGGAAGATATACAGCAATTTGTAAAATATTTTGTTCACAAGCTTCCACCACCATTATTTATTTCTTTTTATTTCCTAACACAGCGATTTTCTGAGATAATTCGAATTTCTCGTTATATCATACCATAGTAACTTCGCCCCCTACCGGTCATTTTAGAAATTTGAAAATATTTTGAATCAACTTCTCATCGCTGATTTTCTCAATAGATTTTCTCCCGAAGCTGTAATGTTTATGGTGTCCATAATAATATAGTACCTCGCCGACCTTATAGTGGGACACCCTGGTATACGTCAAACTGTTTGATTTTCTTCGAATTTAAGTCCCTATAGTCACATTTCTTGATAAAAAAAAATCATTTTGCACACAGTTATTTTTTGCTCAAAATTTCGAATAGTCGATTAAAAGTGAAAAAAGGCTCGAAATAATAGAAACTATATATACCTACCAAAATAGTTGGTGGTTCTATATCCAGCTGAAAACAATGATGATGTTTTTTTTTAAATTGCCTTCTATGCTTTTGCTGAAAATCGACCTACAAACTGCTCAACACTGGGAACGTGCATGAAATCGACATTTTTCGATTAATTCTGATTCATCATAAGTTTCGACTGTCTCGACCGATTTTCAATTTATTTTCAGTTTCTGAATGTTCATTTCATTATTGACTATCGAACATATGGAAACGATCATCGTATCTTTTCAGAATGAGCAGATTCAATCGAAGCTGTGCAAAATTTCAAAGGCCTTCCGTTTGGTAAACATTTTTTTTTGATGAGGTGAAAAACACATCACACCATCTGTTTTCTCGAAAAGGTTTCGAAATTGTCGGTTTCTTCGAATGATAATATGTCGGACTTCTCTTGCTCGTCACAATGCGAGTTTTCTTTTTTTTTCAAATTATTGACATGAATACGATGATGATCATGCATCAGTTCATGATTTTTGACCACCGTCTGAACCAGAATGACAAGAAATTAACGCCAATTCGCCAATAGAAATTAGAACATCAAATTATGCATTATCTTTATAAAAATATTCTCGTTTCAGGAATTAATGTGATCATTCATATATGTTCTTATACGATTTTCATCTCTTTTCATTCTAAATTTGAATAGATGTGTGGCATTTTATAATTAAGACTTTTATCGTACAAACTCAATTGTTTGGTCCGTTCTGTTATTCTGACGTGTTGTTAGTGTCAGTGTGTTTGACGCGTTTATTTTCGAGTTTCACTATATATTAGCTTCTAATAAATAATACAATTCCTTGTCAACAAGAGATCGAGAAAAAAATACAAATCAGAATATCAAAGATAAACAAATTATTATCTCGTCAACTCCTTGAGAAATAAATAATGAGAACTTCTGCAATACTGTCACTTATCTACTTATTCTGACATCATGAAAATACTATTATTACAGTCCGAATTCAAATTAAATAAATAATATGATTATTATGGTAATTGCTGAATTTGTCAGGCCTATAATAGAAACTCATCAAAGTAGTAAAATGTGCCTGACAAATTAGAAATAATAAAATGGCCAATTACCTGCTGCAGGAGCAAACAGCAATCCACGAGGCAATCCAAGTTCATATTTCAATGATGAAAACATCATTATTCAGGATATTTCAATTCACTCTTTGATTATTAAAGAGAAAATCTTTATTTGTAGCTTGAAATTAAATACAATTCATTTTTATTATAAAAAACATATATTCTCTTGAAAATTCACATCACTGGAATTATTGCAGCTTCAATTGCTGTAATATATTATTACATGAATTAAACTTATCATAAATGTTGAACCCAGATGATTTTGTTTGATAGTTAATAAACAGAAAAATTATGCCATCCTGTATATTTTAGTTCATCACAAAAAAATCTGGTCTATGAATAGAATATAAATAAAAGGTACAGGTCCTATTATAAAATGCAGTACCTATATTTAATCAAACTTACAAAAAAAAAAACAGTGAGATGATTTCATCCTAGGTACCTTCTTTGCTTGATAGTAAATAAACTAAGAAAATATGCAACCCTGTATATTTTAGTTCATCACAAAAAAAAGCAGATGAACCAAGATGAACAACGACTCATATAATTTAAACCATCCATAACATGAAATGCAATTCCTATTTAATAAAGCTAAAAAAAATTTTTTGGTCAGTCTTCTTTTTTCCCTTCTGCAGATTTTTTTAGATAGTGTTCACATCACTCACTACCATCACTGTCTGATATTTGTATCACCTCTGTCATTCCATTTTCCTTTTTCCTTTTTTTTGAATTAGAGCTACTACCCTGCTTTGAGCCATCATCAATACAAAAATGTGTCTTTGAATCTTCTGATCTTTTATATTTTTTTCTTTTTATCTTTGAAGATTCATTTCCACTATCAGAAGATTTCAAATTTGTACTTTTTGAACCTGAGCTGCTACTGTCTGAGTCATCAAGAGTTATAACATTACTATTCAATGAATAGCACAAGGTCTCTGTTTTACTCATGAGATATTTTTTTGTTGAACTGGTTTTAGGTGGATCTGACGAATTTGAATTACATGCAGTTTTCTTTGCCTTCAAAGATTCAATTCTGCCTATCAAAATTTCACGTACCACTTCCAATTGGGATCTATGCTTGCTCATAGGTTTTTTATTTCTGGATCTAGATGTCAATTGTATTTGACTGTAAATGAATAACTGAAATATAATTATGGCAGTTCATACATTATACTACTGTACCTCTGCCTATTTAGTGATCCAGACATTTCCCTAGGTTGCTGAGAAACATATTTAGGTCCTATTTTCTGTTCATCAGAAGATTTCACAAAATCTATTTTCTCAGACAATATATCTTTTATAATTTCAATGTGAAGCTTTTTACGAACGGGAATTCTCCTAGGTCTATAACTGGAATTCTTTTCTTTCTCCTTGTTGATCATTTCTTTCTGCTTTGTAGTCAACCTACAATAAAAACATTATAACACAGTCATGATGTGTGGAATATTATCTAACCGATTGTTGGATGAAACCATATTCGATACTGTTCTTTGAAGAAAGTTCAAATTTGGTCTGACTCTAGGTTTTTCAAGTGTACCTTCTCTAGCTTGGCTTTCCAGAGTAAGGGCTTTGATTACTTCCCTAAAATTAAGGATAACATTAATTAACTGGTTAAGGATTTCTTGACCTGAATCTTACTCATCAGTTACCAGAGATTTGTAATATTCAAAACTCTCCATGAGGCTGAATGTTGTTGCTCCAATTCCCAAAAGTTCAGAAAATTGACTCAAATATCATAACAATGGGAAATGTCAAAATATTCGATATCAGGTTAGATTCTTCTTCTACTCTTTTTAGTTTTGAGGCACTTGGGTATTTAGCCAGCTTCGAGTGTTCATAAGGCTAATGTCTTCTTCTTTACTTTATTGGCTCTGAACATAGCCAGATTTTCATTATTTTCTCCAGTTTTCTCTACTTTGTTTGGGTTAGCAGTTGGCAGTTGGCACTGTTCAGGTTGGCAGCAATTTGTTTTTGTTTACCGCTGTCGGCACTCGGCGCTGTCATTTTCGAATTTTAACCAAAAATAAAATATTCAAAATATTTTCTCAAACTTCCTGAAAAATCTAGGGATATAATGGCTGTAAGTACTAGTTCCACACAAAAAAATCAAACCGAAGTAAATTTTGATAGTATATTCCAATGATACAACCTGTACCAAGCATGGTATCAGAAACCTAACCAAAAAATGCATGTTTGAACTCAACCTTTGTGAAAGTTTTTGGTTTCCAGGCTGCAGCTGCTGCCAAAATTGCTGAGGTACGGGAAACCACTCGTGTGGAAAGGATTGGGGCTCATTCTCACATCAGAGGTCTTGGTTTAGATGATAGTCTTGAGGCAAGACATGTAAGTACCAGGTACAAACAAGGTCTGTATAAGTTTGTTCACTCATTTGGATTGTTAGGTTTCCCAAGGTATGGTTGGACAAGTGTCTGCCAGACGTGCAGTTGGTATTGTACTTCAGATGGTTCGAGATGGAAGAATTGCAGGAAGAGCAGTGCTTCTAGCAGGACAGCCAGGTAAAAATAAATCAATAAGCTCTATTTCCCCTCTCATTGATCCAACATTGATTGTCATGGAGATAATTATTACTAGTTATGAGGGATAATTTTCATTCTAGCACTTGATGATTATTTTATTTTTGGTAGGTACTGGGAAAACTGCTATTGCTACAGCTTTAGCAGCTGCCTTAGGTCATGATACACCCTTTACTAGTATGGCAGGCTCAGAAATTTATTCTTTGGAAATGAGCAAGACTGAGGCTATCACTCAAGCCTTCAGGAAAAGCATTGGAGTTAGAATAAAGTGAGTAGTTTGTTTGAAACTGGGCCATGATTTGGTGAATTTCCCTACAGTGATACTGGAATTGGAATGGAATCAATTTGTATCTGTTTTATTTGCTATAGATACTCAGTACCTACTTCATATTTTAGTGTGATGAATTATGAATATGATTGAATAATCCACTATGGCAACACTGGAATCTGATTTTGAGAAATTAAAATATTTTTGTGTTTGTTTAGATCTTAAAATTCATTACTAATGGCAAAAGGAACAATTTTTCTCATATATTTATTTGATGAATAATCTCAATTGATGAATTGTTATGAATAAAATTCTCCTAATGGCACAACTGCAATCAACATTGAATAAAAGTTTTGTTTTAAATATCTTCCATTTTTGTTTTGTGGTGCCTGAATATTGATGAAAATTTAAGTAATGATAAGCATAGTTCAGCATACCCTTTTTCCTACTCAATCAATAATGAGAAGATTTTTTTCAAAGAAAACTGGGGAAAATTCCTCTGAGGACATCATTAAAATTTTCAACTTGGAATAAACCTTTTTTATACTGTTTAAGTTACATTTCCTCTACTTATGGGAGGCATTTTGCCATGTGATATATTTGAGAAGAGGACATTCATTTCCCTGTTCTTATATATATTTTTTAATTGTGAGAAATTATTGAAAAAACATTTGGTCTTCTACATGGTTGCCAGTTTTACTGAATTTTCAGTAGATCTCCTGATTTGCATAATGACTGATCTACTGAAACATTTCATAACCCACTGAAAAATATTTTGACACTTATTTATTATTATAATTACCTTTATTAATTTTCTGTTTACTTAAAGTACTTGCATATTTTGACGTCATAGGTTTATCACATTATCCTTTCTTGGAATTAGTATTGCATAAAATAGATCTTAAATAGGTCTATTGAAATCTACTGTATTTTTGACATAGTATTTACTGATGGAATAAAAATCGATCTGGCAACCCTGGTAAGCGCGGAGAGTGAGTTGACAACAAATGTCATTTGCTGTTGTCAAATCAATTACTCACCAATCCCAATAGATTTCACATGTGAATAGGACCGTGATGTCGACGAAAAAATGTAATATGCACCTCGGCGAAAAACTGTCTATTGTCTGGCCTTGTTATGTGAAATATATGAGATATTTATATTTCATCTTTATGGTCCTCAATCCAGCAAACATCCACGAAATCATTTATTTCTGAATGTTCAAAAATAACTTTGTTTTATCTCTTGGAGCGCACGAAAGGAAATTCCTATTATGTTCGTGGAACATCGTGTGTACCTAGGGAGGATAGGGAGAGACCTTTTAAGCCAGTTCAACACTATTTTTTATATCAAGCTAAGCATATTTTTACTTTAGAACTATATTTTTTTACGTTTGTAGAAAAAATGTTGTTTGCAACTCAAGTGCAAAATTCTTTGGTCATCTCGACTATTTTTTTTACTCGGCTACGCCTCGTTAAAAAAATCAGATCTCGATCACCAAAGTACCATTTCGCGCTCTAGATACAAAAATAACTATTCGCGAAAATCACGAACCAATAGATGGCTCTATTATATGTCAAATCAACGTCAAATTTCCAACTGAGTATGAACAACAAAAACATTGCCGTATGCACTCATTGCAAATTGGTTATTTCCAAATCATTTTGCAAAATAGTGAATAAGTTGACTTCTTGAAATACGTACAAGGTTTCCAGTATGGAAAAAATTACTTTTTGTGCAGAGAAATTGCTATTTTGATGTGGACAATGGTGGTATTCATCATTGATATCACACTACAATCCCACAGTTTTCAAACATATGGAATGATCGGAATGGTCCACTCAACACTTGTATGGACTGGAATGGAACCATACAAGCAATCAGTTATTACAACAATATGGTATAGGTATGAAGAAATAATTGAATTCATCAAGAAATATCACTGGCTTTTATGAAGGAGTTGGAATTCTAGTGAAAGGGTTGGGAAAGAAGATATGGTTGGAGAGGCTGCTCAGAATGAACAATATCATCGATTTACATAAACAAGGATCTCCAGCAATTGAGGGCTTGAAGTTATTCTCAAGATCGAATCATTGCAACCAACATTTATACATATATGATTCTAATTGTGCTTCAGAAAATGTATATTATATTATTATAAGGTAGGTACTGGTTTCTTCATTGTAAACAATAAAAGTTCATGCAATAATTCGAGTTTTTTCATCAGGGAGAAATGAGGTTCTGGAATATGCACTTCAACAAATAAATTATTTTCAAATAGAACACATATTCATGAAATTCAAAACAATGGTCGCCATATTTGTTGTTCATACTCGCAAGACTTGTACGATTAGCCACCAGAGGCCGCACACTTCGCGATTTTCGCGAATATTTCACTAGTAATGTCAACACCTAATACTTGGGAAGTCGACAATTTTCATGTTAACTTCTTTTGTATATTCATATAGAGAAGAGAGTGAAATAATCGAAGGTGAAGTAGTGGAAGTCCAAATCGAACGACCCGCTACGGGGGTCGGCACAAAAGTTGGAAAACTCATCTTGAAAACGACCGACATGGAAACCGTTTATGACTTGGGCGGCAAAATGATCGACAGCATCCTGAAAGAAAAAGTGCAATCGGGGGATGTAATAACAATCGATAAAGCTACAGGTTGATTTTCATTTTTTTAAATAATATAATATAACATTCATTTGTAATGAGGAAGACCACTGATTTTTAAAAACGACATTATCGTGAACTTTATACTGAAAAACTACAAGTGAATTAATTTTGAATTTTTTCATTCATGCTAAGACGATGAAAAAAATAAATTAGTATATGTCCATTTCAAAACACACAATTCCTGCGCCATTTGAATTTTTGTCAATTCATTGGTGTGCCTGGTGCGACATCTTAGTCCCAACACGCCTATTGCCCTTGAACTGACCAATCACGCTGCAACACTGCAGAATGACGAGGTATCAGAGAGGGATAGCTACAGTTCGAGACTAATTTATATGGCTCCACCATCATATTTGACTTTTTGAAATACCGAATGGAATATGCTGATTTTAAAACGATATAGATTCGATTCCCTTCAACTTCAACTCATAATATTGATTGTACATAAAACGTTAATCATGATTCGTCGATTGAAAAAGGTTTGTACGGATTTCTTCCCTCGGTGTTCTTCTCCATTCATCATCACTACAATTCCTAAATTGCTACACATTTCCTAGTAAATATTGTTATCAAAGATTATTATTTTTCAAAAGTAACAAGTATTCATTATAACAATATGAGAGGGTTAATACAGGGTGAATCTCAATAACATCGAAAAAATTCAAGGGGGGTTTCCTTGTGACATTCTAGCTAATAAAGTTCATATAAACATGTGTCCTAACTTGCTCCGTGTTTGAGATACAGGATGTTGAAGATGGAAGTATTAATTGTTTTCATTTCTAACCCTCCTGTATAAACTTTCATGGTGCTAAAATTCAGTATGGATGGAGACTTGGAGACTGAGAAAGCCCCAAAATTTCAAATTGATTCTAATTGGGGTTATTGAGTATCTCAATGGAAGTCTTGAAAACACCTACATTAAAATTTGGAGTCAAATCGAATTTTTATTTCCTCAAAAACTAAGCTAGATACAAAAATCACACAAGGCATAAAAAAGTTGTTATTATATTAGTTCAATGAAAAAAAAAAAATGAAAAACCGATGGTGTACAATGACATTAATATGAATATCGATAAATTTACCCACTGTGACGCCACTGGAATTATTATTTCGAATCTAATTGGAAAGGAATCACCCCTTGAATTTTTTAGGTGTTATTTGGGATACACCCTGTATAAATCGTTATTATAGTACCTAAAAAACCTGACCGTAGGGAAACTCCTTTGTTTATATTCAGTCTATCAGTGTCTACGTTATTAGTTTTGGTCCTTATAGTTCTTTTCCTGCATAAGATTCACAAGGCCTTTCATGTCAACCGATTGTAAATTATTCAAAAGTATTGTTTCAACCCGGTATATTTTTGTGATTTCCTCAGGTAAAATCACTCGTTTGGGACGATCTTTTGCAAGAGCCAGGGACTATGATGCCACCGGCCAACAGACCAGATTCGTTCAGTGTCCCGAGGGGGAACTACAGAAGAGAAAGGAAGTGGTTCATACAGTCACTTTACACGAAATCGATGTGATCAATAGTCGGACTCATGGATTTTTGGCATTATTTTCTGGTAAAAATTACATGATCTCTTTCATTTCCCCAGATTTTTCAATACCGCTTTTGCAAATGAAAATGTTTTTTTTCTTTAAACTTTAAAAAATGACAGGGTTCGCGCATTGATAACAATTTGCATAGTGACATTTTTTTTTCAGTTACCTACGTTACTTACATCCTTCGCGAATTTTTCTATTTAAACTTTATGTTCGCCAATCCAGCCAACATCCGAGAAAACATTCATTTCTGAATATTAAACAATAATTAAGGCCTTTTAAGTTAGTTCAACACTATTTTTTATTTCGAACTAAGCTTATTACTACTATATTTTTTGACTTTTGTAGAAAAAATGTTGTTTGACTGACTTTGGTCATCTCTACTATCAGTTCTCGATCATCAAAGTATAGCATTTCGCGCACTAGCTACAAAACTAACTATTTTCTGTGACAGAATGATGATTCCGTGTAAGTGGTAGTTTACGGAATCAATTTTCTCATTTTTTCGTGGTTTCTTCAGACGAAATTTTCCTAAAACGGCTCATCTTGTTGATTCACGCGTGAACCATACCCATCAATCAAACTTGACACGACAGAAATTAATTGGAGTGACATCAGGAGCAAATAGCTACTAGATCAAAGGAGCAGGTTACACTAAAAGCGGCACATACTGTATAATATGTTTTTCAATTCATTAGAACAACCGTATTTTCATGTCACAGGAAATAATAGTGTATTATACATAGGAAAAAATCGCGACATGGAAAAATGTGAGATTTGAGCTCTTAGAAAAAATTCATCACATGTTTCCGTTGTTTAATAAACATCAATTTTAGGTGACACCGGTGAAATCAAACCCGAAGTGAGGGAACAAATCAACGGCAAAGTTGCAGAATGGCGTGAGGAAGGCAAAGCCGAAATCATTCCTGGCGTCCTCTTTATTGATGAGGTATTTTTCCTTAATTTCGTCACAGAATTCTGAAAATAGCGAATACCCTGATTCTTCTAGGTTCACATGTTGGACATCGAATGTTTCTCGTTCTTGAACAGAGCCCTCGAAAATGAAATGTCTCCGATAGTCATAATGGCGACGAACAGGGGAATCACCAAAATCCGAGGTACAACCTACAAATCACCACACGGGATTCCTCTGGACTTGCTGGATAGAACTATTATTGTCCCCACACAGCCTTATGATGAAAAAGAATTGAGAGAAATTCTAAGGCAAGTATATTCAAATTTGTGTTCAGCAACCCCATATTACCCTAGGTTTCGAGTCTCAGACTCCTTGCTCCATTTTTAATATTCGGCTGTCACTTGTCACCTGTCAACTGTCAAAACAACGGGAAATTTTCAATATCTCGGCATCGGGAAGAGTCGGACACACGAACACGAACAAGTTGAAGGTATCGACGAGATCTATCGGTTTGCCTTTTCTCGGTCCTCGTGCGTGACACGTCTGAAACAAATTGTTAGTTGTCATCAGCAATCTCTTTACTCGAAAAATAGATTCTTGCTCTATCTCTAGCCTTCACAAAATTAGCGAACCGTAGATCAGATCATCAATCTGACTTCAAATTTGTGTTCAGCGACTCCATATCAACCAAGATACTGAGTTTCAGCCTCCTGGCTCGATATTTGACATTCAGCTGTCACTTGTCACCTGTCAACTGTCAATAAACAGAAAAATTCGAATATATTGGCAACGGAAAGAGTCTTGTATCAAATTGAAAGTATCGACAAGATCTATCGATTGGCATCGTGGAAGGGTAGACAATTCCTTTTCTCGGTCCTCGTACGTGTCATGTCTAATCAGAAGCGCTAGTTGTCATCAGTGACCTTGATTTACCCGACTAAATTTTTTGATTTCAGCTCTATCTCTACCCTTAACAAAAGTAGCGAACCGAAGATCAAATCATCGATCTCACCTCAAATTCGTGTTCAGCGACCCCATATTACCCTAGGTACCGAGTTTCATCCTTCTGGCTCGATTTTTATAATTCAGCTGTCACTTGTCACTTATCAATTGTCAAATAACGCTAGAGTTTGAATATCTCGGCAACAGGATGAGTCGGACCCATCATGTCGTATATCAAATTGAAGGTCTCGACGAGATCTATCGATTGGCATTGAGAAAGAGTAGAAAGTTTATTTTCACGGTCCTTGTATGTGACACGTTTGATCCGAAATGATAGTTGTCATCAGTGACCTCGATTTATTCAACGATTTTTTTAAATTTCCGCTCTATCTCTACCCGTAACAAAAGTAGCGAACCGAAGATCAGATCATCGCTCTCATTTCAGATTCGTGTTCAGCGACCCCATATTACCCTAGGTACCAAGTTTCATCCTTCTGGCTCGATTTTCATCATTCAGCTGTCACTTGTCACCTATCAACTGTCAAATAACTCTAAAATTTGAATATCTTGGCAACAGAGAGAGTCGGACCCATCGTGTCGCATATCAAATTGAAGGTCTCGACGAGATCTATCGATTGGCATCGAGAAAGGGTAGAAAATTTATTTTCACGGTCCTTGTACGTGACACGTTCGATCCGAAGTGCTAGTTGTCATCAGTGACCTCGATTTACTCGACAATTTTTTTAAATTTTTGCTCTATCTCTACCTCTAACGAAAGTAGCGAACCAAAGATCAGATCATTGATCTCACTTCAGATTCGTGTTCAGCGACCCTATATTATCCTAGGTACCGAGTTTCATCCTTCTGGCTCGATTTTTATCATTTTGCTGTCACTTGTCACCTATCAACTGTCAAATAACGCTAAAGCTTGAATATCTCCGCTGCAGAGAGAGTCGGACCCATCGTGTCGCATATCAAATTGTAGATCTCGACGAGATCTATCGATTGGCATCGAGAAAGGGTAGAACGTTTATTTTCACGGTCCCCGTACGTGACACGTTCGATCCGAAGTGCTAGTCGTTATGTATTGAATACCTCATTCGACTCCTGAATTTCCAGCATCCGGTGCGAAGAAGAGGACTGTCAAATGTCCGATAACGCCTTGGCCGTCCTGACGCGCATCTGCAAGGAGACCTCGCTGCGCTACGGTATGCAGCTGATCATGACGTCCAGTTTGATAGCGAGGAAACGCAAGGCGCACGAAGTGGAAGTGGAGGACATCAAGCGGGCATATCAGCTGTTCTTCGACGAGGGCAGATCGGTACAGTTCCTCAGAGAGTATCAGCAGGAGTTCATGTTCAATGACGGTGAGTGAAATCGATATGTCTTTATGATGGATGTGAGAATGTTCCTGAATGTTCTGAAAGGCTCCAGTATGTTCCTAGAATGTTCTAGACTGTTTTTGAATATTTCAGGGTGTTGATAGTTATTTTAGAAGGTTCAAAATGTTCTAGAATGTTTTAGAATGTTCTAGAATGTTCTTTCATCTTCTGGGAACCTCCAGGAGCTTTGAACATGTTATAGAATCTTCCAGAAGGTTGAAGTATGTTCTGAAATCTTCCAGAAGGTTGAAGAATATTCTGGAATGTTCAAAAATGTTCTAGAGTCGTCCAGGAAGTCATGAAGAATGTTCTAGGATGTTTCAAAATGACTGAGAATCTTCTAGAATGTTCTAGATTGCTAAAGAAAATTCCAGAATCTTTCAGTGAGTTCGAGTGAATCCTAGAATGTTCGAGAATGCTCTAGATTAGTTCATAATGTTCTGGAAGGCTCCAGGATGTTCCTAGAATATTCTAGACAGTTCTTGAATATTTAAGTATGTTGATAGTTATTCCAGAAAGTTCAAAATGTTCTGGAATGTTTCAGAAAGTTCTGGAATGTTCTTTTATCTTCTGGGAACCTCCAGGAGCTTTGAACATGTTTTAGAATCTTCCAGAAGGTTGAAGTATGTTCTGAAATCTTCCAGAAGGTTGAAGAATATTCTGAAATGTTCAAGAATGATCTAGAGTCGTTCAGGAAGTAAGAAAATGTTCTAGGATGTTTCAAAATGACTGAGAACCTTCTAGAATGTTCTAGATTCCTAAAGAAAATTCCAGAATCTTTCAGTGAGTTCGAGTGACTCTTAGAATGTTCGAGAATGCTCTAGATTAGTTCATAATGTTCTGGAAGGCTCCAGGATGTTCCTAGAATGTTCTAGACAGTTCTTGAATATTTAAGTATGTTGATAGTTATTCCAGAAAGTTCAAAATGTTCTAGAATGTTTTAGAAAGTTCTGGAATGTTCTTTTATCTTCTGGGAACCTCCAGGAGCTTTGAACATGTTATAGAATCTTCCAGAAGGTTGAAGTATTTTCTGAAATCTTCCAGAAGGTTGCAGTATGTTCTGAAATCTTCCAGAAGGTTGAAGAATATTCTGAGATGTTCAAAAATGTTCTAGAGTCGTCCAGGAAGTCAGAAAATGTTCTAGGATGTTTCAAAATGACTAAGAACCTTCTAGAATGTTCTAGATTGCTAAAGAAAATTCCAGAATCTTTCAGTGAGTTCGAGTGAATCCTAGAATGTTCGAGAATGCTCTAGATTAGTTCATAATGTTCCAGAATGTTCTGGAAGGCTCCAGTGTGGTCCTAGAATGTTCTAGAAATTCAAAATGTTCTAGAATGTTTTAAAAGGTTCTGGAATGTTCTTTCATCTTCTGGGAACCTCCAGGAGCTTTGAACATGTTATAGAATCTTCCAGAAGGTTGAAGTATGTTCTGAAATCTTCCAGAAGGTTGAAGAATATTCTGGAATGTTCAATAATGTTCTAGAGTCGTCCAGGAAGTCAGAATATGTTCTAGGATGTTTCAAAATGACTGAGAATCTTCTAGAATGTTCTAGATTCCTAAAGAAAATTCCAGAATCTTTCAGTGAGTTCAAGTGAATCCTAGAATGTTCGAGAATGCTCTAGATTAGTTCATAATGTTCTAGACTGTTCTTGAATATTTAAATATGTTGATAGTTATTCCAGAAAGTTCAAAATGTTCAAGAATGTTTTAGAAAGTTCTGGAATGTTCTTTCATCTTCTGGGAACCTCCAGGAGCTTTGAACATGTTATAGAATCTTCCAGAAGTTTGAAGTATGTTCTGAAATCTTCCAGAAGGTTGAAGAATATTCTGGAATGTTCAAGAATGTTCTAGAGTCGTCCATGAAGTAAGAAAATGTTCTAGGATGTTTCAAAATGACTGAGAATCATCTAGAATATTCCAAGAATGTTCGTGAATGCTCTAGATTAGTTTATAATGTTCCAAAATGTTCTATAATGTCTCGAAAATCGAGAAAGTCCCCTTAAAGACTGTTGTTCCTAATAATTTGAAACAAATGTATCTATTTGTGTTGAAAGTTAATCATTATTTTAGTAACATTCTTGAAGAAATACTCACTGTGTATAAACTTATTAATGCATGTATTTTTTTTTAGTGGATGACAAGGATGACATGGAAATGGAGACAATGTAATCATCAGGATGCAGTATTTTTTGAGGCACGAATTTCACATCATGTTTTTTTTTAATTTGTCAATTTGTACACTTCTTTATGTAACTTTGTTTGTGAAATATTATGTTTAAGTTTGTGAAAACTGATTTGATTTTTCATAACTGTTGAATGATTAGGGAGATGCATAGATGTAAAACCCTAAGAATAAAAATGTAGTTTCTATAGATGAGCTCTTTTATTTCCAACCGTTCTCTTTCCTCTAGACGAATTGAAAATTTGTTTTTGGAAACGATTATTACATTTTCACTAGAATTTTCAAAATTTCCAAAATTTTGGTTTTTCCTAGACCAATCAATGTTACAAGACCAAAGTTCCCGTTTTGATTTTTTTTTTCGAGAAATAAGGGTTTCAGAAAAAAATCAACAACTTTTTCGTGTTGTCCAGGCCAAACTCGATACGAATCAAGAATGAATTTTTTTTTCGAAAACTCAAAATTTTCCAAAATTTTGGATTTTCCTATATCAATGTTAATGAGACACGGTTACAAGACCCAAGTGTCCGCTTTAAAAATTCTGTGGTGGAATGCCTAAATTCCCAGCGGTTTCCGAGATATAGAATTTTTTTCGAGAAATATGGGCCTTAGAGAAAAATCTACAAGTTTTTCGTGTTGTCCGGGTAAAACTCTATACGAATCGAGAATAAATTTTTTTTCGAAAAAAAAATAATGCATTTTTCTCCAAACTTTCAAAATTTTCCAAAATTTTGGATTTTCCTATATCAATGTTAATGAGACACGGTTACAAGACCAAAGTGTCCGCTTTAAAAATTCTGTGGTGGAATGCCTAAATTCCCAGCGGTTTCCGAGATATAGAAATTTTTTCGAGAAATATGGGCATCAGAAAAAAATCAACAACTTTTTCGTGTTGTCCAGGTCAAACTCTATACGAATCGAGAATAAAATTTTTTCGAAAAAAAAAATGCAGTTTTCGTCAAACTTTCAAAATTTTCCAAAATTTTGGATTTTCCTATATCAATGTTAATGAGACACGGTTACAAGACCTAAGTGTCCGCTTTAAAAATTCTGTGGTGGAATGCCTAAATTCCCAGCGGTTTCCGAGATATAGAAATTTTTTCGAGAAATATGGGCCTTAGAAAAAAACTAACACATTTTTCGTGTTGTCCGGGTAAAACTCTATACGAATCGAGAATAAAATTTTTTTCGAAAAAAAAATGCACTTTTCTCCAAACTTTCAAAATTTTCCAAAATTTTGGATTTTCCTATTTCAATGTTAATGAGACACGGTTAGAAGACCTAAGTGTCCGCTTTAAAAATTCTGTGGTGGAATGCATAAATTCCCAGCGGTTTCCGAGATATAGCAATTTTTTCGAGAAATATATGGGTCGTAGAAAAAAATCAACAACTTTTTCGTGTTGTCCAGGTAACTCTATACGAATCAAGAATAATTTTTTTTTCAAAGTTTTCCAAAATTTTGGATTTTCCTATATCAATGTTAATGAGACACGTTTACAAAACCAAAGTGTCCGCTTTAAAAATTTTGTGGTGGAATGCCTAAATTCCCAGCGGTTTCCGAGATATAGAAATTTTTTCGAGAAATATGGGCCTCAGAAAAAAACTAACAACTTTTTCGTGTTGTCCAGGTCAAACTCTATACGAATCAAGAATTAAATTTGTTTCGAAAAAAATAATTACATTTTCATAATTTTTCGAAAAACACATTACTCTCATTTCGTATATATAGATTTTGACCTGGAAAAGACGAAAAAGCTGTTGCTTATTTACTGAGGCTCTCATTTCTAAAAAAAATCCATATCTTTCAATCCACCACGTAAAAATGAATAAAAGTCCAATTGTCACTAAAACACACATTTTATTTCACTGAAATACACATAAGATATGGCATGAAGATCATTTTTATAAAACTATTGATGGAATTCAATTTTCTAGTGCAATCAATAACATCTAAAACTATCCATTATAATATTTACAGTAAAAACGTTTCTTTCCCCGAATGTCTTTCATCATGTCTTGGTAGGAATAAGGTTGCTACCATTTCAAAATGAGGAAAATGTTCTTATCACACTGCAGTCGACCTCTTCCAACTATTCTTGCTCACTGTCATACTGCTGCTGTGAGTACGCTAGAGAAAGAGAAACATTATACACAGGAAGGAAGGAATGCTCGAAATATTTCACTCCACTTTGAGCAATATGGACTTCTACCACAGAGAAACATTATAGTATTAACAAAAAGATGATTTTTTTTCAGTAAACCATATAATAAGCAATAGTCATGCGTAACCAGTTCCCAGGCAACCAGATGACGAATGATCACGTCACTGTGACGTCCCTAAGACGTACTTTCTATGACATGATAATCACGTCATCGTTGCGACGTCGAGTGAACGTCACTTAGATGGGTAAAAGAAGACGTCAGTTTCATGACGTTGCAGGGACGTCCTGTCGACGTCCATTTTTCCCAGAGCTTCTCTAAACCATGGATACTTTTATATATTATTATCATGTGAAACAGAAGTATAACTCATGAAAGCGAATCAACATGCAAATTTCTTTCTAATTAATAATATACCCCGAAAGTATATATAGTAGAAAACTTTTTTCTAAAAAACATGACACACACTGTATATCTCGGAAATCAACAAGCTATGTATATATAAAAATCATTGTTTAGGTATACCTATATTGAAACCGTTACTCTTATGACGTTGAGGTGACGTCTCTATGACGCCTAAAAATCACGTCGGTGTGACGTACCACTTTGGTGAGCTTCGTCATTAAGGAAAATTTTCAAAAATTCACTATTTAGATTTTTGTTGGATGACAAAGAATGCATCAATATACATTATTCAACAAAGTGAAGCCAAATTCTCCAACATCCTTTCAGAGATGTATAGAAATTTAACATTCCTATACATCTCTATGCTTTCCATTGCTATCAAACTATTCTTTGTTTGCTTGCATCTCGCCGACACAAACTACATAATTTTTGATACAATACGAGTAACTGATTGCGTTCTGATGGAGATGAAGGATGGTGCTGCTGAATATATGCGATTGAATGAACATGACACAGGAGGGACCCACCAAGCAGACTCAACAATGCATAATGAATATTATATAATGTCATCAGAGGCTAGTGGTGTTAATCACACCATGTTAAAGAAATCTTTTTTACGTATGACCGCCAAATTCAATCGTCATTTTTACGTCATTATGACGTCAGCCGGACGTCACAGTTTGGTGAGTGAATGACGTCAATACGACGTGAGTAATATGACGTCATTGTGCTGTGACTTATTCACGTCATTATCACGTCAATGCGACGTCAACTACTGACGTCACCTTGGTCATTCAAGTGACGTAAAAAAGACGTCACTGGAACGTCATCTGGTTGCCTGGGTAATAATCCATATCAAGAGCCAACTGACATTTAATTGCAGCAAATACAGGGTGGTTCAAGATTCAGAATAATGACCAATAATGAATAGTTTCGACTCGAAAAATGCATAAAATATCAGATTCCAAGCGATGACAGATCTGTCTGATAGATGAGCATTACTTAAGAGAAAATCAGTATCACTCGTATGAATTGCAGCATATTAGCCTATACGGTTTATGCTGCAAACTTCATTCTCGTGGGGAAAGATCATCATTCCATGCTCGTTAAAAAATATACTATATCGAATTAGTCTGTACCTACAAGAAATTTTCTCATATAATTATTGTCACAAGTGTTGTGTTGTTAATTACAAAAAGATCCAAAATAATTCGTCAAGGCACCACAAGGCAGGGAAAAATATAGGAATGAAAATAAAATTTGGGGAGACCACTGTTTTTTCAAAACGACATCATCATGAGCTCTATATAAGAAAACTACCAGTAAATATAATTTTGAATTTTTCCATTCATATTAGAACGAGAAAAACAAATGAAAATATGTTCATTTCAAAACACACACTTTCTGCTCCATTAGAAATGGTCGTGTCGATTGATTGCTGTGACTGGTGTGACGTATTAGTCCCGACACGCCTATTGTCCTTGAGATGACCAATCACACTGCAGTACTGCAGAATGGCAAGGTATCAGAGAGAGATAGCTACAGTTCGGGAAAATTATGTCACGGCTCCGCCTCCATATCAGGCTTTTTCAAAACACTATGGGTTCGATTTCCTTCAACTTCATCTTATAATATTGTTTGTATATTAAATGTAAATTGTGATTGATTGATTAATTGAAAGAGGTTCGGACGGCTATCATCCCTCAGTGGTCTCCCCCATTCTGACGTCATCTCTGAGAAGAACCAAAGCTAAGTTTAGAGGACGGAAAATATCAAAAGACCGACAAATTGTAACGTACCCGGTAACTGAATATTCTTCTCGAACTGCCACCTTTAGGAAACATTCCAAAGCTGAGACTGAACGCTGATTCTGATGCTGTGTTGTGCTGATCTCGCTTCTTCTTGCGCCAACAGGAATCCATCAGCTTTTCCATCTGGAACCGAATAAATTTGAAGATGTCTAGAGGAACTTCTTTCATAATGTGAAGAATATACGGTTAAATTCTAATCGATCAATCAGTGATTCGAAAACAAAATTTTTCTCACCTGTTTTTTGAAAACTGTAGTAGTCAGAGTATACAGCACCGGATTCAGAGCTGAATTTATCGGCAGAACGAATATGGCCAACCAAGCGTATAAATCTTGTGGTATGGGTATACCTGGAAAATAATCATGTTTGCATGTATTTTAAAAAATGTCAATTCAATCTCAGTTCAATTGTATTTCAGAATAATCATTTGTATTTCAGAAAGCGTCAATAGTATTTCAGAATAGTCAATAGAATTTCAGGAAGTTTCAACTGCATAATAATATCAGAAAGCGTCGCGTGTATTTCAGGAAGTATCAATTATTGTATTTCAAAGCATCCATTTTATATCAATTCCATTGATTTTCAAAGAACATCATTCGTATTTTAGAAAAGTCATTTGTGATTCAGAAATCGGCAATTGTATTATCAGAATGGTCACTTGTATCCCAGAAAGTACTTCAGAACAATCAAAATGAAATTCAGAATTCTTCATTTGTTTCTCAGAAATAGTCATTTCATTCCCAGAATAATTATCACTTATAATTTCCCTTGGAAATGAATTATTGCCTTGATCAGGTCTTTGCTCAGAATTGTTAGTGTAGTGAATGGAGGAAGGTAGATTGGTCTGAAATGCTCATTTGTTGACTGTCACTACTGTTATAGTTTATAGAGACTGTTAGTACATCTTTCAAAACGAAAAATCATGCGGAAATAGTATATTGTCAAGAAGTACAAATGCCGATGAATTAACATCACGCAAACTCTCGTTCATTTCAAGATCTTTTATCATGAATTGACTTTTTCAAATTAAAACATTCAGTACATTCAATCAGGTCAGCGGAGTTCATAGACGTCAGTTCCTTTATAATTCGCAAAAAAACCGCTTACCGTGCGATAATACCTAGGTTAGCAGTATCGAAAGGCAACGACCATTCCCATTGCGGAAAATAGCGAACCTAGCATCGATTCCGAATATAAATAGTACCCTACCCAACTAGCATTTTCAGTCACAGGCACCATGGTTCAAGAAACTATTATACCTATATTTAGTGATAATAACGTATTTATCACTTATTTCAGAACTTCATAGTATAAATGTCAGTGATAGTTATTTAGTGAGTGAAAATGACGTAGTTTTTACACTAGATAATAACTTCAAAGTGAGAAATTCTCATGGCTTATTACGAAGTAACTATTTCGAAACTGTCACTCCTCAAAACTACTCTTAAGGTTTCGGAACTTTGGATATATTATTACGGTAACGCTTACCACCCCAAGAAGGCTTCACAGTTGCAATTACTCTATGGTCACCAATTAGGTTTCTACGACGTTGTCGTTACTTGATCGATCACCTAATAATTTAGTCAATTCTTGGTGATATTTCAAGTAACATATTGGTAATTCCTACTCAAACAATTCCTTCATAGTTGAAACAACTTTTCGGTAATTATATTCAGTTGAAGTTACCAATACATAGGTTATCATAACTGACGAGTTCCAAAAGTAACTTTCTGATTCATTTTCGATTGGAAGCCATATTGATTGATGTGATAACCATTTGAACAGGAAATAATTTTGGTTTTTCTTGTTGATAAACATCATTTTATGAAGAATAATAGCATTCGTTCGATCACAAATTGCATAATAATGGAAATTAACATGATTTACGATGATTTTTGAAAAATAGCCGAATGAAATAAAACCATATTTTTGGTGAAATGAGCCGTATTTTGTGGGCGCATCTTGAATTTCGAGGCAAAATCATCACATTTATCGAAAAACTGAATGTTGTTCGAATTTTTCAAGTTCGAGTATCAATTATTTCGCGTGTTTGTCCTTGTATTATTTATTGAATGGTTAGGCATATTGGACTTGTTCATTTTTCGTGAATGTGAACTTCATGGATGAAATGAAGAATAATAAAGAGAGAAAATAATATTTTTATGAAGTGGAAAAGAAATAGAAAGTCAGGTAGGAAAATTTACTACATCTTTACGTAATTTCGACGTCGACGGGTCGTAAGCATTACGTAATTGTGTGAGTTCCCGCTACTTCGGCAAACCGTAATAATTACTCGTGATTTGTTCCCCATTTTGGTCGTAAATACGTAGTAACGACGTAATTATAACGTAACCGCAACTAGTAAATATTACTTAATAGTCGACCCAATAGTCGTAATTACGTAATCGCGACTATAAATGCTAGTTGGGTAGTCGATAAGTCAACATTGATTATCAACACAAGTCACTTTCCGCACTTGTTAGAAAAATTACTATTTCCGCACACTCCTAGGAAAAAAATGATTCTCACCTGACAAAGCGACCAATTTGACGAGAACGATCGGCACCCAGCACAGGCAATCGGTGAATACGATCACCCCGAACCGCTGCGCCACCTTGTCCCTATCTTCCGTCTGTCTGGTGGACCGACACGCGACCCCGCTGGCTCTGATCTCGTCGATCATCCTGAGGTACGCGTACGAGATGAAGATCAGGGCCATCGTGTTGACGAGGACGAACATGGCAGCCGAGTATTGCCAGCCCTGAGCAAAGAAGATTTTTGACTGTAGGGCATATGGTATCGTTCATCATTCAGTTGTTTTTTATGTTAGGGTCTTGAAATTCAGAACAGTGTTATAGTTTTTGGGTGAATGATAAATTGATATTCATCATACAGGAAGTGGAAAGAAATTCTGAATTGAGAAAACCTATAATCACGAATCTGCGATTGAGATTCATAAAAATAACAAGTTTTCATCGTTCAAGTTTGAACCCCTGGATTGGGTGAAAGTATTGAAAAGGAATATTCTCAGATATAATACGAGAAGAAAAACAGATCCGATATCAAAACTTGCGATTTCAGGAGCGAACCAACAATTTTTCTTAAAAACAGCAAGATTCGATGTCAGATATACAGGGTGTTTCAAAAAAACCTGACCCCCTAACTAGGGTAGGTAGAACACTGCAAAATATGTTGGGTTTACTCAGTAAAAAAATTTCGTAACGGCATCCGTTATCAAGATACAAGGTGTTGAAAAAATAATTTTATTTCACATTTTTCAAGATTATGTCGAAACTACTGGCAACATTGTGATGGAATTTTGTATGGGAATCTGACACATCGCATGCATTCGTTTTTATATCTGACTCTCATAGAGGGCGCTAGTTACACGGTTCGTACCGAGTAGTTTTGAACATAACTTTTTTGAGGTTAGATTTTTCAATCCAAATTTGATGTGAACTTGAACATCATTCAATTTCACACCAAAAAGTTACTCTTGGTAAAATCGATACTGTGTTCCGTTTTCGGAATATTTCGATTTGAAAATGTGATAACTGTGGCTGGTATAAAGCTATGTATTAGAGTGAGTATTATGAAAAATTATCACCTATTTATTGAAAACCGAAAATAACAATACATTTCTGATGCTTAACTTATTGATTCAACAATGAATCACAAGAATAACATCAAAACAGATTTGACTAAGAACATGGATTACACAGTTTTGTTGTATCTTTAGCAGAAAGTTTATGCTACATAGGTAAATTCAGTGTTGTGAGACATAATTGAACATCACTTAAATGACCTAACAGCTGATTCCCAACTGTTTAAAAGAATAATACATTCTCAAGAAAAAAATATAGAGTCGTGTATTCGTCGAAACATTTGAAATTTTGAACTTTTCAATGAACTTTGAACTTATTCAATATTTCATGTTTTTTAGTCAAATTAATATCTCTTCATTTTCTACTTATGATTCTTTGTTCCATCAATAATTTCAGTACAAGAATGATTTTATTGTTTTTGGATCTGAATGAATAGGTAATTGAACTCAATAAAATTCTTTTTTACCAGCATCAGCTATTACTCCATTATTTTCAAATCGAAATATTCCGAAAACGGAACATTGTATCGAGTTTCACCAAAAGTACCTTTTTGGTGAAAAATTGAATGATGTTCAAGTTCATATCATATTTGGATTGAAAAATCTAACCTCAAAAGAGTTATTTTCTATACTACTCGGTACGAACCGTGTAACTAGCGCCCTCTATGAGAGTCAGATATAAAAATAAATTCATGCGATGTGTCAGATTTCAAGGAACACCCATACAAAATTTCATCACAATGTTTCCAGTAGTTTCGACATAATCGTGAAAAATGTGTGAAAACATATTTTTTTCAACACCTTGTATCTTGAAAACGGATGCCGTTATGACATCTTCTCACTGAGCAAACTCAACTTATTTTGCAATGTTCTACCTACCCTAGCAAGGGGGTCAGGTTTTTCTGAAACACCCTGTAGATATAGTTAAAAAAAGGAACATGAATCACGATACGCCATTCTATGAGCGTACCAACAGTTTTTTTTGGGGGTCGGAAACGACAAAATCTGAAATCTGACACCACGACTTCTGAAGCGTACCAGATATTTTTCAAAGGGGTCAATTAAAACTCTAAATTGGGATATGTCGACTTTAGATGTACCTACACCAGATATTCTTCATGAAAATTCACGATTTCCAGAGTGTAACAACGATTCTTCTTAGGGTCAAAAACAGCAAAACCAGATCCCGAATATCACAGCTTCAAGAAGCGTATGAAATATTAGTTCCCTCTGGGGACTTTTCATGAGGAAAAAGACATATATTTCAGAAATTAAGACATCATGGGCGTACCAGATATTTTTTTGAGCATCAAAATTAAAAAACAAAAATCTGAATTTTCAACTTTGGGAGAGCAGGCACCAAAAATGTTTCTCAGGGTGTTCAAAATGAGAATAAAAACAAATACTCCTGTCTGGGGGCATTAAATGAAAAAAATACATCTTTCCGAAATCACTTCTGGTCATGGTCATACCGAATATTTTTTTCGAGGGTCCAATATAAAAAATTCAAAACTCAAAAAATATGTATTATTGAGAATTTCGACGACATTTCATCTACTCACCATGGCATAAGGATCATGAATGTGCAAAGACAGACAGACACCGTTGCCGCCGTAAAACTCGTCGCCGAAATAAGACGTGGCAACACCGCCGACGGGCATCGCCGCCACCGCCACTGCCGACGCCCACAGCGCAGCAAGCGTCGCGACGGCGAACTTGCGGGACAGTTGGCGTCGCGCCAGAGGCTGAGTCACGGATACCAATCGGTCCCACGTGACCAGCGACAGGATCAGCACCGAGGACTCGCAGGACAGCGTACTTAGGAAGCCTACAGATCAGGAAACAATTAGACATATTTTACAGTTGTGTAGAGTCACCCTGTTTAATATATATTGATATAGAAATATATGTTTTTTTCAAATTTATGAGCCCGAAGTACTGCTTCTTCTTAAACTCTGTGAATTCCTATGAAATTCACGGCCTATTTTACGTTAATTTCCAGGTTTCCAGTGTCACATTTGTTGTGGAGTCACCTTGTATATTATCCCTATGATAATATATTCTAATTTCACCATTTCAACGGTTTTTTCAGATCGAATGGAGGCTGGAGTACTGTACTTCAGTATTTTTTCAAAAATCTGTGAATTCCTACAGATATTCACGGCCTAATACGTCAATTTCCTAATATGTTTTTGAAATACTGTGTTTGCTCCTCAACTCCTGCGTTACTTGTGTTATTCAAGCTCTCACTAGATACGGGCATATTTCCTGATGCTTGGAAAGATAGTTACATTATTCCAATTTTCAAATCCGGAGACAGAGAAAATATCAAAAATTATCGGGGCGTTTCTAACCAATCTATGATTCCAAAACTTTTCGACTCTTTAATTGCCGATCAACTCAATTATTGTTGTAAAGAGCTGTTAATCAGTAACCAGCATGGATTTTCAAGGAACAAGTCCACTGTCACAAACTTGCTAGTTTATGAGACCAAAATACTAAATGCTTTATAAAATGAATATCAGGTTGACGCTATTTATACTGATTTTTCTAAGGCATTTGACATCAGAGTAGATCATTCCATTCTTTTGTCTAAACTAGGAGCTTTTGGATTTTCTTATTGGTTTTTGAAATGGTTGAAAAGCTTCCTAACAGGCCGTAGACAGTGTGTTCGAGTTGGCTCGTTCAGATCCAGTCATATACAGGTTTCATCAGGAGTACCTCAAGTTGTGCTCCCATTTTGTTCAACATTTTTGTGAATGACATCAGTAGATGTTTCGTGAACTGCGAGTTTCTATTATTTGCTGACGATTTGAAATTATTTCGAACAATAAATTCAAAATTTGGCCAAATCAATTTACAAGAAGATTTGAACAGATTGAATAATTGGTGTATGGGAAGTAATCTGCATCTAAATATCAATAAATGTTGTTTCATTAGCTTTTTCAAGGGTTATAAGAAGTTTGATACTGTATATAGTATAAACAATAGTCCTCTCAGATACGTTCCAACTGTTCTAGATCTAGGGGTCACACCATTTCAGTGAAATCATCAAAAATTTTAGGAATGATTATTCGTAATTGCTCTGAATTCTCAGTGGATTCTATAAGGAAGGTCTATATGTCATTGGTCATTTCTAAACTGACTTATATGCATCTATTGTCTGGTCTCCTCTTTATCAGGTTCATATTATAGCCATGGAGAAAGTACAGAACAAATTACAGAACAAATTGTCGAAAAATATGCATACAAAAAAGTTTGAGCAATATGTTATGTAGTCCGACCATGTATTATACACTCCTGAATGAAATTTTGGAATGATTTTAAATTTCCTGCATTGGGCATGGAAAGTTTATTTCTTTTACCAAATTGCATCATTTCATCAGGTGGCGTTTCGGAAATATTCATGAAATATCATCTTCAGTAGCTCTCTTACAGGGAACTTTGAGACCAATTCTTACATTAACGGAGAAGAAGATAACGTATTAGGAAGAGGCAATGATGGAAGTAAATGAAGAGGCAAAATAAAATGAAAAAAAGAAGTATATTTATCAGTTCTACCAACTCTGACCTCATGTTTCAGTGGTGCGATTTGGTGGATATTAAATAATGTTAGCCCACGTTGAATACTTAGAATTCCTACAGTGTGTCTCATTCTAGAATCTCAAAGAGGGTGTAATTTGGAAAATCAAGAACATTTCGAGAAATTTTTATGAAATAAATAATACTTATGCTCTAAATTACTTTTTTCGCCCTAGACTAACTATTCACCATTATTATAATACCTACTCACTAAACATGATACATAACAAAAATATTTTTCAGTTATAACTTTTGTGATATTGTTGGAATAACATTGCGATAATGTCCTTCTGAAGTATCCAACACAATATTATGAAGTAAAACTTTTATGAGACATCGCATCAATATTGACATCAATATCATTATATAATATTGTGATATATTGATTTTAGGTTTATCAGATATATCTCAGACAGAGTTTGTATGTTATTTGTGCAACGTTTTCGTTTCACCACCTTATAACGTAGCTTACATGCATACAGGATACAAGGAGATGATATTTGTTCTTTTACGGCAAAGTGACCTTGTCAACTGTCGAAAGTCAATTCAATTCCATTTCAGCCATTTTGTTTGTGGTCTATTATGGTGAACAAGCCAAATAGTGTGATCAGTGAAAATATTCATTTTTAGGTATTATTCGTATAGTTATCAAAGTAAGTGAAGAACTAAACAAGTCTTGGACTCAAATTCGAAACAACAATGAATTGCTCATGATAACTACTTATAATCCAGGTTTGCTCTGCTGGAATATAGAAATGCAACCAATCTGTATCTGCATTTTATAATATGTGAAAAAGTAGGAGGGATTCGTGAATACGGATTGTGTTCATATTTCACGAATTACAAAAATAATGGGTGAGTTATTTATCATAGCTAGAAGAAGAACATAGAAAAGAATTTCAAAATAATTTAGAAAACTCCCAAAAACTCGTATAGAAATATATTTACCTATTACTTTTCAGAATTTCAGTAAGGGATCACTGGATTATGCAGAAATCATATAGCTGGACTGACTAGATTTATGAGGCAGAATAACTAAAATGATACTTAGGAAAATAGTAGTCAATCTGTCTCAAAATATCACTGGGTAACTAGATCATACGTATAGTTTTTCAGGAGTTCGGTTGGATCAATTAATATTTAGGGATATTTCATCTTCTCTGATGTCTTTTCTGAAGATCATTCAGGTGATTTTCTTGATGATTCCAGACAAAATAGACATAACCTAAAAACTCCCAGAAACTAATTAGAATGTTAATATACAATATTGTTTAGATGTTTTGAGTAACATTAAATATACGTTATGAAGTAACATTGATTTTATGTGATTCCTGATATATTTATATAATATTTACCATCAACATTACATTGAAATATTTATACGAGGCACATACGTCGATTGCCGCAACGTAACTGTGATATCAAGCATATCTCTAAATAACATCACGAAGTCACATTGTAATATTACATTTATGTTTGAGTTATGTTATTATGTTTAGTGGGTACGGGTTTCACTTCTCCAAATATGTAAAGAAATACCCTAATTATGCCACCCTGTATAAGCCCTACATCGAAACAAAAAACCTTGTTAAAGTATCGTATCGAATGTTGTGAGAATTTTTACTCCCGAAAAGAGAACGACAGCAAAGTTGTATGGAACGCAGACCGAACGGATGGAGTTTGTTTGGGGGAAATGGCGAAAAGTTCCTAAGTGATTTATCGTCCGCCTTGAGTAGGGAAAAAAGCGCACACATTTTTCAATTCGTTTACTCAACGATATCCGAGACAGGTGCCTATTTATCACCCATGTAATGGTGAATCATCGAATAAACAGAATGTGAAGAATGTGATGAAAATACGCTCATCTTTATAAATTCCACAAGAATTTTGTCCATATTGAGGTACAGTCAGATGCAAAAAATATGTCGCTCTTATTGCAGTAGTGATTAGAGGTGCTATTACCGCCCATCTGCAACATGTTTATTGCATGTTACTGTACTTTGGGTAAATGAAGGCATTAATAATGTGAAAGGAAAGTGATTCATGTGATAGGAAAGTCAAATATGTAGAAATAAAGGCGTGACCCATGTTAAATGGGTGTGACTTATGTGAAATAGGCGTAATATGCGTAAAATGACTGTTGCATTATGTCAAATGGGCGTCACCAATGTGAAATGGGCGTAGATTATATGAAGTTGACATATCTCAAGTATATAGAGAGATGATATCATGTGAACGTTGTGTGAAAGCATTTCAGCATTTTTTACTGATAAGCCAGTTGAACCCAAGCAAAAAGTTGATACGATGATGAATCATCGATTAATTGGAATGTGAAAACTCACTCATCTCATCGACGATAACAAGATTCTGTTAATCAAATCGACATGAATTGTTCCGGAAAATGTAAATATTTATATCCGTAGATATTGGGGTATTTGAGGTAGACGAAGGGGTGGCTAATGTGAAATGGGTGTGGCTTCTGTATTATAGGCGTGACATCTATCATATGGGAGTGGCTTACGATGATGGGTATGGACTACTCACCGCACAGTTTGCAAACGAAGCTATGCCTCCAAATGTAGTGGTAGTTCAAGTAAGTACAAGTCTCTGTAGTGCTGGTCTTGGGCGGCGATGATAAACAAGTAGAAGCCCATCAACAAATCGTATAGGGCAAGATAGCGCAGATAGAGAAAGAACACGAATACACGGAATGTGAAAACTTTCATTATTGATGATAATATAATCATGAATAATATCGAGAGATGTATATAATCTTCTCAGTAGATATTGGGGCATTTGCAGTAGACGAAGGCGTGGCTTATGTAGAATAGGAGCGGCTCATAGAAAATAGGCGTGGCTTTCGGGGGCGTGTCGTATATAAAATGGGCATGACTTACGCTGAATGGGTGTGGCTTACTCACCGCACAGTTTACACACGAAGCTATGCCTCCATATGTACTGGTAGCTCAAGTACACGCCTCTGTAGTGCTGGTCTTGAGCGGCGATAATGAACAGGTAGACGCCCATAAGTAAATCGGATAGGGCGAGATTGCGCAGATAGAGGGAGTGTACGAAGTTGTTGGTGGGAGCAAAATGGCGCCCCAACAGTACGACCACGTTGCCGGTGCACCCTATCGCGCCCATTACCCACACGCTGAAATGGTTACAGTCATCAGTACCACAAGAGATTTTCTCGAATCGAATAGGGATATTGAAAAAATATATACAGTGTGTCCACTTCGAGGTTTCTCTATCCCTCTCAAACTGTTATGTCGTGATCGATCTTGATGAACTTATAGTACTTTTGATACATGAGCACATATAAAGAGTTACGATCACAGTTCAAACATAGAGACACCTTCTGATGTAAAAAAAATCATGATTGAGTAAAAGGAAAGGATTTCACAGAAGTGGAAAGTCCTTGAGTGTCCACCTGTGACACCCATCTGTCATATTGACAGATCGAGTTTCCAACAGCTCAATCACGTATCTAATTGACAGATAATGTGTCGTAATGACAAGTACTATACATGAGAAACATGAGTACGTCAAAATTTTTGGCTTCCTCCTAAGACGATTGCCAAAAATTTACTGTCAGAAATGTTATAGCAATTTTGAATAAATAATGACAGAGCATTTGCAGCCTCCTCTAAACGCCACATGTACGGCAATTTTTACGAAATTATGGATTCAAAACAATCAAAGTTCGTGCTAGAAACTCACTTTTTGCAATAGATATTTCGGAAAATGAAATAAAAATTCAATTTCAATTCAACACAACATACTTATGTTAATATTTCAGGTACCAAACCATCAAAATTATCATGAATAATCAGATATTATAATTCAATATTGTTTCATCTGTCTCGAACTTCAGCTTACCTAGTACGAAGTATAGGATTTGCCAGCATATGTTCCTGATTCGAGATACCGTCACCTTTCGGTTGGCAATTTCTGACATGTTGAGCGAATGAGCACATTTCGAATCTGTCAAAGTATCTATGGAACAAAAATCATTAAAAACATCATTCAACTTCGATTGAATAAACAACTGCTTTAATGGCTGATATCAGGAAGACCACGTAATTCTATATAGTATTGAATTCTGTATTAAAGAACACCGATTGCAATTACTTCTTTTCATTATGCTGAATTGTGCTCGAATTGAAGTCAGGTATCGCCTTATCGCCTGCAGACTGATATTTGGCTATTGTCTTTCATTATTCAGGGCAATCACAAGACACCTCTACCTGGATATTGAAATGTATCTCTCCAAGCATAGAAAGTAATGGAACAAATCAAAGTTCAACACACATCTTCTATAGATATCGATAAAATGTTTTATATATTTGATGGGCTTTCAGATCTAAATCCATCGTCCGCATTGTTTGTTTCATATCGTTTCTCATGAATTTTGAATGTCTGTTGCGAAGTATTTTGCAAGAAGGCAGTAAAGTGGATACATACACCCTACACTTTGATAAAAATAATCTATCTTACTGGAATTATACTGTTGGCATTGAAAATTGTACATTTGAGGTACATTATTTTCTTCAATGAGTCTCCAACTACGCTCTGCGCTTTCTACGAGCGATGTTGCCACGTTTCACATTGACAGCGCTTATGTGTTATATAATTATATTACTTGAACGAAGAAAAAATATCCAGTTCAGTGAAAACCAAGTTAAGATGAGAGGTGAATAATGGCTGTATAAATATTGAACTACATACATCGGGAGAGGAGAAATTTTGAAAAAAGCTATTGACAATACCTCAAAGAGTCTAAGTGTTCAACCAATCAATTCCTCAGTACATACATTGTTTCCACCAAAAAAATATAAACAATGAGGTTGGTACCCTTGGAATAAAGCAACTAGGAATCTTTCTTCATGGTTGGAGAGCAATGAATTACTTAATTTGTGATTTTGAGAACTCGAAATCATGCAAGTACGTAACTTTTGAAAATTGAAAGCATAAGCAGCATGCCTCTGGTTCGAAGTACACCCGGTATACGTATTCCGATATTCATTCCAGAATCGGACATCGATAATAACATTGCACCTCGTTACTCTTCATCAGGAAATAAATTGCTTGACAAATGAAGTGGTCGGAGTAAATATTCTTAAGTCAAATATTATACAAAATACTTGTTCGATTCTAGAAAAGTTTGTTCCATGTTGTGTAATGATCGTTCGAGAATGAAATGGTTTACCTTTTCTGCCAATAAAGTTTGTGTATTCAGATCTACAGGGGGAACGTTTTCAAAACTGATATTTTCGTAGTGATCAAAAGCATATCGAAACATTTTTGAATTTATTTCTGGGCTTATTATGATTGCGCCAAGACTTCATTAATGCACAATATTTTTTTCGTAGAAAGTTGATGTTATTTCAACAGTGTTTTTTCGTCAAATCGATACAGGGATATTGGGTGAACATCGATCCACCAGCGTTATTCGAGATGCCCAAGAAACGTATAATTCAGTCATGTTTGAACTTTGGATGATTTTGAAATTAAATATTAGATTAGACTGGTAATATTCATGATATTTGATTTCAGAGTTGGGTGAAATACTTAGGTGGACCCCCAAGGACGTCGATATTAATTACCCTCCTTCAAGAATAAAAATTTGTAAGATAGGTAATGAATATACAGGGTGGGCCACCAGTAACGCCTCGGTCTCTAGAAGGCTAACCACTTATCTTCTTGGAATTCTTCCTCTCTAGGAAGTTGCATGTCAACATAGGCTACCATTTGAAATTATTTCGAAACATACAGGGTGTCCCCAAAAACCATAAAACACTGAAGTTAAACTTTTTTCTATCGAACACCCTATATATTATTTCATTTTGAGATTCTCCCTGATGAGCTGATTTCAACGACCCATCATACTTGGGGTCTAGCAGCTATAATTACTGGAATATAGGGTGTGAAAAATCGAGACTTTCCAAGTTCAAGAATTTTTTGTGTCGAAACTATTCATAATTGGTCAAAACGGCTTACATGTACCTATCTCAACTTTTGATCACCTATCTACTGATATTTAATTGGGACATATACCGGGTGATCAAGATTCTGAATTCTGCACCACCCTGTATTTGTTTCAATTAAATGTCAGTAGATAGTTGATCAAAAGTTGATATAGGGACATGTGAGCCGTTTTGACCAATTATGAATGGTTTAGACACAAAAAATTCTTGAACTTGGAAAATCTCGATTTCTCACACCCTATATCTCAGTAATTATAACTGCTGGACCCCAAGTATGATGGATTGTTGAAATCAGCTCACCAGGGAGAATCTCAAAATGAAATAATATATAGGGTGTTCGATTGAAAAAAGTTCAACTTCAGTGTTTTGTGATTTTTGGGGACATCCTGTATGTTTCAAAATAATTTCAAATGGTAGCCAATGTTGACATGCAACTTCCTAGAGAGGAAGAATTCCAAGAAGATAAGTGGTTAGCCTTCTAGAGACCGAGGCGTTACTGGTGGCCCACCCAGTATAAGACGTTTATGGCTTTTTAATTTGTGATTCCTTCGTTAGAAGTTAAGTTTATAGTTTCTAATAATTATTCTGATATACTGTGCCCGCCTAAGGTCCTCCCTACTAATATTTGAACCACCTGGTATATCTCATCAAAATATGGAAGGCTCAAATACGAAGTAAGAACCTACTTTGATGGGAAAACAATAGCTCAAAGTTTCAAAATTGCGGCAGAGTGCCATGTTGAAAACATTTTTTTTAATGGAACACCCCATCATGTATTCTATTTTGGAAATCTCCTCATTACTATTCTCCACAGTTTCATCTAATACACTCGCCTCCTAAAAATAATATATACCTCTACTTCCTCTCCCTGTCTTCCACGATGTTCCACGAACATTATCGGGATTCCCTTTTGTGCTCTCCAAGTGAAAAAACGAAATGTTTGAAGTGACATTTCGAATGTTACTCTCAATAAATTTTGTGAACAAAAAATCGTTGTTATGGTAACACCTTAATTTTTTTCTAAGCAAACTTGATTGAGAACAACATTCGAGTTTTGGTTGCGTTTGAAATGACGAAAATGTAATTTTTTGCATCGTTTATATTTCGAACATTGACTTCGGGAAGAGAGTTATTTATGAGATTTCAAAAATAGAATAATATACGGGGTCGTGTTCCATTTAAATAAATTATTTATGATGGCGCTCAGCTCACCAATATAAGTGGTTGAAAAATTAGTGAGGGGGGACTGTAGAAGGGTACTGTATATAATTTGTGGTTCTCTATAACATAATTTTGTTTCATTATCTAAACCAAACAGCCATCCCCCCCTCCCCGCCAAGAAAAACCATTATCGATGCCTCTGTGGACCACTTCATTTGTCAAGCAGTTTATATGTATTCTGCCCACGCTGATAAACCCCATTTTATCAGCAACATTTTTACGATCACTATACGTCCGTCTGAACACGACTTATGAGATGGTTGAATCTCTTTTTCTCTAAATAAACAAGATACAAATTTATGTCTGTCCTTTGGGAGTGCTCTCAGTGTTTTGTGTTTCCGCCAGATGTGTCTATGTCCATTTTATTCAGTCCTCGATCCACTCCAAATGAGGATTACGAATGCCGGAATAAGGGCATTTATCAGTATTGCGGATAAGGGATGTTTTTTTTCTAATTCAGGCTGGACAAAAATTTTATAAATCCACAAGACATACTTATATGCATATCTGGTAATTTGTAATGGTTCTGAATATTCTTCCAGACGGACGCCCATCCCTGGAAATGCACCTCGAGGATTTCGATCATAACCCTTACCGATGAAATAGATGTTGATAAAAAATATGATTTTTTCTACGGCTATAACACAAAATTGCTCTTGCTATACGACGCTATACATATAGTGGAGTATACTACGGCCTTGCCAAAAATGCTATCTCGGAAACTAAGCGAGAGAGAGGTATGGTTACTTTGGAGAAAATGATCCCCATCGAATTTTGAGCAACTTTGGTTTTCGTGTGTGGTCTGTCTGTCTGTACTCTGTGGTAATCATAAATCGATATATATCTCCGGAACCCTTTGACATATCGACTTGAAATTTTGCCATCTTATTGTACTCAAAACAATATTATGTCATATAAATATGAAGGAAATCGGAAAACTCTAAGGTGGTTTTTCCGGGTTTTTTCGATTTTTCACCGGAAGTTTCTTGTGACCACTCTACAAATCGCAAAAGTAGTCCGATCGATTTCATTTTCTGTGAAAAAAACTCTATCAGGGAGAGACAAAGCCTATTGAAATTGAGCAGGGTCGGAAAATTCCAAGTGGGTTTTTCAAGGAGATTTTCCGAAACACACGGTTCGCTTTAAAACGACATATCTCCTGAACCAATAGACTAAATCCAAATTTGAAAAATGCACCGTATGCATCGTTGCATGACGCAATAAATTATTATATTACCATTTTTTCGTGCATCCATCGGAAAATGGAAAAACCAATGAAAATCAAAACATCAAAATTTGAAATCCTATCAATTCAATATATATCGAAAACAAATGGAAAAATCGAAAATTATCAGAAGTGCAAAGTTATCCACCGGAACATTTCCTACAAATTATTACCCATAATTTTTTCTGTAAACCCAATAGTACAGGAAATAAAGTAGAAAATATGAATAAAAAATTTGAACGACCCATAAGGTACCATGAAGATATATTGAAAAACAAAGATTATCGATAGATGAAGCTCATCGACTTCCACTGCACCATGAAATATTTTTTCCTTTTGTTGATTGGAAGATGGAACGAAAGTGTTGAAAATTTTATCCACAAATAATTCCAAATATCTCGAAAACAACTGAAAATATCTGAAAATGTTATGGAACCAAAATTATTCCTTTTGATAGAATCTACAAAAAATCCAAATAACATTTTTTTCTGAATTCAATAGTTCGGGAGATACAATGAGAAAACTAAAATATTTACAAGTTCCTAGATAATCACTTGCCAATAGAAAACAAAACAAAAAAAAAGAAACTAAAAAAAGCACACTCGACTGTCTTGATTTTTTTTCTCATAAACTACGTACCTAGCTCACTCGACTGTCTGGAAAAACCAAGACAGTCGAGTGGGCTAAGTACGTAGTTTGTGGAAAAAATCTCCAGTTCTTTGAACTTTCATAGCGTCGTATACACATCTTTGGTGCCCAATGATAGTTTCAATATAAAAATATGCTCATGATATGGTGCCATGGCCTCTACTTCCATCTAACATGAGCAATGATAAAATATCATCTGCTTTTATAGCGTCGTATAAATTATCTGACCTCTATACTAATCTAATACCTAATGAAAACTACATCTATACTAATCTGATACCTTTCAAAAACTACCTGCCTCACTTGTTTTACTGTGTTCGATACGTCAATGAGGTACTTTGTATGTCATCAATATTATTTCCGTATCTGATATCACTCCATTGTGTTATTATTTCAAAAAAAAAACTCATCGCCTATGGAATGTCAAATTTCAAGCATTGACAGCTCTGTCTAATAGATGAGCCTTACTTGACTGGAAATCGAAAATGCCGCTGTTATCTATTATAGCCGTAGAAAAATTGAGAAAACTAAGATAAAAACTCAGTTTTTTTCATTTGGCTACTTGTGAAGAAACAATTTGTCTTTCTCTTTTGCCATGTAGCCATAATATGATCATCCATTTGGATACATGGACCTGAAATTGTAGTAATAATTGATGTATCGTCCTAATTAATATCGTAAGTTATTTTCAGACGAGTTTTTCAAAGAAATTATTGGCAATCTTTTGGGACCGATTAGGGTATGGAAAATATTCTGATAATATCGTCTAAGTATATATAAAAATATTAGATTTTAGCTCACGGTTTTTTGGAGCTAAAATCTACTACTTTTTCCCATGTATAATAAATACCTCACGGGATCATGCCTTTGATTGTTCACAGAGAAACTGCCGACAATGAAAAATCGAAAATGACAATCAATATCTTCGGCAAAAATGAAAAAAGAAGACTGCAATTTTTATAACTCATGTTTCATGAATATTTTCAACATTATGTTCCCTGCATATTATCTGGGTAGCACCTTTGTCTGTGTTAATTTCCATGACAGTTTGTGTTATCAATTTGAGAATTGACTAATACATTCGAATCGAAAATAACCACTTTTGTTCTAAGACTAAACGCAATAAACATTTTCACAACCACAACATGGAATTTTCAACAGTAATGCTACGAGTGATTGAATTTTCTGAACGAAACTGAATTGAGCGAGAATATTGCCCTCATATATAAAATGTTCCATCAGAGCAATGCAATTATCGAAATCTTACAGCGGTAATTGCACTGCAGAGCGAAGATTGCACTGCCAGAACGAATAAACGTCAGATAGACATCAGAAAGTGAAAGAAATGTCGCGTTTTGGCGAGTGCTCCATATCGAGCATTTCTTTATTCGTGAAATATTCCAATGAATTACATTCGTGCATAAAAATGACCTGATAATTTTGCATTCAAGCGTGTTTTCTTATACAAATTGCATTCGTTTATTTTCATATTTTGGCGAAAGATCCCTCCACCTACGGACACTGGCCCTTTCGCCAGAATATGTTAATAAACACTTGCAATTTTTAGGTACCTACTCAACCACCACAGAATACTCGTATTCTGTGACGACACCCTGTAATCCCTGTATAAAGCTACTATTATTACATCGCAAATATAGATAATTAGATACTTACATTGTCCGCAAATTAGTGAGCGGTTCGAATACTTTTTTGTCTAAGTTCTTGAACTGATTTCCTTCCAGTCTCCTGAAATTTCAAAAATGATTTTGAAAATTTCACACGTAACTTTTTCGACCACTTAAATGCCTGTATTTTGTATCGTTACCATAGCAACTAAACACATCTCTAGAATTTTTTCGCCACAGGAGCATGAATTTACACTGGAAATTTTTTTGACGTTTATAGGTGAAATGACAGTTACATTTAACCTCAGATTACGCTGAATTAATTCTATAACTTGATGAGTTCCTTGAAAGAAAATATATTTCTACCAACTTTAGCAATGCATTTGTAAAAAACTGGGAGATTGAGCTACTATTGACTTATTTTTCATTATTTCATTCAACTAAAGTTCAATCATATTTTATTGTACCTTATAATATAAGATACCTGTGCGAATTTCATTGATACTGAGTAGTACTTCAAGTTTCTTGTAAGGAGATATATTTCTACCAACTTTTAGTAAAACTAATTCGTGAAAAACTGAGGAATTGAGCCACTATCGAACTATTTTTCATTATTTTGTGTTATTTTGTGTATTTCCTTACCGAATACCACTCTAGCTTCAATTACAAACTGAGCATTCTTTCTCGAACACGAATATTTATACATTCTCCCTAGTCATCGTCTCGGAAACATTTTCAAAATATTTGTGTTCTCGAAAAAAAATTCGGTAATAATTGAAGTTCTCGTTGTATTATAGTGAAAAAACTTCGAATTACAGATCGTGTCGTTATTCGAATTCAGGAATGATTGAGAAATCTTTGTTTCATAACATTGTGTGCTTTCAACTGAATACACTAAGCATAATATGTCAAAATGGGAGTACAAATCCATTTATGTTCGAGATTGATTCATCCAAAACAAAGACAAAATCAAATCCTTGACTCATTAGGCATTGTTACAATGTTAGAAAGAAAAACAATTATCGAAACTAATATGATATCTACCGTCCTTTCAAATTTTGGTGAAGGAACTTATTCAGCGTGTCTCTATCAGTTAATTACAATTTTTAACAATACACGAAAGTATTGCACAGTCATTTGTTCAATAACAAAAGATCAAAAGTGGCACAATTTGCGAGTCATACAAAATTGCTTCTGATCCGAAAAACATGTTATTTCAAGTATAACCAAAATACTCAGCTGACTTCAGTTCCTATAGGAGTTGAACTTCACCTTCAGCTCCTAGACACTAGAAGTATTGCCTAGTAACATACATCTTGATTAATATTGTGTCAGTGAAAGAGCTTCCAGAGCTAATTTCGGAACAAAAATGGACGACTCTTGAATAATTATTTTTCCACTGGAAAATGATGATTTAATATATAGGTATACTCACAGTGATTCCAAAGTGACAATATCTTCGAATACGCCGAGTTCAATAGTTTTTATGTAGTTGTTATTCAAGGTGCTGAAATATGCATAAATAATTTGTGCTGTAGTTTGTTTTTGTAAATTAGGTACTTACAGAGCTTCCAAAGAAGTAAGATTGGAGAAGGTACCATTTTCCAAAACAGGCAGTAGGTTGTTAGACAAGAATCTGCAATATAATAACATTAAATGAATATACAAAGTCCAAAGTGATTTCCATAAAAGTTCAAAAATCTTCTTTTCTACTCAGATGGCTCTCATATTGTCTATGTCTCTGAGAGAATATAATGCCGACTTGATTATTGTTTGGCTATGATACGCTTAATCGATGGACTTAAGACTGCTGGCTGGAGACTGCCCTGCTCTGATGAGAGTCAAAGAGCTCGAAACCGGTCTGTAGTTGTCTAGCGTGGCCTGGCTGAATCGAAATCAATAGGCATTAAGGAAAGAATCACTTGTATTCGTATTCGTTCATACGAGTCGATGCAGAAATTTCGGGAGGATGTAATTCAATTCAGCAAGCTCTCGCGATTTTTTCACTACTTTGATTCTTGATTGTTTGCCATGAACATAAAACTTTCATACAATTAAACATTTATTTATCAATAAAAACATCATCTCTTATGTATTTACCCCCAGATAAAACATAGCTAGAAAAATACGTATCAAGGGATCAACAAATCGGTTTGGTTAGTGGTGAAATAGTGTATTGTGATTATTCATTCGATATAGTAGAAGCATTCGTTCTACCCTGTATACCATACATTACCAGCTTACACATTTTTCCTTTTCAGTTTTCCTAATTTGGCTTTCAGTTGATATTAATTTGAAAAACCCAATGAAGCTAATATTGACTCTTGATTATAATTTCCTCATACATAATTTTCTCCGAACAGTTTCTATAGAATTCATTGAGATTAAATTCTTGCCAGCTTGCTTTGGCGAATGAATGTTAAAATGAAAGTTAAGACCCAATTTCAGTTGATCAGCAATGTTGTTATATACAGAGGAGTGCTATGTATCTTCCGAATCATTAGAGAATGAATTTCGAAAATTGATAGTTAGCAAGTATACCGAATTGCCCATTTATTAACAAAACAATTTTTATTCCATCACTTCTGGTTTCACCAGACCGATCCCAACTTTTGATTTTTAAATGAGACCCTGTATTTTATTCCATAACCGGTTAGGGATTATCATAAAGAAATCAAGGATACCGGGTTTGATAGGGTTAATTCAATTTGTATGAACAACAATAGGTACTCAAGATATTTACATCGAATTTTGAATCACCTCTTGTCACCATCTCTCCAAAAGTAGTCTCTTCATTCCAATAAAAAAAATGATACAGTTCAAATATTCCTATTCTTCAGTAACTAAATTCTTCGATTTTTTTTTCGTCATTTTTTTTGTTCATATTTCAATGTTTGTACCTGTTAATTGATATATATGATAATATTTGATTATTTTTCGATATTTTTTCTTCATTTTGGTATTGGTTCCAAATAATGCACACATTTATTGAAACCTTCGTGAGTAACGTTTTGCTTTTCTTTTTCTTAAATATTGGATATTGGAACTTGACCCCCCCCCCCCCACGAACTGCCAAGATGGTATATTATTCACTAATAGATTCCCAATTACGATATGGAATACCTTTTTGGGGAGTGTGCAGTCCAACGTCTTTAAAAACTCTGTTAATTCTACAGAAACGAGCGATAAGGTATTTGTGTAATGTCAAGCCTCGAGATTCTTGCAGAATTTTATTTTCCAATAATAAAATATTGACAGTGATTGCACTTTTACGAAGGCGCTGAAGGGCCACCTATACTTTTTTTTTTCGAATCCCGACTTTAAAGTCGGACCCCCGACTTTAAAGTCGGGGGTCCGAGATTAAAGTCGGGGGTCCGACTTTAAAGTCGGGGGTCCGAGATTAAAGTCGGGGGTCCGAGATTAAAGTCGGGGGTCCGACTTTAAAGTCGGGGGTCCGACTTTAAAGTCGGGGGTCCGAGATTAAAGTCGGGGGTCCGACTTTAAAGTCGGGGGTCCGAGATTAAAGTCGGGGGTCCGAGATTAAAGTCGAGGGTCCGAGATTAAAGTCGGGGGTCCGACTTTAAAGTCGGGGGTCCGAGATTAAAGTCGGGGGTCCAAGATTAAAGTCGGGAGTCCGAAACTGAAGTTAGGAGCTAGATTATATTCTTTAAATATGTGGACAGAAATGAATATTTTCCATTGTTACTCATCAGTTTGATGTCAGCATTGTCAGCAACATGCTCCTGAATTTTCTACATGTACTCGAGAAACACCCTGTACGTTTATGTACAAACAATAATTTTACATCCATTGGATAATCATCACATAAGGATCAGTCAAAATCCTCCCTTTTGGATGTACACTGAATGTCAAATAATGGATCACACCTGTACGATCATTATCGTACGTATATAGGGTGATTGTATATATTCCACTTCATAGCTGAGAATCTCATTTGTTTGTTTAAAGGGTGCAAAAAGATTACAATACAAAACATATATTTTCACAAATGAACTACCCTGAATGTCATTTCGTCCTTGGGTAGAGCTCAGAAAGATGAGTTTAATGATATATGATTACATTTGTAGGTATGAGATCACCCCTTCCGGACTATTTTCATAATCTTCTTCAATAAATAGCCAAATTTCTAAGCCTTATGAAAACGTTGAGAATCAAGTTTTCAATGCGCAGTTTTCATTATGAATTAACTGATTATACAGGGTGGTCCACGGTGGATGGCCTATTAGAAGTATCTGGAGAATGAAAAAACAGAATATTCTGACCCCCGACTTTAAAGTCGGACCCCCGACTTTAAAGTCGGACCCCCGACTTTAATCTCGGACCCCCGACTTTAAAGTCGGACCCCCGACTTTAAAGTCGGGATTCGAAAAAAAATAGTATAGGTGGCCCTTCAGCGCCTTCGTACACTTTTCATTCTGGAATCTGTTTGCCTGACAAATAAGCACAAGTTGAAATTCACTACAACTCCCATCCATCATAACACGCGTAACAGAAATTTCAGTTTGAAACTTCCTCTACCCACAAGAGAGTTTATTAAAGATTCCATAAACTATAATGGTGGAAAAATGTACAACCACTTGCCAGTTGATATTAGATCAGCAAGTCTGAATGACTGTCAATTCAGGAAGAAAGTCTAAAAGTTCCTCTCTGATAGACCCTATTAGAGTTTGCAGGAATATTATAGTGATACGTTTGAGTTGTGATATTTTAGTATTTCAATGTGGTATTTATTTTGACTATATTTTGTCACATATTTTTATGTCGTTATATGTTAACCTCTTTTTACAATATTATCTGACCTAGCTTTGTCAACAAGATTCTTCTTCAGATAATAAAGCATATGATTATTATTATTATTAATTACGCCACTGCCAGGGCCCAAGGGCCCCCTTCGAGGAACAGGCCCCCATAGTATTTACGCCACTGCATCGTACGTACCTGTACAATCAACTCACTCGATGTCGTAGGAAATCCATCAAAGGAAATTATTGGAAACTGATTTCTCTTACCAGCTCTCGGCTGTTCTCTTTGTTTCGAAGCCACTCAACGATCCCCGGGGAGAAGTATTTATTCTTTCAGTTACAATAACCGTCGAGTAATTGAAACATTTTTATAACGTTGTTCAGTAACAGTTTCTACTGATGCCCGGTTTTGTGTGCAAATATAATAGTCTACTCCTATTTCAGACAATCTACAGAGTTACCAGATGTAAAAACTTCACAAACGATAAGATTTCCACAAAATTCTTAAACACAAAACATGTTTCGCTAACACAGTAGCTTCGTCAGGTGATATACTGGTACAATGAACTAAACCAACGTTGGCTTCCTTAACTTTTATATATTACCTTACTTTCCCAACTTGAAGGTTTAGTTACCTGTGAACAGGATCGATAAACCTCCATTTTCGTAAATTAGGCACAATATCTACATTAAATTACGGTATACCGGATTAACTTGAAAGTGTTGATAACAAATAAATATCATTACCTACTATATCGTTTGTGAAGTTTTCACATTTGCCATGGATTTATATCAAGTAACGGCCGAGTCAATCCAAAAAAGAGTTACCAGAGTTGATTTCATCAACGATATTCCTCACTGCAGCCATGATGCATTTCTATCGTGCATAGAATAGAATAGAATAGAATATAATAGAATAGAATAGAAATAGCTATTTATATATCAAGGGAGAAAAGGTATCCATTTCCTTCCGCGTGTGAAGTTTGAACACAACACACATGGGAGGAAATGAACCTTTGCTCCCATGATATACTCAATACTCAATACTCAATACTCAATACTCAATACTCAATACTCAATACTCAATACTCAATACTCAATACTCAATACTCAATACTCAATACTCAATACTCAATACTCAATACTCAATACTCAATACTCAATACTCAATACTCAATACTCAATACTCAATACTCAATATATTCCATGTCATTATACATAGGTATTTACACTCGTCAAAACAGTAGTAAACTATAGTAATCAGGTTAGCATACATTTGTAAAAACAGGGAATCAAAATCTTCAATATTTGTCAAAATTATGAGCATAATGCAAGTTAGACTTCAGGCACAATATAGTGGAGCTACATCCAATTATTAGTATAATTTGAATTGAGACTAAAACATTTGTTTATAAACAGAAAATATTAGAAAATATTAGAAAAAATTATTAAAATATTTGAACAAATTATTAAAATTTGTGTGTGAGGAATTCATCATATGAGTAAAAGCAATTTAGATACAAAATCTGCTTAACTTTATTCTTAAATTTATCTCGTTCCAAGTTCTTTATGGAATCTGGTAGAGAATTGAAAAAATTTATGGATAGATACTATAGATAGCCTGGGTCATCTTGACACCTTTTCAACCTATGATAAGCTGGGATGAGCAAGTTTTTTGTCTTGTATCATAGTTGTGGACCCCACTATGCACTCTGAATACTGGGTGAATCTAAATAACACCGAGAAAATTCAAGGGGTGTGGTTCCTTGTGATCATTTGAGGAAATAAAGTTCACATGAACATGTGTCCTAACTTGCTTCGTTTTCGAGATACAGGGCATTAATATTTCCATGAAAAATCGTTTTTTCATTCA